TGTGGCAGTCAAACTCATTGATCAGATACGAAGAACAGAAGGAAAATATGTACATGTATGTAATAATCTTACTTTCTTGATGCGATGCAGGGATGCCGATATCAGATTACCATTAGGTACACGTAATTAAGTTACATCCCTGGTTTGTCATCATTAACTTAGCATTGTGGTGTACATGTATATATTGTCCTGTCATATTTTCATTTTTTATCATAGCTTGATAATGACTAGAGAAGCCTAGTCGAAACGTCGCTCAGTAAAAAGCAGTAATTGTATTCCATAGAATTGTGACCTGTATACTCTAGTTCAATTACTAAATGCCATTGAAACAGTTTATCAGACATCAGTATGGAGATGTGGCAGTCAAACTCATTGATCAGATACGAAGAACAGAAGGAAAATATGTACATGTGTGTAATAATCTTACTTTCTTGATGCGATGCAGGGATGCCGATATCAGATTACCATTAGGTACACGTAATTAAGTTACATCCCTGGTTTGTCATCATTAACTTAGCATTGTGGTGTACATGTATATATTGTCCTGTCATATTTTCATTTTTTATCATAGCTTGATAATGACTAGAGAAGCCTAGTCGAAACGTCGCTCAGTAAAAAGCAGTAATTGTATTCCATAGAATTGTGACCTGTATACTCTAGTTCAATTACTAAATGCCATTGAAACAGTTTAGCTACTTTTAGTTGAAATAAAATGACATATGGGACATATGGTTAGATCTAAATAGTAAGGTCATCTGCAGATTTCGTCAAGGTCACGAAATGGAAACAGGGCTACCACCAACCCTAACTCTCGACTTAGCTTCAACCTTTACCCTATAAGCCCACAATCTTGGGCAACAATCACGTGTCCTAACTCTGTTTACATCTCGTGACCTTGGCGAAATCTGCAGGTTGCCTTAATATGTAGATTTGACCGGGAAGAGATTTCAAATTCGGAATTTAGATCGTAGCCAGGAAACTGAGAAGCTGGGAATGCTTCTCCTGTATAAACTATCAATTTAGGATCTTTAAAATCGAGTTCGTTTTTCTTTCTCAATGTATTATCAATCATTTCTGCAAGTGTCATTTAATTGTAATTATATGTTATACTTAGATGTATAATACAAGCTGCTAGTAAAGGGATATTTATGTAATAAATATCGTAGTCAGGGCAACCATTGGTTCTGGTTTCTTTGTGTATCTAACCTCTTGCCAAATCTTTGTTGGGCTTAAAGGAGCTATTAAATCGATAATATTTTGGACCTAGAAATTGACACATATGGCGTCACTGTTTGACATGATTTGTGGAATATGTCTAGCCTCAGTTTTCGAGTCCTTGTTACAAATGGCACTGAAACGCACTATGGTACACGATTCGTATACCAATGGTAAAATATTTATTTTGTCTTAAATATTGGATATCAGAAGCCCATCTTTTCCCGGTATCACAACATCAACGTTGATTTAAATTGACAAATAATTCGTGTTTTCAATGTCGACGATTTTGGATGATATTGAGTTAAAGACTTAGCTACTTTAAATACTCATGGAGTAATATGTGGCAATTTCTTGCTCTAAAGTTTATATGTCCAAGTTGACCATAGAGATGGACAAACTGAAAGTAGCATACCAATTACTAAAACATTGTTATCCTTCAGCCCCAAAATCATGGTCATTTTCCAAAATAGCTTTATTAAAGCCACTGATGATCATTTAAAGGGACAATAACACTCTCACTGGCTTGACAGCCCCAGAAAATAAAAAAATAGCATTATTCCATGTACTAGATGTGTTAGTGTCCTACCTGTTGTGTAAATTATCCATTAAATCCTATTTTACTTGTCCAAAGGGTTCAAAAATATTTTTAAATCCAAGTCACATTTGAAAAGCTTTACGTCAGGCTTTTCAAATTATTTAGTTGAATTTTTCCAATTTTTTAAATTAGGTGTGTTAAGATGAAATTTGCATCATCAATTAATTGGAATATTGTAAAATAGTACAATTTGTTGACCAGAATAAAGATTAGGACATATTATTCAGTTACAACAAGAGCGGTATTGAGCCTTTAAGGGGTTTGAATCTCTACAGTATTGTGAATCTTGAATTTCTTTTACGAATATCAGGTCAATTATGGTTCAGTTCTGTTCGGCATTTTTAATAGAGAACAAAGGAAACCAGTGTCACCAATAAGTGATGGGTAAAGTCTTTTGATGGACCTCTTTTCAATCCGTTTGATTATCCAGTTTAAGTACATTAACGGTGGAATAAAGTGTGTAAAATGTAAATGACCATCAGGGACAGATATGATTTCGACTATACAAAACATATTTTTAAATTACATGTATGAACATGGAGTGAAAGTTGATTGGTGTAAATTACATTTTCAATATGTGTTTATTTTTGATTAATTGTTCTTTACTAATTACTGATGTAAAACTAAGCGAGGCATGTTCTCAAATGTAAACACAGAAATGGAATTTAAGGTCCACTTGACCCTACAACCACACCAAACTGTGTCCATGATAGTCTGTATAACAGGATACTTCTTGCAGTGTTTGATTTTACCTAATCCTGTTGTAGTGTAGAGGGATTACACAGGCTATTATTGCTACTGAATGTTAAACCTTGGCCATTCCTTGGCCTATAAGATTTTTTTAAAATGATTTTAATCTTTATAACCACAAAGAGCCAAAAAATCAACTACTAAAAACATTGAAGAATGCTGACCGTCTTGTTTTGTTGGGGTTTTTTTTACGCCATTTCAAAGGAATCCATAGGCTGTGATGTAAATTACATTGGTGATTTCCCTAATTCACGTCTGTGTACTGCCTGATCCATCTGCCCAAAATCATGAATATTTACCAAACCTTGGCAAAATATGTAAATTCAAACACTCTTCTTACAATCTAGACCAAAGAGTCAAATAATTTCCATGCAAAAGAGAGGAATGAGGACAATGAAAGAAATGCTATAAATAGGCAAATTATTTGTGTTAATTCAGGTTAATATTGATTAACCCTAAAACATTGGATTAAAGACTTTATTGTCCATTAATGGTTAAACAGTTTCAACATGTACATCTCATTGTACTGTGAGAAGAATGAATGAATGAAATGAAACAGGGATAACAAGCCAAGTGAGGCTGATGTCCCCCGCCGAAATCCCCAAATAAATAGATGACACATATTAATTAATCGCACATCTATTTTTTTTCCAAAGTATCAAGCAATCAAACTGATTATCAACGATACACTAAGTTTCATCACTCTCTATCAGATAGAATCAAAGTAATCTTGTCCCAAAGCAGGAAATTGCTTATCTCTGCTTAGCTTTAGCTCGATATGTTAATCATTGAACTCAGTCAAGACGAACATCTACATCAAGTTTAAACATTCTACCTCAATTAGAAGAAGAGTTGTTATGTTCCAAAGTCTTGACCAATCAAACTGCTTATTGCTCGTTAGCCTAAGCAGAAAATTCTCATCATCAAACTTAGTCAAGGTATTGATGTAATGAAACTATACACCAAGTTTCATCAATCTCACTTAATTAGAACCAATTTTATCGTGTTCCAAAGCATCAACCAGTCAAATTGCTTATCTCTGCTTACCCTAAGCCGAAAATGCCGATCTTCGCACTCCATCAAGGCATTGACCTCATAAACCCCTACACCAAGTTTGAACATTCTAGCTCAATTAGAAGGAGGGTTATTGTGTTCCAAAGTCTCGGCCAATCAAATTGCTTATCGCTCTGCTTACCCTGAGCAGAAAATGCTCATCATCGAACTCAGTCAAGGTATTGATGTAATGAAACTATACACCAAGTTTCATCACTCTCACTTAATTGGAACTAAAGTTATCGTGTCCCAAAGCATCAACCAATCAAATTGCTTATCTTTGCTTACCCTAAGCAGAAAATGCTTATCTTCACACACCATCAAGGCATTGACCTAATAAACATCGACACGAAGTTTGAACATTCTAGCTCAATTAGAAGGAGGGTTATTGTGTTCCAAAGTCTCGGCCAATCAAATTGCTTATCGCTCTGCTTACCCTGAGCAGAAAATGCTCATTATCGAACTTAGTCAAGGTATTGATGTAATGAAACTATACACCAAGTTTCATCTTTCTCACTTAATTAGAACTAAAGTTATCGTGTCCCAAAGCATCAACCAATCAAATTGCTTATCTTTGCTTACCCTAAGCCGAAAATGCTCATCTTCGAACTTCATCAAGGCATTGACCTAATAAACACCTACACCAAGTTTGAACATTCTAGGTCAATTAGGAGGAGAGTTATTGTGTCCCAAAAAGTGTGACGGACAGACAGACAGACAGACAGACAGACCCATTTTAATAGTCCCCTGCTTTCTTCGAAAGGCGGGGGACAATGAAGTATACTGTGAGTGAAATTTTGCCTAGACAGCAATTGAATACCAACTGTATAAGGGTCCTTTTTACATGGACGGCAATAGTTTTTTTTTTAACTATCCGTATGACTAGTCACTGTTCCAGGTTAGTGAGACAATGCCTTACTCACTGGGTCACCGTGGTACCACACTGAGAAGAAGACAAGGGTATCGGTCAAACAAGAGCTGTCAATATCACTGGCAATACAAGAGAGAGAGAAATGAGGTTTAACGTCCAGTTGACACAAACTAGTTCATTTCAAGACTAACATATTGTTCAATTTTATTTCAATAATTTGGTTGCGCATAGGGGTATTTTAGCAGTTGGAGGAAACCGGAGGGCCCGGAGAAAACCCACGCGGTTGGACAGGCGATCCTACTCTTTGTTATGTACAACCAGGGAATCAAAACCACGCCAGTTGGCTCAATGACAGACCTTATGATACAACATGCACACACTAACCATAACATGCACACACTAACCATTCGGCCATGCACCACCCACTGGGAATACACTGTAGTTTAATTCACAATGCAGCATAATGCACTTCCTACTTGTCGTGATTTTTTAAGATGAACGTTATATATGTTATCTTTATTATCATTTCTTTTTTTTATTTACAATTTGTTTCACTGAATATTCATAAAGTTCTTTGTTTACAGATTTTAATTTGGAAACTTTTGACTTGAGTTCAACAACTTCTTGAACAGCATTTACATCATTCTCGTTCTGAAAAGGGAAAATAAATACATGAAGAGAGTACAGAAGATCATTTTGATAATCAATGTCACTGTCACCACTGCCATCACTGTCATTGTAGATATGAAGAGAGTATATAAGATCATTTTGATAATCATTGTCATCACTGTCATTGTAGCAGTGATGTAAATATGGGGCGTGCTGTGTGATTGATTGTTCATCGTTTTTGTAAATTTTCTGTTATTCTTGATCTGACAGAGAGAGAGAGAAAAATGGGGTTTAACGTCCACTAGACACAAACTAGATCATTTCGGGACTAATATATGGTTTAATCTTTAGCAGTGGGAGGGAACCCTGAGAAAACCCACAAGGTTGGACAGGTGACCCTACTCCTTGTAATGCACAAGCGGGGAATCGAAGCCCTGACTTTTGACTCAATGACAGACGCGCACGTGTGAACCATTCGGCCACCCAACCTCCCTCTGTTAAGTACTATCATACTAAAGAATAGTTGAACTATAAGCTCACCTCTGATGGCACTGAAGACTTAGAATGCACTAATTCTAATAATGCCTTTTCATTGTCATCGTCAATTTTCTGAAAAGAAATATTATATTATGTTATAAATTCCACACAGAAGTAATCAAGTGGATTCAAGCCTGGAAATAAGGCATCTGTCACAGGAATTGTCAGACATAATTCATGATTTGTCAGGCACAAAACCTGTCATTTCCCCCTGTCAGTGGTGCAGAATGGAGGGCCTGACAAGGACAGCTGTCTAGTCCTTCGGATGAGACGAAAAACCAAGGTCCTGTGTATACATTAGAATGCACGTAAAAGATCCCTTGGCAGTTGGAATTCGATATAAGAGTAGGCGATAGTGCCGCTGCCCGGGCAAAATTTCCCTCATAGCACACTGTATGGCGTATGCTCGTCTTCATTAGCCCAGTATAGGAGCAGGAGAGTAGGACGTTAAGCCCCATTTCATTTCATTTTCATTTCTGTCATTCTGTCCAGCACTGATTTGTCTTTTTTATTGATATTATTAATACATGTCCGGCACTAAGTTGAAAATGTCAGTTTCTATTTCAATAGTGCCTGACATTTTGTCAGGTACATCTAAAACCGTTATTCCCAAGCCTGAGTGGATTTCTTTGTTTATTGGAATTTAATATTGAATACAGGTCAATTCTCATCAACAACATTGATTCTTATAACACCAAGTATATATGTTAACAGACTTGCCTTAAGTATTCACACTCGTCCCCACCTAAACTCACATGGATTTAACAGATGTGGCTAGTTAACTGGAGATTCTCAGGTGTGTAGACATCAAGAGAGAGAGAGAGAGAGAGAGATGAGGTCTTTAGCAGTGGGAGAAAACCCACAAGGTTGGACAGGTGACCCTACTCATTAGTCAGTTTACTCCATGACAAACCTTATGATACAACGCATGCACATTGACCATTTGGCCATCCAACCTGTCATCAAAAACTGGTTCAACAGTGAACATTCATTGACATACTCTATCCTCATCGTCATGGCTTCCAGTGATCTTAGTGCAAGATCCACTGCAGATCAGTTTAGATTATGTACCGTTATCTATTTCAATTGTTTTATTTTACTAAATCTAAATATACTTTGTACTTACTCTTTTATTATTTCTAATCCTCATCTCAACACATGATGTATGTAAATGTCGTTTAAACTGTTGTACGTGTAAAAATGGTTTACTATCAGGATTTAATACATTATACGGTGTTAGACTTATAAAAGCATTTGTAACCGCACCTGAAATATATATATATATAACATGGAAGTAATATATGGTTAGATCTATTTGATAAGGCCAACATCAAGTTTGGTCAAAGGTCAAATTTATTCTTTTTTGTTCAGAAATCAAAATACCAGAAAACCACAAGCGATACCGAAGGTATATAAATCTAATGTATTGCATGTATTTTTGGTAAAACTAGGAAATATCACAAACCAAATTTTCATCATCCTAGGTCAGTGCTTATGTGGAGACTTAACCTCTCCCCCAAATTCTTAAACCTAACATACAATCTCGCCAACAATCACATGCCCTAACCTTATTTACATCTCAGCGACCTTGACGAAATTGAGCTGGCCGTAACAAATAGATTTAGCCAGTAATATATCCTGTATGTAGGTAGGACACATGAGTAAAGATCTGGAGGATGCAGTATCTAGAATGCAGGTTACATTGAAATGACTGCAATATGTCATGCAACACTTTTGAATTTCAATAGCAATCTTCGTATAATTTCAAATTAATCTGTCATGAAAATGAAATCTCCACTGTAGGTTTTAACAAGAATCAGTGGTGTAGATGGACAGACAGAGGATAGGTGACTACACATGTGACTAGAATATAAATGAAATGTTGTTTAACATCCTACTTTCCTCCTACACCAGGCACATCATGCTACAGTCTACTTTTATTTTGAATTTCAACTGTCAAAGATTCTTTAATCCCTGCAAACGACTAGCTGCTGTTGCTTGAAAGGCCCTCCATTCTAAACTGCTGACATGGGGAAACCAAGCCAGAAAAACAAAACTTTTTTGAACATCACTTGGATCAAACTTTGGACCTGCTAGTTAGCTAGCCTGCAAGTTAGTCACATAGCCACTGTGGCTCTCGACTACAATATGATTAGTCTTGGTCACCCAGAATCTCCTAGTCTTCAACGTAGAATATTTGTCTGATTGATAGAGACTACAATATAATGTGAATAATAACAGACAGTTTTATGGATAACATTCACTAGGTTTACTAACTGCAACGTTTCAATGAGGTTAGTCTCACGGTTATGTGAACATGTTATTATATGGAATTGACTACAACCAAATAAATCATTGGGTTTTTTTTTGCTTTTGTTTTAGAGATCTGACGTCAACTCCTCTGTGTTATGAAGAGACTTACCTTTATGATCTAATGTTCGTATACACTGACCACTGTGTATATCCCATAGTTTAACTGTACTATCATCTGACCCTGATGCCAATACTGTACCATCCATAGAAACACATAAACAATTTACTTGAGAACTAAAATTAAAATATACAGATTAAACATCTTCTAGGGAGAGAAAGACAGAGAAATGGGGTTTAATGTCCACTCGACACAATCTAGATCATTTTGGGACTAACATACGGTTTAATTTTATTTCGATAATTCGTTTGCGCGTAGGGTTTTTTCGCAGTGGGAGGAAACCGGAGGACCTGGAGAAAACCCACGAGGTTGGACAGGCCACCCAACTCCTTGTCACATACAAGCGGGGAGTAAAAACCATGCCACTTGACTTAATGACAGACGCTATGATTTAAACCAAGCCCCCAAAAACCTTCCAGGACAATACCAGGGCTTTCATTTCGTTAATATTTGCCAGCCCTGACTGACTAGGAGGGAAAACAATGATTTAGACAATTAACCTTTCAATTCAAATGTGGGGAATCACGTGGCTAAGTGGGTAAGACGCTGGCTCGCTAGCCTGGAGGTCTGGTGTTCGATACCTGCATTGGCCGAGAAAGTTCATCTAGATTTTCCGGCGTGGTTTCCCCTTGCCAGTGATGCAGGACCGAGGACCTGACAAGGACAGCTTTCTAGTCTTTCGGATGGGACGGAAAACCGAGGTCCAGTGTACATATTGGCGTGCACGTAAAAGATCCCTTGGCAGTTGGAATTTGATATAACAGTAGGTCGTAGCGCTGCTGTCCGGGAAAAATTTCCTTCATAGCACACTGTATGGCGTATGCCCGTCTTCATTAGCCCAGTTTAGGAGCAGAAGAGTAGGACGTTAAAAACCCATTTCATTTCATTTCATTTCATTTCAATTCAAATGTCAGAAAGTTAGAGTTTTAAGGAATAACCTTAAAGACAATGAATAGAATTAAATTTATAATTCTTATGTGTAAAAACACTTTAAAAAATGTTCAGCACATTATTCATCAATTATTTTAATTTCCGGAACAGGTATAACTAAAGCATGATGTTAAGGAAATCTTGTGTTTTCGTGATAATTGCCCAAGACTAGATGTAGCATTTTGTTTTAGCTGCCATATTAGAATTTCTATTCACTCTCAAAAAATGTACATTTCTCAGGATTAGTCGTGTAAGATAAATGGTTGGACATCAATGAACCATCATGATACATTACTATAAAATAAAATAGTACTGCTTATGCCAATCTGATTAAAATACAGATCTATATTTCGTTTCATTTTTTTATACTTTTGATAGCCTCTACTACATGCAGATCTGACCGGTTGTTGTGGAAGGTTGTGTCAGAAGTCTTACAAGCGACTTCTGACCCTATGATGTCGGTGTTGATGTTTCTAGTGGTTTCCATGTACCTCACGCCAAACAACTTACTGTAACAGACCGTTTCATTGGCTAATCCCTCACAACATCCAGAACGCAGGTTACATATATATAACAACACTTAGTGTAATTAAGACAAGTAAAACAAAATTTTGAACTATAAAATTGAAATGAAATAGGATCTGCGTTTTAATCGGATTGTGCTTAAGCAGCCATTGTGGTTAAACTATAACGCTTACCTGTGACCTTTAAAGATATTAATTCCTTCTCCTGCTGTATTACCTATATGTCTTTCTGTTCGTATAGGCTGAAATATAAATGAAATAGGTTTTAACGTCCTACACCGACTAAATGAAATATTACTAAACAAGGCGATATCAAAACAAAGAAAAATATATTAATAGGGAGATATAAAAATCGAAGTAAAGAAAAATAACAAAAATTAAAGTCTGCGTTTAAAGGATTAAAGCCTTAAAGGCAGACAAAATAAATTAATAAAAATAGATGTTAGCTATAATTAGTGACAGGTGTTGTGCGAAAGGAAGTGTGTGCTTCCTTTATAGAATACCTGATGCCACTTCCTAGAACATCTCATTTGGAGAGTTCACATGGCTAAAAAATATTTATTTGGCCCTTTTTTATCTTAAAATATCAAAATTTACAAACAATCCTTAAACATTAAAACTGGAAAATTCTTGTCTCCTACCATGTTCATTTATAATTATCGCATTGATATCATATATACAATAAATTCATCCAAACCTATCTTACCTCTCCGTATAAATCATATACATTTGTATACAATAAATTCATCCAAACCTATCTTACCTCTCCATATAAATTAACACAGAAAATGTTTCCATTGGTTGAACCTGCAAATATTCTCATTTCTGCTGCATCCATAGAAACTGATATAATGGGGGTATCAAAGATAAAAGAACATAATAGTTCACCTGTTGCCATATCCCATAACTACAAAATATAAACACAAAGAAATAATTTGGGACTAACATATGGTTCAGTCTTATTTCGATGATTCACTTACGTGTTCTGGTCTTTAGCAGTGGGAGGAAACCGGAGGACGTGAAGAAAATCCATAAGGTTGGGCAGGAGACTCTACTCCCTGTCATGTACAACCGGGAAATCGAAACCACATTGCGTTTAACTAAATGACAGACTGTGTGATGCAGCGCACACAGACTAACCATTCGGCTATCCCACCGCCCTTGTCTATGCAAGGATAAATATTTATCATATAAAAATAAATCAGCTACCATGAACATCGAGAAAACAGCATTCCTTTAACAGACATGCCCACTGTCACATAATGTCCGGAGTCTTAAGATTGTGTTATCATAGCACCTGTGAGGGCAGGAAAACTGCACCACACACAAACAAACATAAACCCAGCAAGATATACACGTGGACAAGCCATACAGCAATAAACAGGAAAAGTATTATCAAATCAAGTGAATGGATCTGGGCGCCGGTCGTAAGAATTCACTACACTATACAGTCCTGAGCCTGCAGTGATACAGACTTCACTTAATATGAAAACAGACTCGCAGCAAGGTAGACAATCCAAAATAAAAGGAAACATTTCCCAAACATTCTAGTATATCTAATGATCGACTGTGTATTTACTAGGCTAGTACACCAAACACTGTATTATTATGGTTTATACCCATACTTTTTCTTGACTCTTTGATGTAAATGGGAGGATATATCAGTTGAAAAGTGGCCGTGTATCAGTTGAAAGGGGACAAAAAAAACCAACAAAATCATGATTTACATATTTATTTGAACATCTACAACCCGTTTTGAACAAGTTATGGTAAAAGAGTCATCATTTTCAACTGTCGCGGCACTTTTCAAATGTGCATCACTCTCTGTCATATTCTTACATTTTGTCTCACATTTCTTTACATTTTGATATCTAGTCGCACTTTCACATTTTGTCGCACTTTCACATTTTGTCACAGCTTATGCTCATCGCCTCGGAGCCCCACTCAAAAAAGAGACGGTGTATCAACCCATACACAATGAAAACAAGGTATATAACTATTACATACACCATGATCGACTGTGTATTAACAAGACATCTCAATGTTAGTACATTGAAGACAACAATTTGTAACTATTAAATTTCTAGAAATGAGGCTACAACCCAAGTATGACTGATCTCTTTGTTTATAATCTGGGGAATAATTCATATTAATGGTCAAGATCTATTACCCAAGTGGCTATTGTTCCATTACCTCAAGTATTTTATAAGGTTAAATTCTCTAATGATCGTCATGGATTTTGAATTCCAGGCAACCAAAATTATTATTAAAGCTGAATCTCTAAATCAGTCCATAATGGTTCAATACTTCAATTTTATTCAGTACTAGCAGGATACACAGCTTAACCCGGGGCCCAAATTCAATTTCATAAGGGACCTATATTCGATGGCCTAAGCATGCCGGTTAATTTGATACCGCATATTTGGGAGTGGAGTGGGATGACGAAGCGTGATTTGCCTGGGCCAGTCCCAATTTGCCCTGGACCCAGGTTCATTTGCCCTGGACCCAGGTTCATTTGCCCTGGGGCCCAAATTCAATGGCCTAAAACATTCAAGGGGTCATGCTAGTTGATTTTATATGGGGTGCAGTGTTGAAGCATAATTAGCAAACATACATAAATACACACATACAATACATACACACTCTTATTTTATTCACTATTTACAAAGATAATAGCATGAACATTCACAACATTCGCAATCTTCTGCAGACGACATAAACGGGATATGGTCAAAACAAAACAATCAAAATTCCCTTTAAAATCAGGGTCTTCAAGTCTAATTGTATATGGACTTATCCACACAGTTGGTTTAGCTGTTGTTGTAGTGAGTGTATAGAGCTTGTTTATTATTTAACCCAGTAACTTATATGTATATAGAATATAAAGAAACAGTAATATTCCCCAAACAATGAACTTGACAAGACTGTATAGTAGTTTTAATCCAGGAAGCATTTAATATTTTACATTCGGTCCCCAACTGTGTCACCGAGATTCGATCTTACCTGAACTGTAAGGGATTCTTTCACCCATCAACAGTAATTTCAGTAAGGATTTAATTCGTCTCTATCATGGATTGTATTTATATAGAATATATATGTGTTTGTCAATGCAGGGATCGAACACGGAGTCTCCATGTTAGTGAGCCGTTACTACTTAAAACCAGTGGTTAGCCAATCAAAGAGTGAAATTAAAATTAGGAAATAATCACTGTTAACATTGTTGTACAAGCATGGCCGGCTAAATTTGAATAAAAAGTTGATTTCATCTGTTTTTCCATTTAAAGTGACATTAGGCAAGATTAGATAAAGAGCAGACAGTTCTCACAGTTCTCACTATAGTAGTTAAAAAATAGATAATATGAAAAGAGAATATGCTGAAAATTTCAATCAAGTTACTTCACTCTTAGCCAAGGAAATTGGCGATATAATTATAGGCTAGCCTCGATTGTCATTAATACCATTGTTACGATGATAAACAAAGTCTCAATTTTATGGTAACTGCATCCAGCACAAACGTATTTGAATCCACTAAATACCGTACACATCCGATGGCATCGAGAGTTGATTATGGTCTTGGTAAGTTAATTAATGTCTAATTAATAATTTATATAACATTTTAGGCCTAGAGAAAGATCTGCAATAGGCAGATTTAGATCTTGCATAATGTATGTTTAAAATGTCTTCCTTTCTATTATTTCTCAGTACTATGACCTATACTTGAGTCTTGGGAACATACAACGAAGAAGTTGACTCTGGGCATCACCAAACAGCTGTACCCCACTGCATAGAACAGAATGATGACGCTACTGTACACGTTGATATCTCAAATTATTATTTAATCTGTCTTGGAACGATTACGTATATCAGAGTTAGCGTAAGTAGTTTCCCAATTTTCACCATCAAAACATTCAACATTCACACTGTCAACTGTTCCAGGATCCAAACAATAATGCGTTATCCCTACTCCATCTGGGTTCGAACGAGGCGTATAAAAACTCTGAACACCACATATTTTACAGAACTGATGCTTTGCCTGTTTTGTGTTAAATTGATAAGTTGTCAAGCTTTCTTCTCCTTGAAGTAAAGTAAACTTAGAAGCTGGCACAACAAAATGCACGTTTTGTTTCATTCTGCAGATACTACAGTTACATGACAAGACATTTAAAACTCTTGGAGCCAGAACTTTAAAACGTACAGCTCCACAATGACAACCTCCAAGATGTTCAACTTCCATTTTTGTAACACTCTCTAATTTCCTTTTTATAAGTTTCTTTACAATTCTATAAGTAACAAAGGCAAATTTCTAAAGTTGTTAACACTCCTTTGTACTAAACAAGGCCTATTAATACAACAGCTGAAAGCCTCTGTGAACTCTATAACACTTGCTCCACATGTTAACAGTGTATATATGTGATATTACACTTGCTAGTCGAGTATTACTTACTAGAGCTCTGTACACCTTTTTTATCTCTACAAGTGACCTAGTTCGCTCTACTATGGCAATTCACAATTGATTTAAAGATGCACTAGATAAAGAGCTGGTTTGGCTGTTATTGCTATAATAGTTCAATAGTTACTTTATTCTGAGCGAAGTTATCCCTGTTTGAAGTTTTGACAAGATGGGGCATAGACTGTTTATTAGTGTAGGAACAGTACTAATTGATCATGACTAAGCCTTGATTTACCATGTTTAAATCTCTGCCATCTGATGGTCTAGAGAGTTGATTATAGGCTTGTCATGTGAACATATGTCTATATAATAATTTATATATATCATTTGAAGTCAAAATAAAAACCTGTAATTAGCAGATTCAGTTCTTACTGTACATACGGGTAATGCATCTTTAATCTTGGTAAGTTAAGATATAAATACTGATGACGTTTCCCTTGAGTAAGTCTCACTCATCAGACTTACTTTTTTCAGTGTAAAGAGAGCTATAAATAGGTTATCCTGAATCTAAAATGTTATGGGGCGAGGGAGGGAGAGAGAGGGAGAGAGAAAGAGAGAAATAGTGAAAGGGGGGGTAACATCCACTCGACACAAACTAGGTCATTTCGAGACTAACACATGGTTCAATTTTATTACAATAATTAGCTGAAAGCAGGGGTCTTTAGCAGTAGGAGGATACTGGAGGACTAGTAAAAAACCAACAAGTTGGAGAGGCGACCCTATTCCTTGTCATGTACAAGCAGAGAATCAAAACCATACCTCAATGACAGACCTTATGATCAACTCCCCTCAAATTTAAAGGACTATCTAATATTATTTACAGGTATATTAATTTTGTTAAAAGAAAGTAGTTATTACACAACAATGTGGGACTCTTTATTACATTTAACTATATAGCTAAATATAATACATTATATATTTGACTTGACCTACATATGAATCAAAATACTAAAACATGACCTACTTATGAAACAAAAATACTCTATTGAGGTTGATTCAAAAGCTACTAAAACATGAACATTACCTTAGTTTCTTTCTTATCTATTTGTGAAAAATAAGTTTTGAGAAGTGTCAAAACAAGTGGTAACTGAATGTATAGGATAATGGGCGATGTCAACATAATTTATAAATACATCCACCGTAACATAGAAAACATGACAGAGTCAATAAATATTTCTAATACTTAATGGGGCATTATACAAGAGGTAAATCTGACTATTGCAGGTCTTTTCTTAGGCCTTTTTTCAAATGGTTTCCCCTTGTCAGTGGTGCAGTACGGAGGGACTGGCCAGGACACTGTCTAGTCTGTCGGATACTATGAAAAACTGAGGTCCTGTTTATACATTATCAAAACTATTAATTAGACATTTATTAACATGACAAGACCATCGGATTGTTCCGATTTTAAGTAGATTACAATGGTTCAGCCATTTAATGATTTAATCTAAAAATGGTTACAATCAGTGCACACACCTTGTCAAACCTTCAAAGGCTAATATCTTTGCTCAGAATTAAGTAATTTGAATGAAATTTTCAATCTATTCATTTTGCATTATCTATTTTTGAACTATTATAGCATGAACAGCCAGCTCTGTCTGTCTGTCTCTCTCTCTCTCTCTCCCACACAACCTATGGATCCTTATTTTTTTTTTGGGGGGGGGGGGGTTCAGGGTTGCTAAATATTTTTATCATCTAAATTAAACAAGGAAAACAATCCAACAGTGAGGCTGATGTCCCCCGCCGAAATAGGAAAATAATTAGAGGACACATATAAATTTATCACAAATAAGCGGAACGGACAGACAGACAAACAGACAGACGGACGAACCCATTTTAATAGTTCCCTGCTTTCTTCGAAAGGCGGGGGACAATCAAAGTAGGAGAGTTATTGTTTTCCAAAGTCTCGACCAATCAAATTGCGTATCGCTCTGCTTACCCTGAGCAGAAAATGCTCATTATCAAATTTAGTCAAGGTATTACTGTAATGAAACTATACACCAAGTTTCATCAATCTCACTTAATTAGAACTAAAGTTATTGTGTCCCAAAGCATCAACCAATCAAATTGCTTATCTCTGCTTACCCTAAGCGGAAAATGCTCATCTTCGAACTCCATCAAGGCATTGACCTAATCAACACATACACCAAGTTTGAACATTCTAGCTCAATTAGGAAGAGAGTTATCGTGCCCCAAAGTATCAACCAATCAAATTGCTTATCTCTGCTTACCCTAAGCGGAAAATGCTCATCTTCGAACTCCATCAAGGCATTGACCTAATAAACACATACACCAAGTTTGAACATTCTAGCTCAATTAGGAAGAGAGTTATTGTGTCCCAAAAAGTGTGACGGACAGACAGACGGACGTACAGACAGACGTACAGACAGACGGACAGACAGACAGACAGACAGACAGACAGACAGACGGACGAACCCATTTTAATAGTCCCCTGCTTTCTTCGAAAGGCGGGGGACAATGACAAAATGTTCTATTTTATTTGTAGAATAACTAACAAGATTAAACCCCCAAAAATGAAATGCAGGTTAGATAATATTTTGACCCGAATTAGGGTGACCACTTGTGTACCATTATTTTGGGGACAGGCCCAGGGTGGATAAAGGAAGTTCAAGAACAGGTGGGATGGGACATTGCCAAAGGCAATACATCGGATGGTGGGAGGGGTGCTAGCACCGATTGGGGAGGGGCATTCTCCACCATCATTATTTCAAAAAATTTTGATTTTTGCCTTGTATTTGGTTCTAGTTCTAGTGTGTTTTAAGAACATTTGACTGTATTGTTCATTTCTAACACTTGCACCAATTAATTGGGGGATACCTTAACTCAAGCCAAACATACATGTATGAACAGTATTCTGAACCAGATGTTGACAATTATTTTCATGCTAACAAAGTATTTGTTTTCTTGGATTTTAAGGTACATATCTGGTAGACATTTTTAAATATATAGAAACTAATGTAAACTTCTGAAATAATTATGGTTTATGTTGTATACCACGCCCTTTCTAGGATACCTGATACCTATTCTCAGTCCAAGTAGTTAACAATACATTTTCGGTCAGTAATCAAAGAATTTTCAAGCAATATTATTATTTTCGATTATTGTCTGCCAATAAATTCAGGAAACATTCTACAATCATGTTAAGCTCGTAACATTTAATCACATTGGGTTCCGCACACCTAGGTTGTTTTACCGAGTTGATTCAGACCAACTTTCTCAAACACCATATTCCACAACATGTATAGAAATGAAATGAAATGGGGTTTAACGTCCTACTGTTCTGCTCTGAGTAGGCTAGTGAAGAAGGGCATACGCCATACAGTGTGCTATGAGGGAAATTTTGTCCGGGCAGTGGCAATATGGCCAACTCTTATATCAAATTTCAACTGCCAAGGGATCTTTTACGGCAACGCCAATGTATACACGGGACCTTGGTTTTTTGTCACATCCGAATGACTAGACAGCTGTTCATGTCAGGCCCCCCCCCCCCATCCTGCACCACTGATAAGGGGAACCCATGCTGGAAAATCCTGATGAACTTTCTCGGCCAATGCAGGGATCGAACACCCGACCTCCAGGCTAGCGAGCCAACGTCTTACCACTTAGCCTCAACACGTATGGAATAAACGAAGATGTTCTATATTGCCTTGTTTATATATCAAGTTAAAAAAACAATGTCGCTGTTTAAACAAAAATGTAAAAGTAGGGTTGAATAAAATGAGTTTTATTTGAAAATTGTATTGTGTTTGTACTTACTTTACAAGTTTGATCTAATGAAGAGGAGATAACTCTAGCTCTAACACCACCTGCTCCAACATGCACATCTCTAATAGGTAATGAATGTCCAGACCAAACATATTTAGGTTCTGGTTTAGACAAAGGAAAATCTGTTGATGAAATTGTCCTGAAATAAAAATAAAAACATAACTGATGTGTCTCACTTATAACATGTTACAGATTTAAAAATTTGGTCAATGTTCCGATCATGTTACTATTTATTACAGTCAATTTTGAGAGGCAAGTTACATGTCTGTGAAATACATGAAGAAAGTTTATGCTGATGGTTGTCCAACCTTTACATTCAGTTCTTTAAATGTCTTGAATTATTCAAATTTAAAAGAATAAAATTTGAAAAGTAAAGAGTTATAACAAAGAAAATCCAAAGAAGCTCTCATAGTTTCAGTTATGTTATAAATCCTAGGACAAAAGAAGTATAGCGCCATTAAAATACAGTAATCACATTCCAATTCCATAGAACTGTTCGTTTTAATGTGTTCTATTATCAAATGTTGTTTAAACAGAATATCAATAGACTCTGATTCAATAAACATCTTAAATTATCAGGTAAAAAACAAAGTTTCAAATTAGAAATTATTTCATACCTTGCTAGACACCATACAATAACTAAATTATCTTCACCACCAGATATAAAATGGCTACCATCATCAGTGAATTTAATACACTTTACATCAAGATAATGACGACTGATAACTTTTAATAAATTCCCTGAACATGTCTACAATACAAAACAGATAAAACAAAAATTACAAAGGTTTTACATTGGCCATCATCCTTTGGTTTCTTCTTGAGTTTGAACCAACGGTACAAGACTCAGTTCGTTCTATCCAGAGGCGTTAGCATGTGCGCGCTGTATCATAAGGTCTATCATTGAGTCAACTGGTGTGGTTTTGATTCCCTGTTTGTACGTGGCAAGGAGTAGGGTCGCCTGTCCAACCTCGTGGGTTTTCTCTGTGTCCTCCCACTGCTAAAGGCCTCTACTTGCAAGCAAATTATTGAAATAAAATTAAAATCATATTAGTCCTAAAATGATCAAGGTTGTGTCTAGTGGGCGTTAAACCCCATCTCTCTTCTCTCAATCATCCTGAATAAAAATATCGTTTTAAAAAAAAAACCAGGACTTGCCAGTTGAAGTGATATATCTGACAAATAAGCTGTAATAAAGATTTTAAGCATAAGCTGATCCACTTAAGAATTTTCTTGGAAAGGGGTGTTCATTGCACAGTAGGCCTACAAAAAAACTTGAGTATTCAATACCTCTATAGATTTTTATTTTTAGACAAATTTCATAAGCTTTGAATCAGAAGGTTTCAATTCACATCTGAGTACCGATACTTATTTTATAAAAAGTTTCTAACATGAAAGTAATAAAAAAGTGTTCACTTATCACCATACCTGCCAAATATAAATTTTTTCAGCAATTCCAAAAATACAATAATTGCCATCTGGTGAGGCAGAGATACAGTTCACTTTTCCTGGTAATATTATCTTTAACTGATTCTGATCCTGTAAATATAAAAATACAAAATCTTCAAAAGTGGCTCCAAAAAGTAAGTACCTTTAAAGAGATTTAATCAAATTTGTTAGCAAAGTGAACTATAGAATTTTCAAACAAAATGAAATGAAATTTGCAGCAACCTTGAAACAGCCTATCAATAATAATAATAATAATGAACTTATAGACCGCCTGCATTCCAGTAAAGAATATTGCTCCGCGCTGCTATTACATTGAAGTCGAACGTATCCAGCTTGTGGCACTAGGTCCTACTCTTACTTTAAATTCCAATTGCATCAACTGGGATAATGAACATAGACATATGTCATACAGTGTTGTATAAGGGAAATTTTCCTGCCACCACCAGGGCCCAACTTGGGACTTCCAGGTTCGCTAAACAAAATGAAAAGCGGTATCAGTGTTCTAGAGAGACATGACATACCATGCCTCATGCATGAGAACTGTCATTTATTGCCAATTGTAGTATTGATTTCAACTTGAATTTCAAAATACTACTGAGTTAAGTATATACCCATTTCTATTCAGACCATAACTCAGAAATAAAAGGGAAATTAAATAATAAATGTCGCGAAATGTATATGTCAATTAAAATTAAATATACGATTTAGCTTACCTTTCTCTGTAATTCCCAAACATTGACAAGAGATTTCTGTCCCCCTCCACCGACTAAATAATCATCTCCTAAAAGACATAAACTATGACTACCAGAACTCCCACCTCTATACTGCATTAAACTGGTGCCAGTATGGAAATCCCAAACACAGGAATTCCATAGTTGACCTGAAGCGTCACTCGTGAAGAGTACCTAAAGTACAAAAGAAAGATAAGTTACGTGTCACGTCTGAAATCTGATTTTCTACAGGTCGGTTGGCTGGCCGAATGGTTAGAACGTGCACGCTGTATCATAAGGCCTGTCACTGAGTCAACTGGCGTGGTTTCGATTCCCCGGTTGTATGTGACAAGGAGTAGGGTTGTCTGTCCAAAATCGTGGGTTTTCTCCAGTCCTCCAGGTTCCTCCCACTGCTAAAGACCCCTTCACGCAAGCAAATTATTGAAATAAAATTGAATCATATGTTAGTCCCGAAATGACCTAGTTTGTATCGAGTGGACGTTAAACCCCATCTCTCTCTGATTTTCTATAACTTTTTATTGACAAATGTGTCACTAAACAATCATACACCTACCACCTAGCAATATTTCTGTTTCACCACCTTGCAACAGATTTTATTGCCCTTTAAAGATGCTTTCGCACATACAAACTTTGTGATTTGATGATATATATATTTGGATTATAAACATATTCAATCATTTTTATCTACATGTATAAAAAGTTTGCATCAAATCCTTCTCCAAACGTCACAATCTGAAGATAACTACCCCATGTCACAAGAATCAGGCTTGTTTATGACATTTCTTGATTGAGGGAGAATTCATTCTTCAGCTTGTATTTCATAGTCGCAGTCCATTTACCATAAATAACTACAGCCTTCGTAAATTCCTGCATTATCCTCTGCCAATTTCTTTTTCTGCAGCTTAGTTTACTGGACATTAAATTCTCTCAATTTTCCCACAAAGGTTAGCCATTAGATCAACATATTACATCACTTGAAAAGACTGGGCTAATGAAGACAGGCATATGTCATAGGCCCATAGTGTGCTATGAGGGAAATTTGGCTTACTCTTAAACCAAATTCCAACTGCCAAAGGATCTTTTACTTGCACGCCAATTTGTACAACCTTGGTTTTTCATCCCGTCGAAACAATACGTTGGCAAACAAAGGGATCGAAATTAACGAACACAGGACCTCCAGGCTAGCAAGCTAACTTCTTTTTCACTGAGTCATCTTGGTTCCCAGGCTAGTACGTCCAGTATTTAGTAATAAAGTAAGAAGAAAAGTCATGTGGTGTTCTATAGTATGGGGGTAACTGGGCATGGACATCGCCACAAACAGATCTTATTTTAAAAAAAAATTCCTACTACATTCAATGATGTAGATGAAATGGGATTGGGGCCTCAGTTTTTTGTTCTATCCATATGACTACAGACTAGACTCAAAAGACTGCTTCACTTGACTTGTTAAAACAAAAAAACAAAAAAAAAAACGTACGGAATTTGTTTTGAGATGTCAGAAGTAAGAAGAAAAAAGGCTATTGTTCCTGATAAAGGCACGGTGTAATTCTGTGGTAGTGGAATAATTACATCGACATGATCGTTACAGATAAATTAAACGTCAAATTAAACATAAACCAAAATAAAAACATGTACCTCTCTGGGCGCTGACATCTTGGTTTATTAAAATTTTGTAACTCTTTCTAAAAATAATATTACGATACGAAGTTCTCAATTTGAAACTCTTTCTTAGAATATTACGAAACGATATAGTCCAGTTGCACGCAAAATTAAAAGAAATAAATGAAATGAAATGGGGTTTAACGTCCTACTGTTCTGCTCCTCAAAATTAAAAGAAAGCAATTGAGATTACAAAAAGTAATAATTTATGATCTCCTTCATTGTGAGAATCACACTGTGTACTACTTCCTAAATGCTGGTCTTTGTAACCTTCTTTGTATTGCCACAGCAATATATATGTGTCTTTGTACCAACACATCTATCAGTGAATTTGATTTAATTTGCTTTTGTTTATTTTGTTAATTCCTATTTTTTTTTTTATCATTAGCAAAATTCAGTAATTTTCAAAGACAGCGGTTTAATGTTTTTTTGGAAGGAGCCACGATTCCTCAGTCAGTAATTAATTAAGGCGCTGGTGCACTAACCAAGCGGTCTAAAGTTTGATCCCGATGTTGAGCAAGAAAGTTACTCAGATTTTATTCAGCATTGTTTCCCCCCCTTGACAATGTTGCAGACAGACGGCCTGGCAAGGAACAGTGTCTAGTCATTTTGATGGTCTCCTGTAGCCTACACATTCATTGCTCTGTAAGTAAAAGTACCATTGACGATAAAATCTGAAACAAAAACAGGATACAGAGCCGCAATCTGGGCAAAATTTCCATCATAGCATGGTGTATAATTGTCTTATTTAGCTCAGTTCGTGTAGAAAAGTAGGACATTAAACCCCATCCATTTCATTTCATTCAAATGGCATACAGTATCATACTATATGTGTTGTCCCTTATGTAATGTTGTATGTGTAAGAGAGTATGCACTCCACTGAGAGAGGTCAGTTAACTTGTGGTTGTCAGTGAGGTGAGGACATCATTTGTGATGTTCAGTGAATTGGAATAAACACCTCTAGAACTTCTGTCATCTAATTATATGAATAGGCTTAAGGCCTATGTAACACAAAACTGTAAAGTTTGAAAGCTACCTGATCATTTGTTTGGTTTCTATTACAACTACTAGTATGTTTGCTTAAATATGCATTATGTAGGATTTCGATTAAGAGCTGAATATATTGAAAATCTAATTCAAATTACTTTATTCTGTGTGAAGTTATAACAGTTTGAAGATGTAGCGTTGATCGTTTATAATCGTAGCAATGGTACTTGACACCCGAACCCAAGTCTCGATTACCGATTTTATTGTTAAATTTTTATATCTCGCGGGTGTTCAAATCCATTTAAATTTCAGCCATTCGATGCTCTAGAGAGTGGATTTTAGGCTTGTCATATGAATTAATGTCTAAATAATAATTTATATAAGATGTGACATCAGAAAAACGACCTGGCACCCACTGGGCAGATTTAGCTCTTACATAATGCATCTTTAAAACTGATAGCCTACCAATGTACAACTAGGTCTGTTAAAGAATTTATGTAGTGTCTACTCCACACAAACTAGGTCATTTCGGGCCTTACATACACGGTTTAATTTCAATTAGCTTGCGAGTAGGGGTCTTTAGCTTGCGAGTAGGGGTCTTTAGCAGTGGGAGGAAACCGGAGGACCCAGAGAAAACCCACGAGGTTGGACAGGTGACCCTGCTCCTTGTCACGTACAACCGGGGATTCGTAACCACGCCAGTTGACTCAATGACAGAGAGAGAGAGAGACAGAGAAATGGGGTTTAATGTCCACTAGACACAAACTAGGTAATTTTGGGATTAACATATGTTTTTTAAAATTTTATTTCAATAATTCGCTTGCGCGTCGTGGTCTTTAGCAGTGGGAGGAAACCGGAGGACCCAGAGAAAACGCACAAGGTTGGACAGGCGACCCTACTCCTTGTCACTACCACGCCAGTTGACTCAATGACAGGCCTTATGATACAGCATGCACATGCTAACCATTCAGCCATCCAACCCCTCTCAATGACAGACCTACGATGCTACGAGCACGCACAAAGAAATAGAAACAAAAGCTTCAACAAAGTATCTGTTTTCAATATAAAGTATGTTTATTGTGATTGGGTTACCGACACGTTAAATGTGAAACAAAAATGTAATAATAATCACATAAATAAAAGACAGCACTTCTCCAAAAGCTTAAAGTTATATATCACAAATACATATACACAAATTCAAAATAAAAATAACAAACGATATGGGCTTCAAATGAAACATTGACAAAAGAACGTTTGCATTAAATTCATTCCCTTATCTTTGATTTTGATAATATTCCAACTGTGAAATTGTGCCAAAAATTTACAATCAAATGTAATTAGTTTCACAGGCACCTGTAATGTGGACAAAAGCTTTCAATATCAAACTGTGATTATAAAAGAGAGATTATAAAATAACTGGTCAGAATTCGATTCAGGGGCAAATAAAGATGGGGTAATACAATCTGTCAAACAGTTGCAAGAGAGAGAGAAATGGGGTTGAAGTTCAACCATTAACGTCCACTCGACACAAACTAGGTAATTTTGGGACTAACATATGGTTTAATTTTATTTCAATAATTCGCTTGCGCTTAGAGGTCTTTAGCAGTAGGCAGAAACGGAGGACCCAGAGAAAACCCATGAGGTTGGACAGACGACCCTACTCCTTGTCACGTACAATCAGGGAATCGAAATCATGCCAGCTGACTCAATGGCAGACCTTATGATACAGCGCGCACATGCTAACCATTCGGCCATCCAACCCCCCTCAACCAGTTGCAATACTATAATCATTAATTTTCACTAGTTAGGCAATCAAGTCTATAAATGATAACAATGTTTTTGACCGTCATCATAGACTCGGTTTAGAGTTAGGCAATCAAGTCTATAAATGACAACAATATTTTTGACCGTAATCATAGGCTCGGTTCAGACCAGTTAATTTAGAATCTCGCTCACTTAGTCACACATTGAAAGGGATTTTCCACATTACCGGTGTCTATAATTAGTCTATGTACAAAATAAATTATTGGTATAACTAAACAAATATAATACAAAAACAAAACAGCATGTCTTCCAAACAATGTATTCTCATTCTTTCCTATTCGCAACTTCTCTGGCATAATATAGCCTAGTTGGTGCTGACATGCCCATAAACACAATTTCATTTTTTCAGCCCCCCCACCCCTAAACATTATAATTGATTAATTTCAAAATCAAGGAACACATTGGTTTTGTTATCCTCCTCGTAAACAAGGTTCTTGTATGTTGGTTAAAACAAAACAGGATATTGAACAAGAATATGATATTCTCATATATTCTTACCACCATTTACACAGGAAATAAATGTCTTATTGATAGATCAATCCTAAATGGTTAACTAACTATGACACTAACAAATGTAAAGGTTTTAATTTGGTAATTAGAGATACATTATGTAAGATTTATATAAAGGCCGTTCTTGCCTGTAATAGTTCAAAAAAAGATAATGGAAAATGTATATATTGAAAATTTCATTCAAATTACTTTGTTATAGGCGAAGTTATGACTGTTTGAAGATTTAGCGTAGATCATTTATTATCGTAGCAAAGGTACTTGACAACCAAGACTAAGTCTCAATTATCCATTTTATTGTTGCATTTTTAAATCTCATGAGTTTTCAAATCCATTTAATCTCGGCCATCCAATGACCTAGAGAGTTGATTATAGGTTTGTCATGTGAATAAATCTCTAAATAATAATGTATATAACATTTGAAGCCAGAAAAAAGACCTGGCAGCCACTAGGCAGATTTAGCTCTAACATAATGCACCTTTAACTACACAAGCCCTGTGCACAATGCACAAAATATTAGATCGGTCTCTGTTTTTTTAGTTAAGTTACCAACATTCTTAATAGAAATTGTTGACTCATGTAGGAAAAATTCTAGTGATTGTAAAACCAAAGTATACATGACAGTTGGAATTGGATTTTTGAAATTGACATAATGTGAAATATGGAGAGAGAAATGGGGTTTAACGTCCACTTGACACAAACTAGGTCATTTCGGAACTAACACATGGTTCAATTTTATTTCAATAAGGGGTCTTTTGTAGTGGGAGGTAACCAGAGGACCTGGAGAAAACCCACGAGGTTGGACAGGCAACCCTACTCCTTATCACGTACAACCGGGGAATCGAAACCCTGCCAGTTGACTCAATGACAGACCTTATGATACAGATACAGGGGGCACAAGCTAACCATTCGGTCATCCAATCCTCCTATATGAAATATAAAGATAGAAATTTCATGACAAAGTTAGTATTACTTCATCAAATTACTATAAAAAAGACATTTAACAAAAAAATACACAGACAAGCTTAAAGAGGTAAATGCAACAAGTCAACAAAAAGAAGCAAAACAATATGGTTATAAATGAATCATAGTAAAAAAAACGATGTTGAAATATCTAACATAATTGTGAAAATGAAAAAGGTGCATAATCAATTGTTTAACCCCATTTAGTTTACTATAAATATAAATCTTATGTAAAATACATCTTTAAATCCAAAATGTAAAAGATGTAGAGATACGTTCTAAAGTTTTTCAATGCTATAAATAGTTAATTTGGGAATATCGTGAAACAAGAAACAAATGCCAGAGTAGGTAAAATGGTAAAATGCGGTCATTCCATAGTTATATTAATTACTGGTACAATTCCCTTTTGCAACGTTCCGTCATGGACCTTATAATGTATTATAAGGTCCATGGTTCCGTTAAATCAGCAGTATTGTTAAATAAACATCCTTCAATGCCATTTATAATATTGAATGATGTTATTATCGGATCGAGTTCTGCTAATTCTGTTGCCAAATTCTGGAACAAACATTGAGTGTTGACATTTAAATTGGTTCACAAAGGCATGGAAATAATGATTTTAGACACAACTGAACCATCCTCTGTATCCCCAGTGTTCTCATTCCATTCTACTCCACTATACCCTGGGTTAATCCATGGGGTATTCACGTATTTAAATTATCTGCCCTTGATGATAGCTTGATTTTACAAACCATCAAAAACAGTTTACAAAGCAGTCTTAGCCTCATTGCTTATGTTCACAACAATATGGCAGCTTGTTTGTTGCAGCAAAATGAGATTTACTTCCATGAGCCAACTTCCTTTGTATTCAACATTTTGATTGGTCGATAAAAATAGCACAGTCATCAAGAGTAGATAATTTGAATATAAATGTCTCCCCCATGGATGAACACAGGGGTTAGTGGAATGGAATGAGACCACTGGGAATATGATACAGAGGATGCTATTGAACTAGTAATGGACATTTTAATATTAATAATATTAAAATAAACACAGAAAAAAGACAAAATAACAGGCACCAGAGGGAATATGTCTGGTAAATTGTGCCTGATAATTTCTGACCGGTGCCTTATTTCTAGGGTTGTGTTTAACCTTTGTTTTATTATGCATTTAAGTAGACATGTACAAAGTCGCATCTAAACTAACATTTCTGACTGTTGTTTGTCCTGGGTTGGTGGCTACACTAGGTCTTTCCCAGAGGCTGAAATTTGGTGTATATTGGGGATAGCTCGGACCAGGGAGTAACATTGGCCAGGTGGCGTTGGGCTACAGCTTCCGGAGTTATACTACTTTCAACCTGTTTCGTAATTCTTTAAGATGTATTTTACAAGAAATATCCAGATCAAAGTAACAATCTTACCAATAATAAAATATTAACACAGTAATATTATTATTCATTTCTAAGAGTTTCTGAAATTAGTCCCAAGCATGTGTAATCATTCAACCACTATTATTGCACAAAAATACTCTCATGTCATTTTTTTAGTATTTTTACAAATCTAAAATTACCCCCCTTTGATATATATACATATAGATAAATAATTAAGTTTCATAAAGTTATTAATACATAATTTAAGTAAATATACAAAATGGGTTCTATTGCAAATATATCAAATATGGAATACATTATATACCTTTCACTTTCAAGTAAATATATTAAAGATACATTCTGTAAGATTTAGCTAAAGAGCTGGCCGTTTTTGCTATAATAATTCAAAAATAGATAATGCAGAATGAATATATTGACAATTTCATTCAAATTACTTTATTCTGAGCCAAGTTATCACTGTTTGAAGTTTTGACAAGATGTGGAATAGGTTGTTTATTTAATCCATTTAAATCACTGTTCTAGAGTGTTAATTATAAGATGTCATGTGAATAAATGTCTAGAATAATAGTTTATACATTGAAGCCTAATTATATCCCCATCTTCAGTAAAATTGATAATAATTTTGATCACGTATTAACAAATATTGTATCCATCTACAGTATATTATCTTTAAAGGGCATTTAGTGAAAGCAATATATAAAAACAGACAGATTTATGGATAACATTCACTAGTTTTTTTAACTGCAACGTTTCAATGAAGAACTCTTACCATTATCAAGCAATGAAACGTTGCAGTTAATAAACCTAGTGAATGCTGTCCATAAAGCCAGCTGTTATTAAAGTATATTAGTAAAATTGTCACCTCTGAGACAATATGATTAAAATACAGATTCGTTTTTTTATACTTTTGATTGGCCCTACTACATGAAGATCTGACTAGTTGTAGTGGGAGGTCACATCAGGGGTCACACGAGCGGCTTTTGACCCTATTTCCGACATATGATTAACCAATCAGTGTTGATGTTTCTAATAGGATACCCACAGTCCCGGGCATCGCACACCAAGAACTCACTGTATCAGACCATTTCATTGGCTAATCCCTTACATCAACCAGAACACAGGTTATATAACGATTCTTCCAGATAGTGTAGTAAAGCCAAGGAAAATTTAGAACTATAAAAAACGAAACGAAATAGAATCCGTGTTTTAATCAGACTGCCTCTGAGATGAATTGGTTCTAATTACAGTCTCGTCATCATTCACAGATACATATATAAATAATCCAGTATCACATTATAAAATGGTTCAGCAAATTAAATAATCTATTTACATTTATCAGAGAGAAACAATTCTATATTTAATATAATTAACAATGGTACGGTCACCTTTTTATTTCTCGATGAAAAAAAATTACATATCAAATTCAAATTCATTAATTAAATTGCACAATATTGAAAATTCAGATCCTTTTCAATAACTTTAATATTCATTCTCTCAACGCACTCACATCTTTTATCATAAATGAGATCATATATTCAAATATTTTCATTCAGTGTCTCATAGAAAAGATTAAAAAAAACTTTTTAACACAATTTGGTTTTAATAGGAAACCAAAAAAAATTCTTTAGATTTTTTTTGTAAAATTCAAGTTCTTGTTGTATTTCATTCGAAATTAAACTGGTGAACAGTCTACTTACACCTATGTTGACCTCTGAACTACGTAAACAGAAGCATGCAGAAGGGGTGGGAACAGAGGGAATCCATTTAAGGGCATCCAATCAACGAGTGGAATTAAAATTAAGTTTACTGTTGGTATACAGGCTGCCCTACTTATTTAAAACATCTTAAGACACAAACTATCATGTATATGTTATAACATATAATGTTAAATTGTTTCAATGGCATTTAATAATTGTACTCGAGTATACAGGTCACAATTCTATGGAATACAATTACTGCTTATTACTGAGAGGCTTCTCTAGTCATTATCAAGCAATGATAAAATATTAAAATATAACAAGACAATATATACATGTACACAACAATAATTAGTTAATGCTGACCAACCTTTATCTCTGGTTGGTCAGCATTAACTAAGTATTGTTGTATATATATTGTCTTGTCATATTTTCATATTTTATCATTGCTTGATAATGACTAGAGAAGCCTAGTCAAAATGTCGCTCAGTAATAAGCAGTAATTCACTTCCATAGAATTGTTACCTGTATGTAACATATAATGTTGTGCAATATTTTGTGTCTGATAATGCCTGTGACAGGTGCCTTATGTTCAGGCTTGCCTATTGTCTCCTGTACATGTGATTTTTGTTTCAATGCATGCATATTATATAAATATTAACCTTTGTTACATATCTACACCTACAAAGAATAGCCATATGTCAATCAATATAGATAACAGTATATTGTTATAAGTATCCACTATCTTTATCGAAGTACAAATGCTAAACAAACCCATTAAACTGGGTTTAAAAAATCACAAGTCATTGAATGCATACTGTCTGTATAAGTTCAGTTTTCTATTATATGTGTAAGTTAGGATGATGGTTATTCAACAAGGCTTGATCTTTGTGCTGTACTGAACAAATTCTCAATGTTTTTTTTTTAAAAGTAACCTACCGATAAACTAGTTGAATATTTTTATAGAGTTATCTATTGTTGTATCAATGTTTTCATCACTTCACAAACTGTTTACAAGGTTTGTTTCCGTGATATAGCACCAGGATCATTGTTTATCACATCAGCTTGTTTCATACGTCGTTAATAGTGCTGCATCAACTGGTTCCAAACATGATGGACAAATAAAAGATCGCATTAGCCAATCATCTATACAATCCTTGTGGTATGTGTGCATACACGGTAAAAATCGTAACATATCACCTAATAGGAATTCTTCCATACATATACAGCACCTGAAACATGCAAATATATTTTCAGCACATTAAAAAACAAACAGATTTGGAGACATCAAAAGATAAATGAGATTTGCCGTCCACTTATACATGTAGCTGCTGATCGTCATATTTCAGACATTATTTACATTCTCATGGTTCACCCACACTAAAATGTAATCATAATTGATTAATAAAGAAATGAAATGGGGTTTAACATCCTATTGTTCTGCTCCTGTATTGGGTTAATGAAGACGGGCATACGCCATATAGTGAGCTGCTATGAGGGGAATTTTGCACGGGCAACGGCACTACGACCTACTCTTAGAATTCCAACTGTCAATGGATCTTTTACGTGCATGCCAATGTATACACGGGACCTTGGTTTTTCATTGAAAATCCTTTAAATGATGATGAATTATTTCCTCATTTCACACACCACGATATGAAATATGATCGACTGGCAGAGCAGCACTAGAACACCAGTATGATTAGAGATGGATAGAAACATCAGTATGTCAGTTTATCTTTTCATACATGTGAAGTCTAGGGTAGTTTAATTATGAAACTAATGTGGGAAAACAAGCATGCAAGAGTTATCTCCCTTCCAATAGGCAGATTTACCTCTTATCTTCTTTAAAAATATGAAACCATGTGACAATTATTGACCAATCAAAATGCTTTTATGCCTACCTGCACATGTAAAGGCTGTGTATAACATAATGTGCATGGTAGTAGTCCCACATACTAATTACCTGTACATAAGAACGTATATGAATTCCAAGAAAATTTATATATTATGTACTTACTCTTTGGCCTTTTTACTGGTGCCATCAAATACACCAGTTGGCAGATGATTAATAAGGCCTAATCGTTGGGCTATTTTGATCTGTTCTTCTTCAGTTAATTGGTTAGCTGGCCTGCTAACATTAGGTGACGGATGATAGATGGGTACAGACTCCTGAAATAAGCCCAAATAAATTCTATTACAGAAATGCAGACAGATTATTTATACAAATTTATGGTCATTAGTACATGTTCACAAGCATTAAAGGAGCTAAGTCGCTAATATTTGGGACCCAGAAATTGACACAAATGGGTCGCAACGCATACAATAATGTAATATGAATGTATATAAATTAATTTACATTCAATCGTTTCTTTTTTACTGTAATTTCAAATCAGTTAGGTTCGGTGACATACGGCAGTATTCTCAATCGAATTCCAATCTCTAACTTCTGGTTATTCCAGTCTACGCCGATAGTATTTATTGGGCATGCTCTCCAGATAAGAATATAGTGTCACCGTTTGACATGACTTCTGGAATATGCCTAGCCTCGTTTTTCGAATTCCTTATTACACATAGCGCTGAAAGGCATTATGGTACACGATTCGTGTACCAATTGTAAACTGTTTATTTAGTCTTAAACATTGGATATCAGGGCCATCTTTTCCCGGTAAGATCACAACATCAATGTTGATTTATACCCAAAATTAAATCGTGTTTTCAATGTCGAAGATTTTGGATGATATTGAGTTAGAGACTTAGCTACTTTAAAATGACTAGACTTCCTCCTTTTGGCTTAAAAAATAGATTGGGAGGTGAGATTAGTCTATATTTAAAATTATACTAGGTGTACAAATAGAGCAAATATTGGGATACAACTGATTTCATGTTCTGCAGTTGTCAAAAGTTAAAAAAAACGAAACGAAAATAAAACAGACCAACTTACAGCTCATCTGCCAAAATGATAATTTGATGAAATGGAGCTAGTCCCCATTACTGATCAAATTTACATAACCAATTGAGACTATTTTTTACCTAATTTAAAGAGGTTTTGCTCTTTTAACCCATGCAAGTAGGTTTTAATATTTTGCTGAGATTGCAAGATCAGGTAACTCTGTATAATATGATTCATGATTTTGTATAATAAATCTGCCAGAGAGAGAGAGAGAGAGAAATGGGGTTTAATGTCCACTCGACACAAACAAGGTCATTTCGGGACTAACATATGGTTTAATTTTATTTCAATAATTCGCTTCCGCGTAGGGGTCTTTAGCAGTGGGAGGAAACCGGAGGACCCGGAGAAAACCCATGAGGTTGGACAGGCAACCCTACTCCTTGTCACGTACAACCGAGGAATCGAAACCACGCCAGTTGACTCAATGACAGGTCTTATGATACAGCACGCACGTGCTAACCATTCGGCCTCCAACCCCCCTTCTGCCAGAGATAATGTACACATGGGAAAAGAAATAACATAAGAATCCCTAGTACATCATTGATCACCAGTCTAGTCACTTGCTCTACATTCAGTATGCATCTTAATACTGTTTACACAAGGAAGTAAACTGAACTTGAGTTTGAACTTGAAAGCCGTCAAGATGACAATGTCAAATTCAAACTACCATAATTGGTCATGACTTCAGTTACATGTGATCAATTGAATAAATTATATTACATGTATCTTTCTATAAATATACTTTTATATTGCATATGATTTTAAACCCTATATTAAATCTTTATTCTGGCATGTTGGGGCATTAATGATAACATTCAAACTATTGTAATTGTTCAAGACTTCAGTTACATGTGATCAATTTGTACAACATGTATCTTTTAATAAATGTACTTTTATATTGCATACGATTTTAAGCCCTATATTAAATCTATATTCTAGCATGTTGGGGTGTTAATGATAAAACTTTAACGGGGAGTCTTAAACTCAATAGCTAATCTACATGTATATTCTGGCATTTTGGGGCTTTACCAAAGTGAATTTATAGATGTACCTACCGGTATTTCTACTTAACTTCATCAGGAAGGATTTTTATTAAGGACAAGATTTGTTAAACAAAGCAAAACATCCTCATTCACATTTAAAGATAATAAGAGAGAGAGAGAGAGAGAGAGAGAGAGAGAGAGAGAGAAATATGATTTAAGTCCACTCGACACAAACCAGGTCATTTGGTAATAACATATCGTTTAATCTTATTTCAATCATTCGCTTGCGCGTCGGGGGATTTAGCAGTGGGAGGAAACCGGAGGACCTGGAGAAAACCCACGAGGTTGGACAGGCGACCCTACTTCTTGCCATGTACAACCAGGGAATCAAAACCATGCAGGTTAACTCAATGACAGACCGTGCTAATCATTCGGCCATCCAGCCCCCAGAGGATAATAACAAACATCTGATGCAATTATATTTAAGGTATCGGCCTAGATACAAAAATTTCAAAGTAGTCAATATCTGACTATTCATTTAATCGAATGTTTCTACTTTTCTGTGTACTAAGATTGAGATAACATTATAAAACTTTCTCAGTGTAACTGAGGTGAGATACAAAAAAAGAAGTTGAACTTTAGATAACCTTTCCTTGTTGTGAATTTTTTTTTCATAATATCAAGTATTACATAAATAACATTATAGAGTTTAGTACTATTAGTACTAACCTAGATAATCCTATTTTAATTCAGGACATATAGATAAATAGACTAACTTGAACTCTGTTCCAGTGTATATAGGGAAAAGAAATATTGTTTTGATTATAAGAAAATATTTAGACCTATTTTTCATAAACAATATTTATTCTCATCCCCAAAGTACAGGGGTGTAAATTATTCCACAATATATCATTTTTTCCTCAAAATGCCTTCTGTCCCTTACTCATATCTCTGACCTTGTGACCCGCACATTTCTTCCTCAACTCACTACTAAGTCAGAAAATATGCTTCTCACAGCAAAATAAAAAAATATTCTTCCTCATCGATACATGTACATATAGAGTGATGACAATATCCTTCCTCACAATATCCCAGAATTTGAATTTGGATATTTGGATGGGTCAAAAAGCTATAAAATTAAGGATGCCGACTTGTCTTATCATGGGTGGGAGCATGTTCCTGAAGCAACGACCGCGAGTTTTACAACATCTAACCGTTGCTTCAATACTCAACAATTCCCGAATTTTTGCGCTCGTTGTGTTTACACGTGACTAATTAGCATTGTCCAATCAGAGGTCGTGGCACATAACACACTGTAAACAAATATGGCGGCCTCCATAGAAAAAGAAATAGACAAGTTTACAGCCTTTGTTGATCAACCATGATTTCCAGCAACCTTGACATTGATCGAACCTTGAACTTTGCAACTCGATTGTCACATGTAGACATTTTAGCTAGAAGCGCGAGACTTGATAATCGTAACCATATTTTTAACGAAGGAATCTGATAGGATCACAAGCTGGGCTTATACCCAATCGAAATTAGTGCTAAAATATGCGGGGTATTACGTGAAGGGCTTAAAGATGTACGTAGTTAAGGCGAGATCAAGCCTTCTATTGAAGATGGGGTGGGGGTGTAAAATTTATTCTCCCCACTGAAATCAGAGTATTAATTGAAGTCTAAATCAGTTATACTAGAAGCCAAATTCTTATTAAATGTATTCGTCAATGGTTATTATAATGATGTGTATCTTATATTATTTGATATAGATGCATATAATTTAGTAAACATCTTCCTTGTTTTGTTTTACATTATGTACAAATGAAATGCACAACAACAAATACAGTCATGCAATTTGATCAAAGCATGTCACTAAATTAATCACAATAAATGTTTGATGACACAGCTGATACATGTGTTGTATTTGAATAGTCAACAGATCAGTTAAAATCATGTATGATTATTTACACATCTGTCTCTTTTGTGATTTTCAAAATGATATTGTTGGTCAACGAGCCAATCATTGCAACTCAATGTGTAGCTTTATACAACAATATGAATTGAGAAGTAATATAATAAGGTCAACAGCTAGACTATATCATATATGACATGTCTATTGAAATAAAATACAACACTAGTTCATAATCATATAGGCCTACTCTAAATTTGGATCAGAAAAAAAAACTGAATTTTTTAAAATGCAAAATTTACATTTGAAATGAATTGTTTTATCTTTTGTGGATTACATGGGTTCTTTCTTGTAATACTAGTAGTTTGTTTGTTTTGGTGATCACAGAGGACATTATTTATACCTATGATGACTATACATGTGTGTGACGTGATATCAGCTGGTCATGATCCAATTATTAACCCATTCAGCATTGTCAATACAATCAGCTACCAACAAGTAAACAAACCAAGAACATTAACCTACTAATTCATAGATTAAAACTCTAATGTATTTATAGTTATCATAATAAAAATATAAATTGTCTTTGTTTAGATATTAACAGATTTTTAGGTCAACCTGATACGGTGGTGGTGGTCCCATATTCGCAGACTGGTCTGATGATACTTCTGGCCCAGCGTCGCTTCCTCTCAACAGCGAGATGTCGTCCGTGTTAGGGGACTTCAGACAATTACCCATCTTGATTACTGACGGGTATCCTCGTGGTTTATGAAAATTCCAATAGCTTTACATGGGAAACTGATGACGACAAAGTAATTTCCTTGTCTTGTCAATATCCCATCACTTCGTCCTAAACCAAAACATTCGCCCTTTTACTTCTAAAAACCTGCGCGTTAGACAGTGACGTCAATGGAAAATATACCACTCTAAATTGACATAAAATGTCTGTGCCGAAAAATGAAACACTATATGGCTAAATGTACGAAATATTTTAAAACGTTAAAAAGCCCACGTCCTAACTTAGATAAAGATATTTTCATTTTTTCAATTGTGTAGTTCCTGCGGATCAATATTGTTTTGATTACAAAGCTATATTTATTTATAGTACGGAGAGGTCAAAAGTCGAGCTTTTTGAATTTGTCAGACAAAATATTATGCCTTCAAATAATAATTAATGTGCGTGAATGATTGATATCAATGTTGATTTGAACAGTTTCGTTTTGATCAAGAAATGACAACTGGTAAAAAAAAATTCTTACGAAATATCCGGAAGAACGGTGCTAAATGGAAAGAAAAGCGCGGGAAAAGTGAAAGTAGACTAATGGTTGAGTTGAGGATATTGACGAAATAAAATAATGATATCCAGCTCTCGGAATGCCTCTATTGAAAATTATTTCAACAGAAAGCGCAAGAAGGACGGTTTTGAAGAATCTGATGAAAACGTGTTATTTGACAGAGAATCTGCCGCTCGGAATAACACTATTAAAACTCACTTAAACAAGTTGCGAAACAAAGAAGGGTTTGATGAATCTGAAATTAATGTGATATTAGACACTGTACATTTGTCATTGATTCAAATGGTATAAATTACTTTTACATTTAATTTTCGTTGAGACTGATTTTGTGTTAAACAGTCAACAAACATCTAAATCAACACTTCAGTTTGATCCACATAAAGATGTCTTACTCTTTGTAAAGGTCACCACATTTCATTTCTGCATGGGCATATCAATGGGCCGATATTATTACAACCTTGATCTTACTTAATGTGCAGGGATAACTTCAGCAAGAACCAAAGGCATTCAACTGTCAAGTTCTGGATAAGTGTGCAAAATCCTATAAATTATAAAGATGATCTGGCCGAAAAATGATCATCATCTTTCCCCCACCCCGATAATCTGGATGATTGTACAACAAAATATCTTAACTTTTCTTTTTCAGTCGGATATATGTGATGGTATGACGAAAAATCCTGATATTGGTCGAGTCATAGAACACATGATTCAGGCTCCATCCTTTATTGCCAACCAGGTCTCCTTAAATAAACTAATAGATTGTTTATTATTAATATACAAAAAAACATCGGGTCATAAAAGTGATAAACTAAAGAGTTGGCTTTTGGTGAGTTATACAATTAGAGAAAGTTCTAATTTTTAAATATTATTATAAACTGTGATATGACATTTGTTAAGCGCTTCGAAATATCATCGGATATAATTAAGCACTATAGAAGATTAATAATAATAATAACATATCATCCCAAAATAACCAAAATAGTGTTCAAAACAATTGTTCATTTGAGTATCTATTCTAATGTAATCAAACAAAAAATAACAGAGTTAATTTTTGTTTTACTTTTTTAGAAGATGTGTGGCTTATTTTAAATTAAATGTTGGAGCCGCGGTTGTTCATGTAAGATGCTGGCTCTCTAAAATAGGAGGTCTCAGGTTCGCTCAGGATGTTGGCCGAGAAAGTTCCTCAGTTTCCCGTTGTGATTGGTGCAGGACAGAAGGTCTGGCAAGGATACTGTCTAGTTGTTTGGATGGGATGAAAAACTTGGGTTCTGTGTACACATTACATGCATATAAATGAACCCTTGACAGTTGAAAGTCGAAATAAGAATAGGCCGTAACGCCACTGTTCGGACAAAAATTCCCTCATAGCACACTGTATGGATTGAGTCCGTCTTCATTAGCCCAGTCGGTACAGAAAAGTAGGATGTTAAACCCCATTTCATTTCAAGTTTAACGTATAACAAAGTTATGTAGATTATGTTTATGGTATTATCAGAAAGTGGGTGTATATTACATTTCCAAGAAAGAAACAACTGGATTGTGATTTTTAAAGGTTTGATTTGACCATAGAATTAGATATTTAATTCTATGATTCGACTGACATGAAATTGATATTTTACTGGAACATATAGTTATAGCAAAAATTGTTCACCATCATCTCGGGATCCCTGTGTGAAATTAACAAAAAAGTATCCATTTCGACATGACATTTCTCTATTTCTTATTTTCTTTATCATGTCTGCTCCAAGTCATAAAAACATAAAAAAAAGAAATGAGGCGATCTGTATCAAACTTTTTTTCACAGAACCCCTGGCAATTGGCCACCCAATTTACCCATTTGACTGTAATAGCTGAATAGCGAGAGAGAGAAATGGGGTTTAACGTCCACTCGACACAAACCAGGTCATTTCGGGACTAACGTATGGTTTGATTGTTATTTCAATAATTCGCTTGCGCGTAGGGGTGTTTTAGCAGTGGGAGGAAACCGGAGAACCCGGAGAAAACCCACGAGGTTGGACAGGCAACCCTACTCCTTGTCACGTACAGCTGGGGAATCGAAACCACGCCAGTTGACTCAATGACAGGCTTTATGATACAGCGCGCATACGCTAACTATTCAGCCATCCACGCCCCCAATAGCTGAATAACTACAGAACTAACACAGTTATATAGAACAACAATCAGTGGTTTATTATACACAAGTCCCATATAACCGTGTTAGTTCTGTAATGTTTCCAATCATTTAATGGCACTAAAGAATTAGCTAAATAACATTCTTTTATTTTTCAGAAAATGATACAGTCGACCTTACTATATGGTCGTAATTCAAGTAACCCATTAGTTTTACAGGAAATTGGAGTTTCATCATCGTTAGTTCTTAAACAACAAATAAAAAATGTAAGACTGTATTTTTGACAATTTATGATATGAAATATTGATATAAGTACGTTTTCATGACCATGATATAACAAAAAGTAATGTTTCTTTTGGGATAGGGAGAGAGCCATAGTTGCTCAGTGAGTAGTCGTTGGATGGCTAACCTGGAGGTCCGTGTACGATCCCTGCGTTGGCCGAGAAAGTTTATTGAGATTTTTCGGCGTGGTTCCCCCTTGTCAGAGTTGTAGTTGTTCAGATGGGATGAAAAACCAAGGTCCCATGTACACATTGGCTTGCACATAAAAGAACCCTTGTCAGTTAGAAGGCCATAGCTTCGCTGTCCGAACAAAATTTCTCTCCTAGCAAACTGTATGGCGTAAGCCTGTCTTCATTAGCCCAGTAGGAGCAAAGCAGTAGGGCGTTAAACCCCATTTCATTTATATATGTGTGTGTGTTGTTTCAAGAGCAAGGTGCTGAACGAAGACGTTGGCCTAATTGTTGTATCATTAATTACACTGTGTTTCAATCAACACCTTTAAGAAGCTTAAAATACATATCACACTATAACGTGACCACCATGATGTATAAATCATGTCCATCGCAACAAAATTTCTATTGACAGGCTAAATTGGGGTCCAGACGTCTTGGCTCTGTAAATAATATACAATTAGCAAAGTATTTGTACCATTATTTGAAGGATGACATCACATCTGTATTTGAAGTATTCTGATGTCTGTTTTTTTTTCAGGATATAGAAATGATAGCTAGATATATCAGTAATCATAACAAAGATAAGAAGATCTGTATCCACAGTCAACAAAGTCAGCCAACAAACAAAACCAATAAATACACAATGATTAAACAAACGGCCATGTTAATTAGTAATATGCTTGAAGTTGTTGAATTTCTGCCACTTTGGAGCTCGATATTAGATTATTTTGCGACACTACCAGAAGAGATGATTGATAAAGATATTGTGGATATATTCAGTAGAATTATAGAACATGTAGAAACAGGGTCAGGTATTTATGCTGTACAATGGGCATCCTCGCTAGTAAAACCTCGGTTCCACATGACCTTATCGATAGTAAGAGAACCGTATTTCGATGTATCGCGATCAAATTCCATATTAACAACAAAAACTAATGTTTGTCAACATGCCAGTTCGTAATGAATGTACATGACAACAATTACTGTAAGGTAAATAATGAGGTCACGTGGGACTGCCTCATCTATGATGTCACCTATCAATTATGTCCCTTTATCTCTAGCCAGGAGGCCCATTGAACACAAAAATAAACACGTCATTTCTATAGAAAACAATATTGCTGTATTTAATTAGAGTTACGTTTCAACAATGATTCTAGGATGTATCACATAACTGATAGTCTTTGAACTTTATGTGTTACTAGCGGGTGACCCAGGGCAGCACGGATTGAAAGTAGGCCACTTAGCCTATGTTATTCCCCGGTCTGAGCTACCTCTATACACCAAATTTCAGCCTCAGGACAGCCCTAGTGTAGCCGGTAACCCTGAGCAGACATACTCACAAATATTAGTAGAGATATGACCAGGAAATTATGCACCCAATCTGATTAAAATACACATATATATTTTGTTTCTTTTTTTTATACTTTTGATGGCCTACACTACATGTAAATCTGACAAGTTATAGTGGGAGTTCACGTCAGGGGTCAAACGAGCGACTTTTGACCCTATGATGTCAGACATTGATTAATCAATCAGCGTTGACATTTCTAGTGGTTTACTCACAGTTTCGTGCATAAAAAGGCCAAGAACTGGCCCTAACAGACCGTTTCATTGGCTAATCCCTCACACCATCCAGAACACGTCAATGATAACAACTCTTCCAGATACTAGTGTAGTAAAGACAAGTAAAACGAAATTTTGAACTATAAAAATGAAACGAAATAGGATCTGTGTTATAATCAGATAGTTATGCACCAGACTATCAGATTGAAGATAATGTTGCTTATTGAAGCGTGATCTCTATTCCTTGTATCAGAAGCCCTGGTTTATAAATGTGAATAAGTCAAATTTAGCAAATGGACGGTGAGTATGTAAGATGTTTTTTTGTTATTTTTCAGACAATAGTTTATATACAGTACAAGTAAAGATATGGAGACTACATATACCATCATTAGAGAAAAGTGTGTTACAGATGATACAAGATTGTAGCCATTGTTTAACATTACCATCAATACTTAACAAAATCATTTCTTTAAAAAAACTGGTAATTTTTGAATATTTCAAACTGTATTATATATTAAACATGCATTATGCAAGAGCTAAATCTGCCTATTGCAGGTCTTTCTTTAGGCCTGAAATGTTATCTAAACTATTAATTAGATATTAATTAACCTATCCAGACCATAATGAACTCTAGATGGCATTGTTAGCCTTCGATCTTTAGTGGATTATGAGCCGATTTACTGCATAACTTTCCTTCCCGATTTAACGATTAAATGGATAATCAAGACTTTGCTGTTTATCGTACTGACTTTAGTAATGATGATCAAGGCTAGCCAGAAATTTCAACCGCTTAGTTCTCGGTTCATAGTGGATCAATTTGAATGAAATTTTCAGCAAATTGCCTTTACATTATCTAGTTTTTAACTATTATAGTGAGAACTGTCAACTCTTATTGAATCTCCCATAATGTATCTTTAATGTCTGTTTAAAATAGAATTTTCGAATTTAAAGAAAGAGAAAAGTAGTGGTAGAAAGGATGTAACCAAGTAATAATTTGCCTTTGGTATTTTCAAGTAAAACTGCCAATTGTTTTTACCAGAAATAAGAATGGGATATTATTTCGATTTAAACTGTCTAGGTATCTTTGATGTACTGACAGTGGTATAAACAGGACCCAGGTTTTCCACCTTCTTTGAATAACTAGACCCCTTTCCTTGGCTACCCATAGGGTCAGATCTAAATATTAAGGCTACCTGTAGATTCTGTCAAGATCACTTGATGTAAACAGAGTTAAGGCGGGTGATTGTTGCCGAGGATTGTGGGTAAGAGTCAGGGCTAGTTCTCCAGTTAGGGTTAGCACTATCCCTGTTTACATCTCATGACCTTGACGAAATCTGCAGATGGCATTAGTCATTTCAGGACTAACATATGGATCAATTTTATTTTAATAATTTACTTGTACGTGGGGTTCTTCAGCAGTGGGAGGACCTAAATAAAACCCTCTATATTGTATAGACGACCTTACTGCTTGGAAACAAAACCATATCAGTGGACTCAATAACAAACTTTATGATCTAAAGTGCAATGAGTTAGACCACCTAACCCTATATTTATATTAAGTCATGTTTTATTCTTAACATAAACTAGTGGTACCCGGTGCCTCAGGGGTTGTGCCCTTAACTCAGAAACCAGAAATTGTAGGCAATCGCCACCAGAGACCTATGTTACTTCCCGGTCTGAGCTACCCATATATGCCAGATTTCAGCCTCGGGACAGCCCTAGTGTAGCCGCCCATTCTGAACAGACAAACAAGGGACAATCACAAATATTAGAATAAATTATATGTTACAGGTTAAAGCATGTAGTGAAGAGTATCAGTTATTTTATATTGTATATAATATATTATATACCGTTATTGTCCAATCTAATGGTAATACACGTATGCTGGATATTATTACAAGTTTTTTAATCTCCGTAAAACAGCAACAGAAACAAAACCAGGTATGTAAGAGAATCCTTACATTGAATTTTGATATACACCAATAAGAGACACATGCAAATTGTGATTGGAATAGCCTTGATAATGTTAATAGTAATATACCAGTTAAGTATTTAATTGGCTGTACCACAGTATCCGGCATTTTAAAGCGAAAAGATGAATTCGCATAGAAGTTTGACAATAACTTTAACAGCAGTAAGAAACGATTTTACTTGAACGTTAAGTTTGAAGACATCAACAGAATGATGCACGAGTGGTTTAAGGGCATGGACAAAAACAACCTGTCTGTCAACTGGTCGGCCAATCGTAAGACTTGGATGACAAGTGCTATTTATTTGGGTTGGTGTATCTTCTGAAGACGAAGATGACGATATACCGCTTGCAAAACTAAGCGAATCCTTGGTACCTTCTTTAAACACAACAAAAGGATATTTGATCAATTTCCACAATGGGATTCCGGTGTTATCATATTTTAAGTTCTGGGTATTCGAGAGTGCATTATAATAATACTCCCGGTATTCAAAGGTACAATAATACTTCCAGTATTAAGGCAATTGAGTATTCTGACATGCTGTGTAATCCGGCATTTTGTATCGACTCTGTACATACATTTTCCAATAAGAATTATATTGGTACAATAGAATATTTTAATTAAAATTGGTCTCCAAGGTGATGCTGAGCACAATTTTAATCTGTTACTTTTTCAAATATTTTATTGTATGTACCGTATATAATATTTGTTAATTTTGTAATCGATCATTATGTATTACTTGAAGGAAATTCATCATTTCCACTCTACAAGATTCCAGCCATTAACAGCTCTATTGAATAATCATCCTAAAGGTAACAAATAAAATTTAAAAATTTAGACATCAAAACCATTAGTTGCAAGTTATCTAAATTATTAATTAGACATTAATTACCTTATCCAGATCATAATCAACTCTCAATGCCATCGGATGGCTGCAATATACCTTTTGTGGTTGATGCGGTTACCGTAAAAATGGATAATTGAAACTTTGTTTATTATCGTAACAACGATAGTAATGACAATCAAGGCTAGGCTATGATTGTATCGCAGATATCTAGGCTCAGAGTGAAGTAATTTGACTGAAATTTTCAACATATTCCTATTTCGCTATCTATTTTGTAACTTTTATAGCGAGAACTGTCATTTCTTTATCTAATCTTACCTAATACCGCTTTAACTAGAACTGAAATGAAATGATCGACGCTAGCCGAAAATTGAATCGGTAATATCTTGGTTCAGAGTGAAGTAATTTGACTGAAATTTTCAACATATTCCTATTTCACTATCTATTTTGTAACTATTATAGCGAGAACTGTCATTTCTTTATCTAATCTTACCTAATACCGCTTTAAGTAAAGTATAAATATGTAATAACAGACAGATGATTAAAGTTCGATTTGATTGAAACACAGATACTATTTTGTTTTGTTTTTTATAGTTCCAAATTTCGGCTTACTTGTCTTTACTACACTAGGATCTGGAAGAGTTAGTTGTTCTAGATGATGTGAGGGATTAGCCAATAAAACAAAATGAAATGTAGATCTGTAGTTTAATCTGATGGATTAAAGTTGTTCTTTTTTTTTTAATTATAGATTTATCTATACAGTCTTTTAACCAACAATTAAACCTGATAGTTTCTACCATTAACCTTATGGAACCTCATACAAGTATGAGTACAAGAGAATATCAAGAATTCTGGTTGCTATTGTTACAGTATAAGGAATGGTATTATACCTCCCTTTGGTATATTTTACATATAAATAAACAGGTAATTAATCTTATCCAATATTTTCTCTATCTTTTCATCAGCATTTTTATAGAATTGTCAAGCAATTTTTTTTTAAATTCTTTTATTTTGGGCGAGACACATATTAGGAGTTATCTCCCATGACAGACTAAATATGGCTTATGGATTTTTTCTCTGCTCAATTCCACCAAGATTTAGTGATGTTTATTCTCTGCTATCATATAAAAAAAGTGTCAAGCAGTTTTTTTGCAGACTTTTATATTTTGGCAAGACATATAAATGGAGTTATCTTCCATGACAGACTAAATATGGCTAATGGATTATTTTTCATCTTTAGTTTATTTCAGATTTAGTGACGTTTATTCTCTACTATCATATAAAAGAGTGTGAAAAATATAAAGTAAGTATGATACTAAAATGTTTGTGATCATGCAGTTTCTCATATTATTTAGCTGTTAAATAATCAATCTGAGTACATATTTATCCTGGACTAAGCCTTGAGAAATTTTACGTTTTAGCAAAAATGCTAATGACGCATCAAGCCTTTAAGCATTTTTTTTTTTAAAAGCATCGCAGCGACAAGAACATCTAGATTACAAAGTGTGTGCAACCAGTTTAATCATATTATATACAAAGTCTATTCTGTATAAACATAGGCTAGTATTACATACAAAGTCTATTCTTTTTAAACATGTTATACACAAAGTCTATTCTGTTTAAACATGTTATATACAAAATCTATTCTGTTTAAATATCTAGAAAAGAGTGGTTGAATTTGCCAACATTCTCCGAGCACTATTATGCAAGCAAAACCTGAAAATTGAAGATATTGAATATGCTGTTTGTGGTCTTGGTTCAGTAGAAGAGATACAGCCAGTAATACTCCATGTGTTATTTATATTTTTATACCAGTCTGAATCCGGATTTAAACTTATTACAGATATATGTAAAGTGGTAAGTAGTATTAAATTGATAAAAAAAAACAACAAATAACAATGAAATAGTTATTTTAGACCACTATCATACATAATCTTTTCATCTTTTGTCAATTTTATCATGGCTTACTCTTTAAATAGGTTAAACATACATTATGCAAGAGCAAAATCTGATTATTGCAAGTCTTAATTTAGGCGTCAGATGTTATAAAAATTATAAATTAGATATTTATTTAAACAACAAGCCCAAAATCAACTCTGTAGACCCACGGATGGCTCGGCTACAGCTCGGATTTAAATAGGATTTCACTCATTGATAAATTGAAATATGGCGCACCCTGATGAGAATACGTCAGTTAGATCGAGGCTAAATGATAGAGTGTACTTAGCGAGGCCGCTGTAGAGCGTTTCCGCATGCCATTGAAAACTTTACTTGATAATCGAGATATGTAGGTGGAGTTAACGCCTGTCAATCAAACGATCGACCAAGGTGATGGCACATTTCACTACCATTTCTAGGCAAATATTACAACGATGATAACTATGTTCAGAATAAAGTAATTTGACTGAAATTTTCAATATATTCTTCTTTCATCATCTACTTTTGAACTGTTATAGCAAGAATGGCCAACTCTCTATAAAAATCTCCCATAATGTATCTTTAATCATGGCTTACTCTTCAAAATTTTGCCAATCGATTATTTGAACCATGTGTTAGTCTCTCTCTCTCATATTAAATAGAATATGCTGAAAACTTCAGTCAAATTGCTCTACTCTGAACCGAGATATTAGCAGTTAAATTTTAGGCCTAGCCTTGATCATCATTGCTAAAGTCGGTACTATAAAAAACAAAGTCTCGATTATCCATTTTGACGTTAAATCATACATGACAAAATGTATACAAGATCGCAGGCTATTGATTGGATCAAGAGTTGATTATGGTCTGGATAAGTTAATTACCGTAATGTTTAATTAATAATTTAGATAACATTTCAGACCTAAAATAAGTCCTGCAATTGGCAGATTTATCTCTTGCATAATGCATGTTTAATGTCGTCTAATTAGTCTGAATGGGGTTTTTTTTCTTTCAGGCTGGATGTTCTGATACAATGGAGATTTTATCCATGTTTTTATATATTCATGATATTCACTCAGTGACTTTCAAGAACTGGACATCAGAGAAAAAATCTTTATACAAGGAAATAATTTCAAGATTGTCATTGGAACTAAACAGTGATATTGAACATTATAAAACAACTCAACCAGCTGAAAGCGACAGTCAATTAAATCAGCTTAAAAGTGTTCAAAACATGTGTGAACAATTAGTAGTTTCAATAGACTGATCACATGTAATGGCTAATCAATCCATGCCTCAAATTGTCAAACTTAAAGGAGCTAAATCACTAACATTTGGGACCTAGAAATTGACAAAAGTGGGTCGCAACGCATATAATACTGTAGTATGAATGTATATAAACTAATTTACATTCAATGGTTTCCGTTTTTACTTCAATTTCAAATCAGTTATGTTCGGCGAAAACGAGTGCAAATTTCTAGCATCTGGTTATTCCAGTCTACACACGCCGATTGATTTGGTGCAATGTGTCTAGCCTCGTCCCTCGAGTCTCTTGATACAACTGGGGCTGAAGCGCATTATGGTACACGATTCATGTACAAATGGTAAAATGTTTATTTTGTGTTAAATATTGGATATCAAAAGCCCATCTTTTCCCGGTAAGATCACAACATCAATGTTGATTTAATTTGACAAATAATTCGTGTTTTCAATGTTGAAGATTTTGGATGATATTGAGTTAGAGACTTAGCTACTTTAAACAGGCATTATGTAAGAGCTAAATCTGCCTATTACAGGTCTTTCTTTGGCCCTTAAATGTTATATGAATTATTAATTAGATATTTATTAACATGACAAGACCATAATCTACTTTTAATGTCATCAGTTGTCTCTGATTTTAAGTATAGTAAAACAGTTCAGCAATTTAATAATTTAATTAAAAAATGGAGAAGTGAGGCTAAGACTTGAATGACTGGTAGGATGGTTACGATCAATGCATACATCTTGTTAAATCTACAACCATTGATAACTTCGCTCAAAATAAAGTAATTTGAATGAAGTTATCAATATATTCATTTTGCATCATCTATTTTTGATTATCCAAATCTTACATAATGCGGCAATAATGTCCCTTTAATAGTCTCTTCAACCACATGTGAAATTTTATGGTTTGAGAAATGAAATGTGGTTGAACGTCCTACTTTTTTGGTTTGAGAAGAAAATTCAAAGATTCTAGTAAAATGATAACTGTAAAGATAATTGGTGACTCATTATTATAAGTATCAGTATAAAAGTTTATTGACCAGGGGCCTGTTTCACGAAATTTAAACTAAGATAAAATCCAAATTTTAGTAATTTGATTGGATAATTTTAGCTTGATTTTAGTGTTAGAGGCTTAAAAATTTGGGTGCCTGTATAATTGTTGAGGACATTTTATAACCACAGGCATCAGATATTTTGTTGGTTTAGAGTCGGGGCAGAAACTTTTAGGACATTATCATCAATTTGCTGCCATCTGGTCATTTCATGCAATATCAATTTAATTACAAATGTAGAAAAAACTAATCCTCTTCATTCTAGGAGTTGCACAATGATTTACAGGCTCAAAATCAGCCCAGAATAACTTTTCACAATTGATTTATCAGAATAAGATTGGAGAAACGAAATCAAACAGGCTAATTAAAACAGGTCGAGGCCATGCAGTGTGCTATATAGGTACTTTTGCTCTGAAAGCAGTACTTATTTCAACTCTTTATTTCAAATTCCAACTGTGAAGGGTTCTTCTAAGTGAACGCCAACATGTACATAAGACCTGTTTTGTCGTCCCATCCGAACAACTAGACACTTTCTTGAGACATGTTTCGAATCCCCGGTTGTACGTGGCAAGGAGTAGGGTCGCCTGTCCAACCTCGTGGGTTTTCTCCGGGGCCTCCGGTTTCCTCCCACTGCTAAAGACCCCTACGCGCAAGCGAATTATGTAAATAAAAATTTAAAAAACCATATGTTAGTCCCGAAATGACCTAGTTTGTGTCGAGTGGACGTTAAACCCCATTTCTCTCTCTCTCCCTCTTGAGACATGTATCTTTAATCATGGCTTACTCTTCAAAATTTTGCCAATCGATTATTTGAACCATGTGTTAGTCTCTCTCTCTCATATTAAATAGAATATGCTGAAAACTTCAGTCAAATTGCTCTACTCTGAACCGAGATATTAGCAGTTAAATTTTAGGCCTAGCCTTGATCATCATTGCTAAAGTCGGTAATATAAAAAACAAAGTCTCGATTATCCATTTTGACGTTAAATCATACATGACAACATGTATACAAGATCGCAGGCTAGTGATTGGATCAAGAGTTGATTATGGTCTGGATAAGTTAATTACCGTAATGTTTAATTAATAATTTAGATAACATTTCAGACCTAAAGAAAGTCCTGCAATTGGCAGATTTATCTCTTGCATAATGCATGTTTAATGTCGTCTAATTAGTCTGAATGGGGTTTTTTTTCTTTCAGGCTGGATGTTCTGATACAATGGAGATTTTATCCATGTTTTTATATATTCATGATATTCACTCAGTGACTTTCAAGAACTGGACATCAGAGAAAAAATCTTTATACAAGGAAATAATTTCAAGATTGTCATTGGAACTAAACAGTGATATTGAACATTATAAAACAACTCAACCAGCTGAAAGCGACAGTCAATTAAATCAGCTTAAAAGTGTTCAAAACATGTGTGAACAATTAGTAGTTTCAATATAGGTACTTTTGCTCTGAAAGCAGTACTTATTTCAACTCTTTATTTCAAATTCCAACTGTGAAGGGTTCTTCTAAGTGAACGCCAACATGTACATAAGACCTGTTTTGTCGTCCCATCCGAACAACTAGACACTTTCTTGAGACATGTTTCGAATCCCCGGTTGTACGTGGCAAGGAGTAGGGTCGCCTGTCCAACCTCGTGGATTTTCTCCGGGGCCTCCGGTTTCCTCCCACTGCTAAAGACCCCTACGCGCAAGCGAATTATGTAAATAAAAATTTAAAAAACCATATGTTAGTCCCGAAATGACCTAGTTTGTGTCGAGTGGACGTTAAACCCCATTTCTCTCTCTCTCCCTCTTGAGACATGCGGGGGGGGGGGGGGGGGGGGGGGGGGGGGGGGGCGAATGGTTAGCAAGCGCGCGCTGTATCATAAGGCCTGTCATTGATTCAACTGGCGTGGTCTCGAATCCCCAGTTGTACGTGACAAGGAGTAGGGTCGCCCGTCCAACCTTGTGGGTTTTCTCCCACTGCTAAAGACCCCTGCGCGCAAGTGAATTATTGAAATAAAATTAATACCATGTTAGTCCCAAAATGACCTAGTTTGTGTCAAGTGGACGTTAAAACACCATTTCTCTCTCTCTCTCTTGCCATGCGGGGGATTGGGTGACCGAATGGTTAACACGTGCCCGTTGAATCATAAGGTCTGTCACGTAGAATTGGCGTGGTTTCAATTCCAAGCTTGTATGTGACAAAGAGTAGGGTTGTCTTCCAACCTCGTGGGTTTTCGGAGAGTCTTTCAGTTTCCTCCCACCACTGGATGTGCAATCAAATTATTGAAATGAAAATGAACCATGTTAGTCCTGAAATGACCTAGTTTGTGTCGAGTGGATGTTAAACCCCATTTCTCTCTCTATATATATATACTTTTACAAAATTCAATTTGTTTTCATATCAAAGGGGGGGGGGGGAGCAAGAAATAATTTGCAATGTTGAGGTAGGGCATAGTACACAAAAAGTTGGGAACTTCTGTTTTAAGTGAATGCCAACATGTACCCAGGACCTGTTTTGTCGTCCCATCCAATCAACTAGAAAATGTACCTTGCCAGGCCCTCCGTCCTGCAATACTAGCAAGGGGGAACCACTCCGGAAATCTCGAGGAACTTGCTCTGGCAACACTGAGATCGAAACCCAAGACCACCTGGTTAGTGAGCTGGTGCCTTACTCACTGGCCACTACGGCTTCTGAGACATCGGAGTGGAATAACTTGAATCTGTCAGCATATAAAGAGAAAATAACAAACAAAATAAACAGACAGTATATTTATGTAAAACAATATCGTATAAATAGAGAAATACAGGCCTCATATAATTGATATGTATGAGATATTTAACACAAAAAATTCATTTCTACTCAAAAAGAAAAAGAAATTCTAATTTATTATGCATAATCATATTAACAATTAATATTCATTCTATCTTTAGAAATAAACAATGTACATAGATATTTATGGCAAGGTTGGAAAGTAGACAAATATATATACGGAGTTAACATTTCAATTTTTTCAAAATAAAATAAATTCTGACATGAAAATCAATAGACTGGTGAGAAACTTTTCAACCATACAATTTCACTTTCAACCCAATCTGATTAAAATACAGTTCTATATTTCGTTTTCTTTTACTTATACTTTCGATGGTCTCTACTACATAAAGATCTGATCAGCTGAAGTGGAACGTTGCATCAGAGGACCCTATGACGTCAGACATTTGATTAAATGATCAGCGTTGATGTTTCTAGTGGGTTACCCACAGTTCCGTCCAACTCATGCCAAAAACTCGACCTAATAGACTGTTTCATTGGCTAATCCCTCACATCATCCAGAACGCGGGTTATATAACAACTCCTCCAGAATGTCCAGGCCCCGAGTTAACAAAGTATTCTCAGACTTAAGTTGAGAATTTACTCAACTTTCAATCACTGTTTATGACAAATATCTTTGATGCAGAAATACAAAACTTTGCACATAGTTTCTTATTGATGTATCTGATACATTCAAACAATAAAATTATTATAAAGGGCTATATTTTAGTTAAAATAAGGTGAACAATTTTGAGTAAATTCTTAACTTAAGTCTGAGAATGTTTCGTTAACTCGGGGCCAGATCCTGGTGGGGCCAGATCCTAGTGTAGTAAAGATCGGGGTTTTAATCAGATTGACTTCCAACCAAACACTGTCTTGTAAAGTTAATTGAATAATTTAAATTTGTGACTGCAGTAAAAAAAATTCCTGAGATGTTTTTATTTTATGTCCTGTTGATTTATAAAGATAGGTTGCCAGGCAACGATACATTATGGAAGATTAGATAAAAAAACTGGCAGTTCTCCCAATAAAAGTTAAAAACAGGATAGTGTAAGGGGAATATGCTGAAAATTTCAGTCAAATTGCTTCAAATCCAATGAAAATCAGAGACATAAGATGTCATCGAGAGTTGATTAAGGTCTTTTTATGTTAATATCTTAATAAATGTCTAATTATATAACATTTTAGCCCTAAAGAAAGACCTGCAATGGGAAGATTTAGCTCTTGCATAATGTATGTTTAATTAATTAGTGGAAATCATTTTTAATATAAATAAATGAGACAATGACTATGACTAATGGACTATATAGATTCAATGTCGCAATAAAAAAAAAATAATAGATCTATAGTTAATATAACAACAATTATAATGGAATTTTAACAGTAGAAACACATCAAAATCTAAACAAACAAATACAGCAATACTAAATGGACCAGGAACTTAGCATGATGTCACACTTGGCAAACCTCAGCTGATTCCAGTACCCTACATCTAGCCTCGGCTGTATGATGAAGTCAATGGAACTACTTTCAAGTTCCCGGATTACCAACGGCTCTGCCCATGACGACACCTTTGAAGAATGTTTTATCATACAAATATTTTAAAGTCGGAATCTGTTTTTCTTTCAAGTTTATCTGATTTTCTTCCAACAAGGCAACTTTGCACTGAAAATTCTAAACATACTTCGAACGACGCAATTTTGATAACTTCTTTTAAAAAGCGGCAAGTTTTCCTAATAAGTAAACTGGTTCCGCATTGCAATTGTAAAGGCGTAGGTACATATCACTTACCGTCAAACCGCCGAGGCTAGATGTAGAGTAACGGAATCTGTCGATGTTTGCTGAGTGCATGATGTAATATTGCCGCTATCTTGGATCTGTGACAAATCAAAAATCTAGATCTGTCAATCTATGCACAATTGTCCAAGGAACATGGATGACAGTTTCATGTTGAGCGAACCTGAATTGACAGAGCCTTCGACATTTTCCAAAGAGCGTCACCCCGAAGAAGAACAAGAACAAGATCAGTAGCACTTGGGTTCAAGTTCCTGGGTCAAAAAACTTACCATGACACATTTCTATGAGATTGACATTAGTTTTATGTTGATCCTACCTATATTATTATTGGCAGAGTCTTAGACATTTTCCGAAGAGCATCACCTCAAAGAAGAACGAGAATATGAGTAGAACTTGGGGATAAGTTCCTGGGTCCAAAAACTTAACTTGACACATTTCTATAACATTGACATTATATACTCATCTATTAAATGCCCAATCTATACTCTAATAATTCACTCAATCTTGCTAACAAGTAAAACTAGAATTAAATAAGTTTGCACATTAGTAAAAATTCAAATAATGTTATTTAAATCATCACCAGAGGCAGCAAGCCATTTGTAAATATATAGCAGGTTCTCTGTGATATTATAATAACATAATAATAATAAAGATTTATTAAACAGCCTATAAAAATAAATCATGAGACTGTCCTAGTCTTTCATCATCTTTTTGTTTTAATCGAGCTGCTTCAATGGCAGAAAATGCTGGTAGACCGTGTGGAAGATCAATTAGATTAGCCTCCATATCTAAAATACGATCGGCTTCAGCTGGAAAAAGAAGCAGACAATGAAATTTCTGGATGAATTTAAATTATGAAATATTGTCTTCTACATGTGGGTACCCACATGAATGAAATCATATTCAGCAATTCAAGCCACATGCCCTTATCATTTCATCTGTGTAATTTACTAAATGTTTAGTTCTTTTCTTATAAATCGAGGGGGGGGGACATCGTAATGTTTTTCCTATTAGGATTTTTTAAAAATTTTTGCAAGCAAAAAAACCCCTAGAAATTTGCCCGATGCCCAAAGCCCGGGGGTCATAACTCCGAAACTGGAAGTGGTAGTCCATCGCCCCCAGGCCTATATCACTCCCCAGTAAGACTTACCCTATACACCAAATTTCAGCCTCGGGACAGCCTTAGTGTAGCCGCCAACTCTGAACAGACAGATGACAGTCACAAATATTAGTATAGATATCAATACATTGTTTGGAATGTGGAGATACTACAGCCTCGTTTAGCTTCTGACGAGATAATCAGTGATGGGCTAGTTTACAATGGGTTAACAAAAAATTTGGACTTGTGTAAATTTTATTATAATAGCTGTTGTACTGTATAGATGTCTTTATTATATTCAGGGGGGTTGGATGGCCGAATGTTTAGCACCCGCGCTGTTGATACGGTCTGTCATTGAGTCAACTGGCAGGGTTTCGATTCCCCGGTTGTACGTGACACGGAGTAGGGTCACATGTCCAACCTCGTGGGTTTTTCACAGGTCCTCCGGTTTCCTCCCACTGCTAATGACCCCTACGCACAAGTGAATTATTGAAATAAAATTGACCATGTGTTAGTCCCGCATATGACCTAGTTTGTGTCGAGTGAACGTTAAACGCCATTTTTCTCTCTCTCTCTCTCTTTTATTATATATTCACCTCTTATTCTGTGCATCTTCGATCCATAGCTCATGTCATATTGATATGCCAGTATAAATGTCAAAGGCACTAATGGAACAATCATTCCTGGACTCTTCTTTTTCCTATAACTTATTAATAAAAAAAAAAAGAAAAATATCATTATGCTTTACTTAAAGTCTCTAACTCAATATCATCCAAAATCTTCGACATTGAAAACACGATTTATTTGTTGGTTTAAATCAACATTGATGTTGTGATCTTACTGGAAAAAGATGGCCTTCTGATATCCAATATTCAAGACAAAATAAACATTTTATAGTTGGTACGCGAATTGTGTACCATAATGTGTTTCAGCGCTATTTGTAATAAGTGTCTCGAAAAACGAGGCTAGGCATATTCCACATGACATGTCATGTCAAACGGTGACGCTATATTCTTATCTGGAGAGCATGCCCAATAAATAATATAAAGGAGAGCTTTATAATAATAATATAAAGGAGAGCTTAATACACAAAGGTTCCTAAAAATAAATGGCTCTATCCATTTCAATCTACTTACCCAGCCAGTAAACCAACAAAGGTCACAGTATAAAATGATGAATACCATAGAAATAAATCTCTACTCCTACCGAGTTGCATAGCCATTTGTCTTTCTCTCATTTGATTCTGCATTTGTATCTGCCTCTCCATCTAGATAAATATATAATACCGGTAAATATATATATATACATCAATCTGGTAAGTCTGGTACAGTCATTTGTATCTGCCTCTCCATCTAGATAAAAAATATAATACCGGTAAATATATATATACATCAATCTAATAAGTCTGGTACATTCATTGAGTGCCTGTATGTCATTTGTATCTGCCTCTCCATCTAGATAAAAGGATAAATATAAATACCGGTAAATATATATATTTACATCAATCTAATAAGTCTGGTACAGTCATTGGTTTTTAAGGCGCTTGAGTGCCTGTATGTCCTTTGAGGAGAGTTTTATTTTAACATTGACAAAGGTCAAAACTCACTGTGTAATTGCTATAGAGACCTGGTATATATAGAATCATAGACTCTTGTCCTCTCTAAGTATGTCATTGAGTCAACTAGCATGGTTTTGTTTCCCCGGTTGTACGTGACAAGGAGTAAGGTCACCTGTCCAACCTTGTGAGTTTTCTCCGGGTTCTCCAGTTTCCTCCCACTGCTGAAAACCACTATACGCAAGCAAATTATTGAAATAAAATTGAACCATATGTTAGTCCCCAAATGACTTAGTTTGTGTCGAGTGGACATTAAACCCCATTTTTCTCTCCCCTCTCTAAGAACCTCTGTCTTATGAATGAAAAGAATCCCCCTCCTTATTATGATATATATTATATAACTCTTCTTATTTACCAAATACATGTCAGGAGTCACGATAGTTCAGCTCTGAACTTAAATTTTCGTTACACAATGTTCAGAGCTGAACTTGAGTCATGGGGGCTCAGTGAGTAAGGTACTCATGACAAGTGGTTTAATTGAGGGTATATCAATTCTGGTCTTGGCCGAGAAAGTTCCTGGTTTTTCGCTTGGATCGGAGCCTGGCAAGGAACCTTGGCGTGCACAAACAAGAAACCTTGGCTATTGGGATTTAATTGCTGTACGGGCAAAATTTCCCTCATCATATTCATAGCATGATGCATGCCCATCTTCATTTGCATGGTTTGAGTAGATGAGTTGGAGCCAAAAAGTAGAATCTTATAAACCCCATTTATTCATTCAATTCCAACTACATATTATCAAATATATAATAATACTTGTACAAATATGAAAAATATGCTTTGCGGGCAGCGTCATGGGCATGGACCTTGTATTATATTTATAAGGTTGATGGCGGTATGCAACATGATTGGAGACCCAATAAAATGATCTACCTCTGTATTAGGCCTACTTTATTATTATAAGGCCAGCTTCCCTGCATAAAAAAAAATTATAAGGTCCATGATGCAATATATGCAATACAGTCATATATAATGAACTTATTTATCATTTAGTATTTTCTCTGCTCCTGCTGTACTCATTCACTCATCAGTCATTGTCAGTCAAAAAAGACGGCTCACCATTACTATCTGATTCTGAACCATAAATTCTTGTTGTTTTTTCATATTGTCATCCATGGTTTTACTTATAAACATTCCCATCTTGACAGAATTTGATGTAAGGCAACAGCAAAGAAGGTTGTGAGTGCTTTGCAAGAAATGCTGATCTGATGTTTGTTTGTTATCAAGAGGCCAAGTGAACATGCGCTGTGCGTGTTATACAAAAGTCACTCGGCAAACCTCGGCAGATTCTGTTATTCTACATCTAGCCTCGGCTCTATGACGTCAAATGATGTACCTTCGCCTATACAATTGCAATGCGACACCGGTTTACTTATTAGGAAAACTCGCCGCTTTTAAAAAGAAGTTATCAAAATTGCGTCGTTCGAAGCGTATGTAGATTTTTCGGTGCAAAGTTGTACTTGTTTGAAGTAAATCGGATGAACTTGAAAGAAAAACAGCTTCAGACTTTAAAATATTTGCATGATAAAACATTCTTCAAAGGCGTCGTCATGGGCAACGCCGTTGGTAATTCGGGAACTTAAAAGTAGTTCCAATTAGACGGAGAGATATAATTTCTGAGGTGTATACTCTGTGGTATATATTGACTATAGTGTATGGTGGTCACGTGATCGCGTGCTGACGATGGAGCTTCGACGCCATTTTTCAACCGGGAAGATTTAGCCTACGTCGTTATTACCAACATGCCGGAGAGTTGTTGTTGTTTTGGGTGTTTCAATGTCAGGCAAAAAGGGAGTGGATTATCATTCCACAAGTAAGTAAGATATGTTATAAGTGAAATAGTGATCTAATAAATATGGTATAATCATGATAATAGTGTAAAATAATTTAATAAACACGGCGAGAAAACGTCGAGCACTCGAAGCTTGCCTTGAAACAGTTGAGTTAAACCATAGATAATATATCCATGGTTAAACCGATCGGATCCATTCGTTTGATTTGTTAGTACCGATTCTTTTTTTATATAAAAAATGCAATTTTCGTGTGTTCTAGCGAACATCCAAATTAATGTATACTTAATTATGGAAATTGCGTATATAATCTGCATGCATATCTCGCGTTGTACGAAAAATATCGCGGGGAGTAAGTCTTCTTATTGGGGTGGCCTTTTTAAGCTATAGGCATGCACTAAATGGTTAATGTAGCTTTGTTATCGGTTAGTTTTACTCCCTCGGAGTTACTTAGTAAGACTAAAATAAAAATACCAAAAATTAATTGTTGAAAACCAAGTGTAACATTAACAATTAGGTGTATTATTAAAGTGAAAGTTTCTTAAAGCGATAATTTCATATTTTCTAAGAAAGTCAAAACATAATTATTTCTATGTCTATTGCTCAATACTAATAGGTTGTCAACTCACTATTATTAGTATTAATATTATACGATTCTAGGTAAGGTTTTCGTCGTTTACTCGCGTCACTCGAGTCGACTCCATTGCCGAGTTTACCCGGTGTGATAGTTTGAGTTGACTCGTGTGTGTTTTCTGCACTTGCCTTCACAACGAAACTATATCCACTATGTCGACTCGAGTGACTCGGGTGAAGGTTTTCGTTGTTCACTGAGTCGACACCAGACCGTTCGCGTTTTGAATCGAGTTGGTCACATGACTGACTCGAGTCGCATCACGTGACTAACCCGTTTACTCCCCGTTGAGCGGAGAGTAAAAGGGTTTGTCACGTGACAAAATGGCGTCCTATACGCAAAAAAGCCTGTCTCTCGATAGGTTGTTTCGGAATCTTCTTCTTCTTCGTCCTCTAATAATAGTTCTTGAATTAAAAAAAGATTCAGAATGGAGGCAGCCATTGCGAAAAAAATAAAACAAAATAAAATAAGGTGTCTCGCCATTTTGTTTTGATGTCATCGGACTACTCAGACTACTCGGACCGTTCGGGATGTTTCACCCGGGTAAACTCGGCAATGGAGTCGACTCGAGTGACGCGAGTAAACGACGAAAACATTCTCCCTCTTAAAAATCCTTTGACCCCGGAAATAATAACACAATTACCTCCCTTGTTCTTCTATTCCCCCCATGGAATAGCTATCTTCAAACGTTTGAATTTAAAGTTGAAAATGATATTTTTGCCAATTTCTCAACTGGCAATAGTGAATTATAGGATTAATAGGATTATTCTTTAACAAGGTAGGACTGTTTATAGATACCATCTATTTTAAGGCTTTATTTTCATAAATTTTTTAAAATATAACTTAAAAATATGAAATTGCAGCTTTAAGCTTATGTTTAATTTTTTTTTTTTTTTTTTTTTTTTTTTTACACAGATTCCCACTTAAAAATCCGGAACTTGTTAAAAAATGGTTAATTAGAATAAGTCGGGAAAACTTCAGTCCCAGTCAACATCACGTTGTGTGTAGTGATCATTTTGTTAAGGGCGATTATATCAGAGGTAAGGTGTTGTCAAATTAGTTATTGTTTTTAGAAATATACTAAACTTCTGCTTTGTGGGTGGGTGTTTTAGGGGGGTATCATGCATTTCTCCAGATATCTTTGAAAAATGATCCATTAAATGTAAGTAAAGTACGGACAAGTCTATAAATCAAATAACATGATCTGCTCCACGCTCTTTGTTGTCCATAATTTATCAATTTTATGTTTTTCTATATTTTCAGGGATTCACCCATCGGAAGACCCGACATCCAAGCACGATCTTTTGCATCAAGCTGTTCCCACAGTTTTTCCGGCACACCCAATTTATAAACAGGCTATTTCACAGAAAAGGCGCGCCCCACCCAAATTAAGAATAAGTGAAAAAGAAGAAAACCTAATACCAGTTAAGAAATCATGCCCTGGTATACCAGACCATGCTTACGTAAACGTACCAACGCCAGAAGTTCTCCGAGACCAACTTAAAAAGACGCAAGAAAAACTAGAAAATAAAAGAAAAGAACTAAAAGCTGTGAAACAAAAAGTTAAACGCCAAGAAATTAAAATCAGCAAATTGTTGAATGAAGCTAAAGAACAGAATTTAATAACGAAGAATGAAACTGACTTACTTCAAGTGAATTTTGGTGAAAAGACTTTTCAGTTGATTGAGAATTAAGTGAAGCAAAAAGATGTGAATAAATATGGTCAAAGATTTTTTAATCGATGCATTTGGCTATTGCACAAATATTATTACGATTATCTATTTTTTTGTAAAATTTACTATACCGCCATATTTTTAAATCCGAGAAAAATCTAAATTTAGAAACCATAAATAATTAACATATCATGGAAATTGAAAACCATATAGGCCTAAGGCCTTAATAGGCCTGTTTACATTTTCCATTTTTTTTAAATCTTTCCAATGAATTATATATTCTCCTGGTCGATGATAGAAGCCGATTTTGTCTTTATTTTCTAAATTTATTTTATTTCTTTATTTTTATTTTTATCATCAGGAGGACGTTATCCAACAGTCCTTTTAAATCGTCCAACAAATTAATTAGATCCATCCAAAATGAGGTTTTATGTGAGCTACGAGGAGCCGTGTTTCTAAATTTAGCCGAACACTTCATGGATCTACTCATTTTCGAGGACGATCACTTTGCTCAGTTAATAAACATGATTTCGTCAGTCTACACACGCACTCTTATGCATCACCATGACCGTCTCTACACGGATAGATTTGTTTTGAATAATAAAGCCTCCAAAAGACACCTGCTGACCAAAACGATTTTGTTTTTAGAACAGTAACTAAGACCTTTCAGTCATCATATTTTTATTTGTCATTGATGAACTAGAAATCCTTTTTAATGTGTTTGTCCGTCCTCCGTTAGTCCATTTCCCATTGTTTACATAGCGTTCATCCGGGCACTTTCGTCATTCTTTCCCGGCTGAAACATGGCAGCCGGTCTCCAGTGACGGCACACAACGTTAACGTTACGTCAATGAGTGCCACGTGACCACAATACACTGTAGTCAATATATACACCTGCATGACCGAGAACAAATTGCAAAAGAATATCTTTCACTGGAATCTAGTAAAGGGATATCTTAAGGACTCCCGACTCAAAATTGTCCACTGAAACCCTATAGCGTTTTTCATAATTAGCATAAATCCAAGATGGCCGCCAATTGGACTTTCTGGCCTCCATATCTTGGAAACGGCTCGTTTTAGAGCAATAAATGTATTATCATTAGTTACAAACGTGATATCAACGAATCGGAAAAAAGAATCTGTCGACTGAACCCGGGTCACCCTTGAGCGTTTTGAGAAATTCAAGATGGCGTCCAAGACGGCCGTCATTTCAAATAATCACCTGTAACCCCCATACTATTTTGTCTAGGATGATAGTTTTGGTTTTTAACCGTATGTTTTTGGGGCCAAGGAATACACCGAAATCATCCATTATGTTGTGCGATGATTAGATGATAGTAAAATGCCAGACAATATGGCCCTTTAACTCGATAGCGGGGTTTGGACAATAATTATTTCTCCGAACCAAACTATATATTTATGGACATAGAAGCATATGATTGATACGATAACACTACATACATGCCTAACAGGGGGACCAGGGCCACATGGGACGGCCCTGAAAAGAAGGACACAATCTGTGTTTTGATCATTTAAAAAGCAAACTCTACCCGCAAAATACGAAAATACCCCCACAAAAATAGGTTATATTCAGTTTAATCCTTTAGTCGTGTGTCTGGTTGCAACCCGTGACTTCACAGGTCCAAAATACTATACATTCTAAGCCACCCCTAGTGCAGCTACAAGCAAGCGTACTATTTGGGGCGTCACTCGTGCATCCGCATTTGATGAGCCATAGGAGGAACAATTTGACGGATTGTAATGTTCTCAATTTAGTCTCCTTAACCCAGCAATACAGTTCTGGATCAAGTTCTGGTGGATTGCGATCTTCAAGTGAACGCCACGCTATAGCATGGTGGTGACATCGTTTTACTTTCCATACGAATGCATCATTCGTTGGAGCAAGACTACATGGTTTAAATGTGGATGATGACGATATATTTTCAGTTTCGGATGCCTATACACTCCAGCGTTTTTCAGGCGTCGATTTGCAAGGGGCTCTGTCCATAACAAGACAAGAATCACGTTGGTGGGTATGGACATCTTAAAGTCATCATCCCCACTCAAACATGGTAGTCTTGCTCAATGAATGATGTATTTACAGGGAACGTAAAAAGAGCTCATCATCAAGCCATTGCTGCGTGAAGGATACTAAATTGATAGCACTACAACCGGCCAAGGTCTGTCATTTGTCACATCAGATGCGGATACAAGAATGACACCTCGTGCAGTACGCTTGCTTGTAGATGCACTACGGATAGCTTAGAATGTACAGTATTTTGTGCTTGTACCGTCTTAGGTTGCAGCCAGAAATACGACCAAGGGATTAAACTGAATATTGCCTAGTTTTGTGGGGAGAATTTAAATGTTCACAAAACAGCTTGTGCCCCCCTTTATACAGAAATATGTAGTTTGTCTCTAGATATAGTTTGGTTTGGTGAAATAATGGCCCATATTGTCTGGCATTTTAGATTTTACTATCATCTATTCACCCCACAACATAATGAATGATTTCAGTGTATTCCTTGACCCGAGTAACAAACGTTTAGACCTAAAAATTATCGTCCTAGAATAAATACTATGGGAGTTATGGGGGATTATTTGAAATGGCGGTCGTCTTGGACGCCATCTTGAATTTCGCAAAACGCTCAAGGATGACCGGAGTTTACCCGGCAGATTCTGAAAAAGGACACCATAGGCTACTAAAATCAATCCTAAAAAAACTTTATAGACAATTTCCAGATTCACTCGAAATATTGAGGTTTGACGACCGGACAAACTGCTTTGATACCAAATAACCGGGTTTGACGTGAGTTCTGGTGTCTTAGAGAACTAAGAATAAGCGGGCTGAGAACTAGTTTGTTTTTGTAACACTGACTGGACTGGAATTCAATCTGGTGAGTGAAATTCTATCTGCACTGTACATGCACATGAGCATTAGGAGGGGTGACCGAAATGTCCAACCGGTGAAGCTGAGCAGCCTGATTGATTACATTCGATCCCTTGGTGGTGAGCTTGACAACATCCCCACCATTATTTAGATTATTGTCGCAAATTATGCACGTATCCATGGCAAAATACAACTCTTTTCACAAAAGTAGCAAAAAAAAAAGTTTCAAATATCTGGGGAAAACACAGACTGGATTCCAAGCCAATCGCAAGAGCTTGACAACATCTCCACCATTATTTTGGTTATTCCCGCAAATTATGCACGTATCCATGGCGAAATACGACTCTTTTCACAAAATTAGCAAAAGAAAGTTTCATATATCTGGGGAAAACCCAGACTGGATTCCAAGCCAATCACCAGATTGGATTCCAGTCCAATCAGTCAGTGTCACAAAAACAAACTTGGTCACAGCCCGCTTATTCTGAGTTCTCCAAGACATCAAAACTAACGTCAAACCCGCTTATTCAGTATCAAAGCAGTGTTTTGACGTCAAAATAACGACAGTGTGACGTCATGACGTCACTGTGACGTCAGGGCGTCACACCATGACCTGCTGGCGTTGTGATAATTTTATTTTCCGATTTGTTGATATCACTTTTGTATCTAATGATAATACATTTATTGCTCTAAAACGAGCCGTTTCCAAGATATGGAGGCCAGAAAGTCCAATTGACGGCCATCTTGGATTTATGCTAATTATGAAAAACGCTACAGGGTTTCAGCGGACAATTTTGAGTTGGGAGTCCTTTAGTCACCCCTTTACTAGATTCCAGTGAAAGAAATTCTTTTGCAATTTGTTCTCGGTAGTTTTTTTATTTCTCTCCGTCTAAATGGGGGACTTCGTCACACAGCCGAGGCTAGATGTAGGGCAATGTACTGGAATCTGCTGAGGTTTGCCGAGTGATACAAAAGTTCCATATGGGCATACTTGATTAACAGGTTTCTGTTATGCCGTTTCATCTCAAATTAATCAACTTATTTGAATTCCAATATGATCTGTAAGTATGCGGTAACTGTACAGCCAGTCATTTTTTTATTTCAACAACCATGGATTTAGAATACTACATTTAATTCCACGCAATAACATTTTGCGGTACTATGACGAAGTCCAAAATCAGGAATGACAAATTCTGGAAGTGCTGATATCAAGACGGATGTATATAATCTAGTAAAATAAGAAGGTCATCGGGTTGAAAAAGATTTCTGATTGGAGAAATAAAAGGGATGAATCTTATACCTTTTTAATTTACTTTGTTGATTCTACACTAAAAGAACAAAATATGACCTTAATTAGACACATGTCTTAAGCACAACCATGAAAATCATGATTAGGTACTTGAACCAAAATATCAAAATTTATTTCGTTTCGGAAAATTTAGTATATTTGTTATATAAAATATCCACGGAGGTAAACAAAAACACAGGGTTTTTTTCTTTAGGTTTTTTTTTTAATAAGCGCTTCAATATTTTAATTATAAAGTTCATTTTGATTCTAGTTATATTTATATCACGTATTTAAGGTCTCGATATTTCCACCCAATGCTTACCATTTTAATTTTGGCCATAATTCAAAACGTAGATCCACTCTAGCTCAGTAGCTGAGACTTTTACCAGTGTGTTCACAACTCTTTACAGACTACGGGCAGACTACATTCTGCTGTCAATTTTTTGATTAAGACAATTTTATCAATGCTAAAACTAAAGTGTGATAAAATTAAGCATTGCTTACAATCTGGTTTAAAATTTCTTAACGAGCAAGAAATATTTAAATATTAGCTTAAAGGAGCTAAGTCTCTAACTCAATATCCAAAATTTTCAACATTTAAAACACAGATTATTTGTCAATTTAAAACAACATTGATGCTGTGATCTTACCGGAAAAGGGTGGGCTTCTGATGTCCAATATTTAAGACAAAATAAATATTTTAGCATTGGTACACGAATCGTGTACCATAATGCGTTTCAGCCCCAGTTCTAGCAAGAGACTAGAGGAACGAGGCTAGACATATTGCACCAAACCAAACGGCTTATGTAGACTGGAATAACCAGACGCTAGGAATTTGCACTCGATTGAGACTGCCGGCTTATTTCTCGGAACATAACCGATTTGAAATTATAGTAAAAACGGAAACGATTGAATGTAAATCAGTTTATATACATTCATATTACGGTATTATATGAGTTGCGACCCACTTGTGTCAATTTCTAGGTCCCAAATATTAGCGATTTAGCTCCTTTTAATTAGTAATTATACCTTTCATCATATAACTTATAAGCTATTATTGTTTCCATGAACAGTGGCTAGTTTTTTTATCACATAGCTACAAGTTGTGACTGGTGTCATGTAAGGAGCAGGATAATTATGCTTACTCTTTCTAAAACGGGTGTGTGGGGGGGGGGGGATGGTCGAATGGTTAGCGTGCGTTGTATCATAGGGTCTGTCATTCATTGAGTCATATCCCAGGTTGTACATGACAAGGAGTAGGGTCGCCTGTTCAACCTTTTGGGTTTTCTCTGGGTCCTCCGGTTTCCTCCTACTGCTAAAGACCCCTACGTGCAAGCGAATTCTCTCTCTCTCTTGTGGTGACAATCAAAAATAAATTTAAAATACAACTGTTATGACAACCTAAAATAAAGCTAAGGTAAACGTGTCATAACAACCTAAAATACAGGTGTCATGAGAACTGAAAATAGAGGTGTCGTGATGAATAATTTAAAAAGATTAATGTATTTTTTTATGTCAGATAAAAACATCATTTGGTGTGGAGGATCAAAGACACTGATCATGTTGATGAAACAAGCGTCAATGAATTCCTGTATAGCAAATATTTTCAGACTTCTAGGACAATGGATTTCAACATTTTCTGTATTATTTTACATCTTAAAATTACCTGGTAAGATTTTTAATTTCATTTTAGTTTAGTTAGCCCCATGATCTGAATTCTGTGATTGCTCCAATTTTCAGATACTTATGTTTGGCTATCAAAAAATTGTAACTCACATGCATGGTATTCGTGCTGAATACATCTGATTGGCTAAATAGATACTACTTTCAATTTATCAGACTACAAGTTCACATGATCAGGTATAGAAGTTGTTATGTAGGAGCCTTATAGTGAGATCTAGAATTCAAATAGTCTTCAATATTATACGCATGTGTGCTAAGTGAAACTTGATCACAATTGAATGGGGCCCAATCTGATTAAAACAAAGATCCTATTTCGTTTTGTTTTTATAGTTCAAAATTTCGTTTTACTTGTCTTTACAACACTAGGATCTGGAAGAGTTGTTATCATTGACGTGTTCTGAATGATGTGAGCTATTAGCCAATGAAACGATCTGTTACGGCTAGCTTTAGGCATTTTTGCACAGAACTGTCGGTAATCCACTAGTAACATCAATGCTGATTGGTTAATCAAATGTCTGAATCATAGAGTCAAAAGCCGCTCGTATGACCTCTGACGCGACCTATTGCTACAAACAGTCAGATCTTCGTGTAGTGTAGACCATCGAAAGTATAAAAAAAAAACGAAACGAAATATAGATCTGAATTTTAATCAGATTGAATGGGGCCCGAAATAAGGTAAATTTCACTTTCAAAACCACCAGGATGCCAGACCAGTGAGACCACAGATGTTACAGTTACATGCTCATCTATCATTTTAGTCTGGCAGCCAATTACCTACATGTATTGTGTGCAAACATACATTTATTACTATGTAATGGAAAAACTCTTTTGGAATAAAATTTGATAATAAAGAAAATTATTTATTCATGTCACTGTTTATCTAATAATTTGTTTATATGTCATGTACCAACATATATTTAAGGGTCGCCTGTCCAACCTCGCGGGTTTTCTCCGGGTCCTCCGGTTTCCTCCCACTGCTAAAGACCCCTATGCGCAAGCGAATTATTGAAATAAAATTAAACCATATGTTAGTCCCGAAATGACCTAGTTTGTGTCGAGTGGACGTTAAACCCCATTTCTCTCTCTCTCACCAACCTATATTTAATGTGGAAGTATATTGATGTTACCTTAATCCATTATCTCTCTACCATTTCATCTAAACATTCTATAGGTCAAGAGTTAATGGAGAACTCTATCCAAATTCAGAAGTTTTTGATATTTACATTTAAATTTGTAAAAGCTTGAGAATGAAATACAGAGCAGTCAGTGGGATTTGTCAATTGATGTTTCCAGCCATTAATTGTGAAATTTTTTGATCAAATTTTTTAAAACATAGGGCTATTGTTGAGTTGGTTCTAAGGAGTAACCCTGTTGAAATTCAAAATCTATTGATAGCAAAACGCTGAGTTATCCCTTCTGTTTATGTTCAAATCTGTGAAATCTTGTGATACATGACAGATTCCTGGTAAGAATTTTTTGGAAGTCAGTTAGATTAGTCCTTGTGTCATAATAAAGAAACATTGAATTTCAAAATTTGGGAATCACAATTTTGGACAAGTTGTCGTTCCATTCGCATTTTTATGTTTTTGTGAAGTCATACAGGACAGAGTTCTATACATGATTGTTGGTTTTTATAAAACTTGCTTAGCAGGATTTATTGACATTGATTTAAAAGCTAAAATGGATGACTATGCTGCTGGTAGGTGTATTAATGGGCTTGAGAAGCTCCTTTCTATGTTTATTTATATTACAGATATTATAAATGCTGAGATTCTTGCTATTCATGTCGTCTTGAATAAAACATGTGATGATTGGGCAAGTCTAAACTGGAACCAGAAACCACAATTTTTAAGTGAAACATCTCGATGTCAGTTGACAACGGTTGCATTAAAAACAAACTCAACAGATATTCAGTCAATTTATCCAAGAGATTATCAGGAGTTAAAATTAACAAAGTTAAAAGAAAATTCACCGTATATGTTTTATATGCTGTGTGATAGAGTTTATATATCAAATAATGTTTCCTTTGTCACAGGTAAGTTTTGGTTTTAAAAACCCATTTCTAGACTCTGAAGTGGCTAGGAATAATGATAAGGCCTCAAGTTCACAAAGCATTCTCAGACTTAACTTAAGAATTTACTCAACTTTCAATCACTGTTTATGAGAAATATCTTTGATCCAGAAACAAAAAACTTTGCACATAGTTTCTTATTGATGTATTTGATATATTAAAACAACAAAAGTTTCATAAAGGGCTATATCTTAGTTAAAATAAATTTTTAACCTAAGTCTGAGAATGTTTTGTGAACTCAGGGCCAGGTATCTTAAAACCAATGATCATCATTCTGGAAATTGCAATATTGTGAAAGTGGACTCAATAAAAGGAAAATTAATCCAAAAATGGTTTAATTCTATTCCATATGATATGATGAATTGGCAATTGAACAGCAATCAGCATCCTGTGCTATAAGGATGGTTAAAATATTTTGATGGGCCTCTTTTTAACCCTTACCGATATACTAGTTGCTTTGCACATAAAAGGTGCAGAACGGAGGGCCTGACAAGGACAGCTGTCTAGTCCTTCGGATGAAACGAAAAAACGAAACGTAAAAGATCCCTTGGCAGTTGGAATTCAATATAAGAGTAGGCGATAGTGCCGCTGCCCGGGCAAAATTTCCCTCAAAGCACACTGTATGGCGTATGCCCGTCTTCATTAGCCCAGTATAGGAGCAGAACAGTAGGACGTTAAACCCCATTTCATTTCATTTCTTGCACATAAAAAAACCATTGGCAGTTGGAATTCGACCAAGAGTAGGTTTACCAACTGCATGGGATGTTCTTGTCTTTATTGGCCTGTTCGTATGGAAAAGTAATACGTTAAACCTAAATTCATTTCCAGTGTAATGGATGTATGACCATAATGGCAGGTTCCCACTGTCGTGCAATGCGTTACAATGGAATTGTCCCTATTGATTCCACAATCTGCTTCGTACAGAAACGTTTGGACACGTTTCGATACTATCGACACGATTGCTACGACTGGCCTCAATATATGATAAGACCTGATAGGACCACCATCGTTACTCCATGATTAAAATTACGATTTCAATCGTAGCAGTGGGAGGTGATGGCCGAAAAGTTAGCGCATGCGCGTTGTATCACAAGGTCTTTCATTGAGTCAATTTGTGTGGTTTCGATTCCCTGGTTGTACGTGACAAGGAATAGGGTCGCCTGTCCAACCTTGTAGTTTTTCTTGCGTCCTCCGGTTTCCTCCCACTGCTAAAGACCCCCACACACAAGCAAATTATTGAAATAAAATTGAACCATGTTAGTCCATAAATGACCTAGTTTGTGTCAAGTGGACCTTAAATCTCTCTCTCTGTCTCTCTCTGTCTCTCTCTCTCTCTCTCTCTCTCTCTCTTTATTTCCTTTCTTGTTTTACTTAACTTGACTCCATTGATTTCCTTTTACAGGTTCTAAGTGTTCCACACATGAAGATGATTCTACTCCATATTTTGTAAAAGAACCAGAAATGGCCGTAGAAATACCAGTATCATTATCAGATATAGTTCTCGGAACTGTTTTTGCACTAGTAGGACTTATAATCATTTGTGTCTTTCTTTATCATTTTTGGAAAAGTTATGTTCGTAGACAAAGAATTAATAGAATTTTCAGGTTAGTAATTATATATAAATGTTATATGCAGGGGGACCGCAACACACAAAAAAACAAAACTGGGGACATAACACTCATACTACACAGACATTGTAAGCAATAAACAACAAACGCATAGATCAAATCAAGAGAATGGAATTAGATCAGGCTGGTTTGTTTTAGGTTTGGAGGCACTCTTGAAAGATATTGTGTTTCAATCGTGGGGGGTGGATGGCCGAATGGTTAGAGCATGCACGCTGTATCATAAGGTTTGTCATTGAGTCAACTCATGTGGTTTCGATTCCCTGGTTGTATGTGACAAGGAGTAGGGTCGCTTGTCCAACCTCAGGGTCCTCCGGTTTCCTCCCACTGCTAAAGACCCCTACGCACAAGCAAATTATTGAAATAAAATTGAACCATATGTTAGTCCCGAAATGACCTAGTTTGTGTCAAATGGACATTAAACCCCACCATTCCTGTCTCTCTCATTCAATCATGTTAGATCCCATTGTTGGCCGAGAAAGTGGGTTTATCCTTGTTAGTGGTAAGGCTGAGACAAAAAACAGGCCCCGAGTTCACAAAGCATTCTCAGAACCAAGTTAAGAATTTACTCAACTTTCAATCATTGTTTATGAGAAATATCTTTGATCCAGAAACACAAAACTTTGCACATAGTTTCCTATTGATGTATTTGATACATTAAAACAACAAAAGTTTTATAAAGGGCTATATTTTAGTTAAAATAAGGCAAACAATTTTGAGTAAATTCTTAACTTAAGTCTGAGAATGTTTTGTTAACTTGGTGCCAGATCTTATGTACTTGTTGGCAAGTGCATAAAAGAACCCTTGACAGTTGGAATTCAAAATGAAAGAAGGCCATACAAAATGTCGGCCAAAATTTCCCTCATAGGACACAGCATGGCGTATGCCGTCTTTATTAGTCCAATTGGTGCAGGAAGTATACGTTAATCCTCATTTCATTTTGTAAACAAACACCAATGCACACCCTGAAAACCAGTTTTAAAATAATCCCGCCAAAGATGTCACTTAGAATACTCAAAAATCATTAAAATCAGTATTTTAAAAAAATTAAACAGACATTTTATTTTTCAGAGTAGTACATTTATCATTTTTATTTCAGGGAAGTGGAAACCGATCCGTTTACATATTTACAAAATCATATGGAAGAACAAAGTGCCGTTAATCTATAACAACACAGGCGTGATGGAAATGTAGATCTGTATATATTACTTCATCCCAATCATTTTTAATAAACAAAACAATTTACGAAATCCAAATGAGAAACCACTTCAGAGCATGTCTTCCTGATTGTTGATTGAAGGACATTACATACATGCACTTAATTTTTATATGACCACATTTGTCGTACATTGACATCACCCATGTCCATATGTCCGTCCCAAAGCAATTGTGGATGCTGTCGAAGAGAAACTTCTCATCTAATTGACTGTGTTTATGTTCATGAGGTGAATATTTGGTCCCTTGATCACTTATGTTCCTAATAGTAAGTGCAGGGGACTGCACCACACATAATTACACAAAACAAATGTACGGACAAGACACAATATGCAGAAATCACAAACAAACGTACATATCAGATAAAGTGAATAGATCCAGGGGCTAGCCGAATAGATCCCGGGCCTGTAGTGATACAGACTTCACTCAAATTTGAAAACAATCAGGGATGTAACTGTTACACGGAGAAACCATTGTGTAATAGCAGCATGAGTCATGATCTGCTATATTTTACATGAAATATGAATGTAAGCACATTGAAGTAAAAATTACCTGTACACAAGTAAACATATCGGTGAAATGTATAAAAAACGAGGTACTACAGGTAATCTAAAACTAAATGCTCTATGTTATTTGTTAAGTGAGAAACATTTTAAGTGTTCAAAAGAATTGAGGTATATTGACTATAAAGTTAGGGCATATGTTCCATTTACCAGAAAAACAGAGGAGATGGAGAAGTATCTCGATTTATTAATTAACGGTTCACGATTGTTTAAGTTAGAGCTAGGAAGAACTGAAACCTATCAAATTTTAATTATTTCTGATGTCAATGATTAACTAATGGATTGTTGCCCTTGATAAGCTTTTAGTGTCTTGTAAGAGCCCCCACTACTAACAAAAGAATAAAAATGTGATTACCTTTATGGACTGCTCAGACGACTTAGCTGCTGACGGTGTATGTTTCATTGGCTGCCAACCTATCTTTTAAAGTGAAACATATCGACATTAGGTTATTCTTTGTATTCTTAATAACCTTTATCAAATCACCTTAATTGATAAAATGTATGTATATATGAATACATGTAGATGGGGTTTAACATCTGCTCAACACAAATTAAATCATTTTGTGACTAACAATTACATTTTATATCATCATTTGCTTGCGTGCTGGGGTCTTTTAGAGTGGAAGCATAATGGAGGACCCACAGAAAACCCATGACGTAAGGCTCATGACAAACCTTCCCATGGTACTGTTAAACATGTAGGTATCACATGAACCTATGTTCCATACTGATCAGCAGTGAATATTCGCTATCCCACTACAATCACTGAGAGGGAAGTATTGGGAAAATATATTAAGGTGTTTGAAGTATATCTGTAAAAAATAATTCCTATTTAGTGTAAATGGATATATAAAATGAGTAAAAGTTCATCCAGATTTTCCGGCGTGGTTCCCCCTTGTCAGTGATGCAGGACGGAAGGGCTGACAAGGACAGCTGTCTAGTCCTTCGGATGAGATGAAAAACCAAGGTCCCGTGTATACATTAGAATGCACATAAAAGATCCCTTGGCAGTTGGAATTCGATATAAGAGTAGGCGATAGTGCCACTGCCCGGGCAAAATTTCCCTCATCGCACACTGTATGGCGTATGCCCGTCTTCATTAGCCCAGCATAGGAGCAGAACAGTAGGACGTTAAACACCATTTCATTTCATTTCTCAGATACCTGTAGTATCATACAATTCCTAGTAAAGCCCACTTATTAATACAACATGGTAATTAACATCATAATTTATGGAATTCCATACCATTAAGTCTAAAATGTGCCCCCTTCACTGGAATCATTCAAATCGAGATTAAAGACTCATCTGTTTGAATGTGAATACAGTTGTATTTGACTGAATATACTGTTGTGTAAATGGTGAAAGATACACAGTGTACATAGTGTTTGGCGCTTTGAGCATGCATACGTGTATGGAAATTTGCACATTATAAATATACACTATTATTATTATTATCTGTCTCTATTGGGTGATCTAACACATGAACTTTGGATCATAAGGTCTGTCATTGAGTCAAGTCGCAGGTTTTTGATCCCAAGGTTGTCTGTGACAAGTGTAGGGTTACCTGTCCAACCTCGTGTTTTTTCTGTTGGTTCTCTGGTTTTCTCCCACTGCTAAAGACCCCTACACACAAGTAAATTATTGAAATAAAATTGAACCATGTTAGTCCCAAATTAGTGTTTACTGGACATTGAACCAAATTTATCTCTCTCTTGTCTTGGTTACCTCGTGTTTAAGTTACATAATATATATTTCTATATTATACTGATATATGTAATAGAAAGTGTGTTCATGATTTCTGTCTGTAATATTTCAAATTTTATTCTTTTCACCCCCTTAAGCCCTAAAGATGGTTGTTTTAAAACCAGAAATAATGTTTATTTAGGAGGCTAAAGAACATTTTTTAGGTAGCCTCACCCCATAAAACCACAAAAGTTTTATAATGGGCTACATTTTAGTTAAAATAAGACAAACAATAGAGTAAATTCTTAACCTAAGTCTGAGAATGTTTTGTGAAACCGACACCTGATTATCTGGGGCCTGTTTCACGAAATTTTAACTAAGATAAAATCCAGATTTTAGTAATTTGATTGGGTAATATTAGATTGATTTTAGTGCTTAGCCAATCAAAATTGAAGTATCTACAAAAATTTGGATTTTATCTTTAGTTAAGATTTCGAGAAACAGGGCCCAGTTACTGTATTAAACATATTTAAAGAGTATTTATCATATTTTACTTGCCAGTTTGTTAAATATGTCACCAAGCTTGTTTGATAGATGTATATTTTGTATGTGCTATTTTTGCGTTGATTAAAGTATGGCTTCTTAAAGTATTTGTTAAAACCACAGATCTTCATTTGAGAGATTTTGAATCGCTTTCAAATTGAAATATTCTGAAAGTTGAAAGGGATATCAGTCAAAAAACAAAGCTAATTTCACAACTTGAATTCAATAGGATTAAAGGAGACCCCTAAAAAACTTGTCCACATTGATAGGTGGCTCTGCAGAGGATGGCAAATTTTGTAAAAATTTCAATTCATTATATCTTTGTAAATACTGAATGAAAGTCAACCATTTACAGGAGGTGGTGGCCAAATGGTTAACGCATGTGTTTGATCATAAGGTCTGTCATTGAGTCAAGTGGCATGGTTTTGATTCCCTGCTTGTACGTGACAAGGAGTAGGATCGCTTGTCCAACCTCATGGGTTTTCTCCAGGGCCTCTGATTTCCTCCCACTGCTAAAGACCCCTACACGCTAGCAAATTATTGAAATAAAAATGAACTATATGTCAGTCCCGAAATGACCTAGTTTGTGTCAAGTGGACATTAAATTAAACCCCTTTTCACAATATTGGAGTTTGCAAGGGATTCAAAATCTCTCAGAAGGCAATCAGCGACTTTAGTTGGAAGAACAATGGGTCATTTAGCCCTTACAATTCATGTATATACATGTATATAGATCGTTTGACAGCCTCACAGGAGTTATATATAGAATTACTTTTTTGCTGATGGCAGCATTTCTTTACTTAATTTCCCTACTTATATAACCATTAATTGATTTGTATACATATTGTTACTGTATCTATTTGTAAAGCCTAGCACAGACGATGGAACATTTATGTTGACAAACAAAAATACCAAACAAATATTTTTATTTTTGTTGTCCGCAGATGACAAACATGGTCCCCCAGACGAACAAATGTTTTAAGTCGAACAATAAGTTTAGCGCCACATAAAATCACTGCAGACACAATCATTGTAACGCAGACAAACTAATGTTTTAGCTTAAACAATACCCTACTGCCCATATGTGTCATTGATACTGCCACATAAAATCATGTGATTTCAAAATGGCATACATATCACATGACATTTGAATATCATGTGATATGTATGTGATCATTATTCAAATTACTTTATTCTGAGCAAAGTTTACAATGTTTATAGATTTGACAAGATGTGTGCATTGTGCGGTGCTTTTTATTCAAGTCTTAGTCTCACTTCTACATTTTTAAATTAAATCATTAAATGGCCAAACCAAATAATTTATATAACATTTCAGGCCTAAAGAAAGACCAGCAATAGGAAGATCTTGAATAATGCCTGTTTAAAGTTTGTTAAAATACAGATGTGACGTCATCCTTTGATGTTGGAGTACCATTATTTCAAATAATCGTACGGGCAATGTGCCAAGCGTAACTTTGTAAAATATTGAACTCGAGTGACGTATTTCATTGCAAAGCATGTGCAAGTGTCTGTTTTTTAAGTTGTTTAATGGTCTCGAGCTTACGACATTGCGTAATATATTGTAAAAACATTAGGGCCTCACGGCCCTCATGTTGTTACAATATATTACTTAATGTCTCGCTCTTAACCATTAAACAATACTTAATACCACTAACCTGGAGGTCCCATGTTCTTCTGGATTTTCTGGTATTGTTCCCCCTTGTCAGAGGTGCAGTATGGGGGGGCCTGACAAGGGACAGCATAGTTATTCGGATGGGACAAAAAAACCAAGGTCCTGTGTAGTATATGTACACATTGGGGTGCATGTAAAAGAACCCTTGACAGTTGTAATATTGAAATAAGAGTAGCCCATAGTGCTGTTGTCCGGACAAAATTTCCCTCATAGCACACTGTATGGTGTACGCCGGTCTTCGTTAGCCCAGTCCGTGCAGAATAGTAGGACGATTTGTTGGGTTTAGTGTGTTGATTGGAGGATTGTTCCAAATTTTAAATCTACAGAAAAAGCCAATGTTCAGAAATAATCAATGGTTGGTCCATGTGTCGAAACAGTAATCAAAACATAGACTAAAATCTTTTCAAACAAAATTTTGATGATGTGGAGCTTTTCCTGTCTCTAATGGTTAATACACACATCAGGTCAACCTAATGTAATACTTTATTTTGGTCTATATGAAAAAGGTTTAACCCCCTTAATTTAAAAGCTATAACTTCATCAATGCAAAAGTTTAATCTCATATCATTCAACTTAATTTGATGCTTTTTCTACAAACTATTTTTTTTTTTTTTTTAACATAATCTTTGAGTGGCATTTAGCGATGGCAAACACATTAACAGAACACAGTTTTTATATGATACAATCACTAGTTTATTCTAGATTATGAAGAGTGATTGTATCCCATAAAAACTGTGTTCTGTTAATATTTTTTTTTTAGGTTGTCATATTTTATTTCAGTCCACAGTCCACAAGTTATTAATGTTTAATTTTTACATTTATTTTTATTGTTTATTTATAAGATCTGTTTATGATAATGAATATATATATATATGTGTAATATTTATGTATGCCTAACAAACTCCATTAAACGATATATCTTGCCTTTCCATTCATTTGTTATGGTTGTGTTCTTTTCATCGTTTTCAAATGTTACAGATTATTTTCATATTAAAATAACTTATAAAACAGCACAAAGATGGAGATCACATCCAGCACTGGCCACATTGTCATTTCACGTTTGAAAAAAATTGAATCCTGTTTTTCCGAACACAAAAGAGGAAGCCATAAAATGCTAGAATATGGCCCCTCCCATAAGAGGAGGCAGGAAGGGTGGGTGGGTTTGTACTATTGTACACAGTGAATTATTTTCCCAGTTATAAGCAATGTTTAAAGGAGCTAAATCGCTAATATTTGGGACCTAGAAACGCATATAATAATGTAATCTGATTGTATATAAACTGATTTACATCCAATTGTTTCCTTTTTGACTCTAATCTCAAATCAGTTATGTCCAGCGAAATACAGCATGTGTCTCAACCCTACAGCAATTTCTAGCGTCTGGTTATTCCAGTCTATTAAGCAGGCTCTCCAGTTGAATATGTCTAGCCTCGTTCTTTCTGGTCACTTGTTGCAAATGACGCTAAAACGCACTATGGTACACGATTCGTGTACCAATGGTAAAATATTTATTATGTCTTAAATATTGGATATCAGAAGCCTGCCTTTTCCTGGTAAGATCACAACATCAATGTTGATTTGAATTGACAAATAATTCGTATTTTCAACGTGTAAGACTTTTGATGATATTGAGTTAGAGACTTAGCTACTTTAAAACATACCCCAGACCACAACGTTGTGTATTTTTATGGTTAATGGTAACATTGTCAGGGAAATTTGTGCTGACGGCAACGTTCCTTGTTCGAAACATATAACTCCCAACATGAGTCCTGTATCGGAAAGATATGGAAATGAAAGGACTATTCCAGATAAAATGGACTTGAACCCCTCTACTTTCATCGGTACTCTTGAAAAATACTTTTAAGGTTTAATTTAAAGCCCTAATATCGTCAAGGCACGTCTATCTACATCTGACTTCAAGATTTTTTAAAAAGGCAAATAGTAATGATACAGAGATCTCATGCGTACGCATAATATAACATCGAACAGAAATCAAACTGTTTGGTAAGATAAACACATAACATATAAACGACTGAAACATGCTGTGAATTGAACTAATTCTTAAATAACCAACTTTGTGCTCGAGAGTCGCCTCTACGAAACTTTTTTATAATCCTGTTTTAATCAATTAATACCCAAGAACTGTTAAAGTATTCCAAGCCTTATTGATCCAAATTTACTTTTCCATGTTCTAGATTTTTCACTGTTAAAGAATTCCGAGCCTTATTAATCCAAATTTACTTTTCCACGTTCTAGATTTTTCACTTGCCATATTATGAGATCTAAAAAGCCAATTTCTAGAATTGTTAGTTTTACTTAAGAATACTTTAATCAACTGTTAGAACTGTACAAAAAGACAAGAATTTTTTAGATGTCAAGAGGTGTGAAAATACGAGACTGGTGTCAACGGCGGCGTGTCAGAAGCATCAACAAATACTGATCATTTATCATCTTTTATAAACCTGTAACGGTAAATCTCTTTGATCTTTGGGGTATGACTTGCGGTCTGAAAGTCGGGGGCGGCTTTGGATATATACAGTGACATTTGGGGCTATTCTTTTGAAAGTTTTTCTTTAAATCTGTAACGGGTTATTCTTCCAGGGTAGGTTTTTTTTCCATAAGAAAACATGATATAAAGTTTTTCTTACGGAATTCGGGGATATTCTCATCTTGCGTACATGTAAACATAGACGGTTTATAAGCAAGATAACGTCCTCGGTTTTTCTTTTTCTCTGGTTATTTTCTTCAGTCTTTCTTTCCCTAGCATAACCCCAGTCTATTCAGTTCCGAATGGCATACAATGCGCGGAAATGACATATAACGGCGATTACCGTGAAACTTTCATCTGAAATTTGAATTTTTTCTCTTTATGCCATGAACCGCGGGACCCTGCGTCTGGGCCCCTTAGGCCCATGCCTAAGCTGGGCATTGCACCCCCCCCCCACACTTGTTAGTGGTGCATGATTAACGGCCTTGCAAGGAAAACGTATAGTCCTTCGGACGGTATGAAAAATAACAAGGTTCCGTGTACTGTTGGCAACAAATGGAAATCTAATTAACAGCAGTTTTCAAGGCACGCATAAAAAAAACTAATTCACCAGATTTTGCATGATGAAATTAAGACCTGTAATTTTTAAATCACATAAATCAAATATATTATAAAGAACCTGTAATTACGTGCTGTGGTATTATGATATTATTATATATGACTTTTATAAACTACAGCCGATATTGAGGTAAGGTTATTGATACTAGACAATGGCTATTGTATGAATAGAATCATTATGAATAAAAACGGTGTCGTCCTTTGTCGATTCAAGAAAGCGTTGTCAGAGGGCTTAATAATTCGTTGTATACAAAACTAAGGAACAAACATATACATAGATTTCATAGTTAGAGTTCTTAGCAATGGTATTCATCGATCTTGTTTTATTAATGTTAGAAAGAGGAAAACAAACTTGAAGAAACTACTTCTCGGCTTTAAGTCATCTTATATCGGCAATATATCAATCACGTGTTGACAGTCTTCGTATCGATCAGTTAAGATATTAAACAGCGTATAAAATAACGTTAAGGATAGCCATACTCTGGTGATAAGTGCTCGTTCAGGAATGTTTGAAGTTGACGACCCGTTATTACACCCTTAACAACAGGTGAATAGTTTGATAGCCAGGGTTTAAAATATCATTATGTGTTACCTGATAGTGGATTTAATTTAGGGTATATTCGAATATAAGATACTAATCATAAATATTACTGAACGGTTGACTACTGTTTCAGTAGATATTATGAGTGTGGACGGGCTCAAATGTTATTTGTGTGCGCCGTTTCTTGGTTTTTTAAACTTTCATCAGAGATCATTCCTTCAAAAGCAATGAGAAATGTTATAAATCTTGTTGTATATGTAGTGTAGTAGATTAACGGAATCAGATACTGTCCAAGATATATTTGCTATGGGAAGGGAATTATCAAGCTGAACACTATAACCAAAGTAAAATGTTATCGCAGGAATATCCAAAATTACAGATAGATCTGACTTCTATCCACGAGGAAGATCTCACAAAATCAACCAGACTGTCGGAAGTGAGGAAGGGGGCAGATTTTACCAAAATGGTAAATCAGTTGGCGGATCAGCAATGGCGTGGAACCAATGTCATGCCACGTATTATGGAGACAGAAGAGAGAGAGACACCAAGGAAAGACGGAGATGGGGCCCCGTTTAAACTGGAAGATTCAACCTATAATGTTTATGAACCCAAATTGAAAATGAACCAACCTCAATTTCAATTTGATGAACCCAAGTTGATGCAGATGACTAAGGTACCAGCTCCACCAAGAAGAACGACGCCCTTGGCACCGGTGTCGCGCCAAGGAGGATCGGGAAGATCGAGCATTGGAACTGTTTCCAGGGAGATACAGAACATACCCTCTAGACGGGACTCTTTGATATCGAGTATTCTGAACATCGAAACCACCAGCAATAAAAGCAACCGGAATCTTCAGAAAATAAACAACAACAACATCAACAACAATAATATCAACAACATTTTAAACAGCAACAAAGCAGTTCTGCCAGATATCAGTGGGCAAAGTTTCAGAGATCGTTCATCTTCTGTGGATCTAAAGGAATTATACTATTTCAACACGTGGGGATCCCGCGATCTCGGATTGGATTCTAAACTGGTGCCAGATGAGGTGCCACGTGTTATAGCACCTAAACAATCCGTTCCTTCCAGCAGAGTTGGATCCCAAGGCCGCGATCGACAACTTAGAACTGAGACTGACTTTAGATCAAGAAATGGATTAGTTCGGATTGTTAAACCGCATAAACCGCTACCACCAATTGCGAGGACCGAATATCCAGAAGCAGACCCGGCCTATGATCTTGACAATTTAGGACGAGAAAAGACTTATGTGACCCTCAAACGAATTGACCAAATACTAAATCCCCAACAAGCGTTTGTTAAAAGTGAACTTAATTCTTCTGAATTTGGAATATTAGGCTCAGGTTCGACAACTCCGAAATCGGTTAAAAAGAAGAAACGGGAAAACGTGGATAAAGTCGTGAAGTCGTTCGATGGAATACTAGACCATTCTAAGAATAATGCCAGTTATATCAATCATTCTGGTGGCGTAACTGTGGTGCACACATATCCCAGTGGACATCATTCACACCCACATCAAACTGCGCAATATCCACACACTTTTCAAAATGCGCAACATCCTTATCCCAACGGGCAGCATCCACACACGTCACAAAATGTGCAACATCCTTATCCAAACGGACAGTATCCACACACTTTTCCGACTAGGCAGCCACACCCGCCCACAAAAGCTGCCTCTAAGCCATCCTCTCGTATCAGTAGCAAAAATCCGAACCGTTCTCTATCTCCTGTTCTGAAATGTTTAGATACCGAAAAAGTAACATCTTACGAAAAATGTATGAAATGGGTTGATAAATGTAGTGAGTGGTATGACTGAAGATGACTGAAATTCGATACCAATTCGTTTAAAAACCACAGAGTTTTGTGGCTCCGGTTTAATATTTTGGGTAAATCGTAACGTTTTACGTGACTATAGAAAACGCAAAGCAATGGATAGTGATTACTGTACAAGAAACTGGACAGAGTCGTTGTCTTGAAGAATTATAATTTCTTATCAACCGATTGCATAGCTATGTTTAATGTTTCAAAATGAAATTATCTGAGAGAATAAAGGAATGAATCGTGGTATACTTAACATTATTAGGCCTACTTTTATTTATATTTTTAAATTTAAAAAAAGAAATGTTCGGAGGATCATGTCTCAAGCATTGGATGATTATACATTATAATTCGTATAATGTGCTGAGTGGCAATTAACAGTGTGGATCGAATGGACAACACTATTTATAATTAACCTACCTACGTTATAATATTTCTATGAATGGATGTGTATATATATAACAATATGTATTGTAGACTATAAGATTGGTTACTTGGTGTTATATTGTTATAGTCTATAATGACCAGATATATACTGTGATAAAAAGCGTATTGTGATATATTAATAGGACTGTCTATATATTTATATTGTTGACCGTAAACATAAATATACCATACCCATATACAATAACCATAAAGTTTGCGTGTTTGTTGTTAATCAGGAGTGCAGGATGGTAAGGGACAACGTATAGTCGTTCGGATGGGACGTAAAAGATCCCTTGACAGTTGGAATTCGATATAAGAGTAGGCCGTAGTGTCGCTGTCCGGGCTGTATGGCGTCTGCCCGTCTTCATTAGCCCAGGTAATCAGGAATGAACCATTTTATAGACATTGGATTTTGTTCCATGACAACAGCTTCAGGCCGTTTGCAATAACATTTTTTAAAAGTAACCATGTTTCAAAGAGTTCCGTTATGTGCTATGAGCACGATTTGTGGATTTGGCGCTATATAAATGGACATATTATTATTATTTTTATTTATGTGTATATTTTTTATTTCAATTTGAGGGGGGGGGGGGGGAGGTAACGTCCACTTGCCATCACAAACTAGGTCATTTCGGGACTAACACATGGTTCAATTTTATTTCAATAATTCGCTTGCGCTTAGGGGTCTTTAGCAATGGGAGGAAACCGGAGGACCCGGAGAAAACCCACGAGGTTGGACAGGCGACCCTACTCCTTGTCACGTACAACCGGGGAATCGAAACCCCGCCAGTTGACTCAATGACAGACCGTATGATACAGCGATACAGCGCGCGCGTGCTAACCATTCGGCCATCCAACCCCCCTTGTTAGAAATGTAGATTAAATGTAAAATAATTTAAATACGGTATCCCAATTCTTTCATAAAACAGTTTGTGCCCGGCTATTGTCTTGAATTTTCTGCTTTAAAAAAAAATACAATTTTAGTCTTCCACCTCTAATATTTGCAAAAAACATCATATACACGAATTGGAATCGCGTCTTTTTAACAATTCCAATTATGTCGTTTTATGATGATAAACATTTTCTTGAGAGAAATGGGGTTGAACGTCCACCCGACACAAACTAGGTCATTTCGGGACTAACATATGGTTCAATTTTATTTCAATAATTCGCTTGTGCGTAGGGGTCTTTAGCAGTGGGAGGAAACCCGAGGACCCGGAGAAAACCCACATGATTGAACAGGCGACCCTAACCCCTTTCACGTACAACCGGGGAATTGAAACCACGCTAGTTGACTCAATGACAGACCTTATGATACAGCGCGTACACGCCAACCATTCGGCCATCCAACCCCACATACAATAATGGATCTAGGACATTGATTCTCAACCAGTGTGCCGCGTCAAACAGGTGTGCCGCGAGATCTTCCTAATTGTGCCGCGAAAGTTTTCATATATTAGCCCAGGTATGCCGCTATTTTTTCATGTGTTCCAAGGTGTGCCGTTGGCAAAAAAAGGTTGAGAACCACTGATCTAGGAGGTTATACCGATACTTATCATGCGCAGTTATACATTAGCCGACGATTTACTATATTTACATGTATTTATCTATAAAAACGCAAGATCTTATCAAATCTATTGTTGCTTAGCTTCCATAGTATAAAAAGATCTGCTGACAAAGAACATTGATTTTTAAAAATGTTTCCTTGACAAGAAAGGGGATTATTTATGTCTTAAATCCTGGCCATAATATCAATAATATAAAGACGATTAACTCAAGAGGAATGATAAACAAAAAGAAATCAATAAAAGAAGACAGTAAATTTTGAATTCTATATAATACATTAGGCCTACACGGTCCATGATTGGGTCCAGTCCAGATTAACAGCATCGATTCTGGAAATCTGATCCATTTCTCCGAATTTGGTATAGGTCGATAAAGTGCATCTTTTTATGTTGGACGCGGACTCCAACTGATCCTCTGGTCCATGGACTTTTAGTCAGCAAATCGAACAACATCAAAATAGTTGATAGAAGACATGTCAGGGTTTGTCAATTTCCTTTCGTTTTATTTATGTAATTAGATTCACCTTTTCCATATTATGTACACAGAGATCCATCTGCTTCATACTTCGAGTATAGATCTCTGCCTTAAAGTTACAATTTCATATTTTTAAGTTATATTTTTAAAATGTATTAAAATAAAGCCCTAAAATAGATGGTATCTATAAACAGTTCTATCTTGTTAACGAATAATCCTATTAATCCTATAATTCACTATTGCCAGTTGAGAAATTGGCAAAAATATCATTTTCAACTTCAAATTCAAACGTTTGAAGATAGCTACTCCATGGTGGGGAATAGAAAAACAAGGGAGGTAATTGAGAGGTAATTGTGTTATTATTTCCGGTGTGAAGATTTTTAAGTGTGAGAATGACACCTATGATCTTATAATAGTTAGTTGACAACCTATTGAGCAAAAGACATAGAAATAATTATGTTTTGACATTCTTAGAAAATATGAAATTGTAACTTTAAATGACCGTCATGTACAACAATAAGTATACTGTTCTGTAATGCCGTTCTTCTCCGTTCCCCATCTGTCATACACACAGAGACTAAATAAACTTTTGCAATTTTATTAAATGGAAGCAGAATAAATACTTAATAAAAAATTTGCGACGTATACTGAGTGTTTTCGACTAAAAATCGCCCATATTGAATTTAAAATGTCGGCCAACTAGCTTAGTGTCTGTTCTAAAGCAGAGCTAACTGCAGACAGACAGCCTAAGTTTAGTATGATCTGTTCAATACCAGATCTAGATTTGCCAGGGTAGCAGCACTACTAACTTTCATATAGGCATGCACATTAGGATCAAACTATCATGGGTTTTATAATGGCGCTAATCTCTTCCCATACGCACCAAACTCGACATATTCTGTTGGAAAATCTGAAAGATTAAATTCATTTCACCTCCTTGTGTCAATCAACTACGGACAGGTCCTACTTACATTGCCAGATATCCAAAGGGAATATGACCAATCAGACATCAAGATGCAGGAAATCATATTCAAAATCTAATGTTTAAGAAATAAAAGGGGGTTTAATGTCATACTGTTTTGCTCCAAGTGAGCTAATGAAGATAGACATGCACAATACAGTGAGGGAAATTTTGCCGGGACAGCGATGCTGAGGCCTACTATTATATCAAATTCTAACTTCCAAGGGATATTTTATGTGCACACAGCTGTACACAGGACCTCGTTTTTGTTTTGTCCCATCTAAATGTTTAGACAGCTGTCCTTGTCACGTAGTATATCTGATCTTGTTGGGTAATAAAACCAGGTTGCTAAGCATAAAACGTGGTATATATATTGTTGAGTATTAATTCAAGGTTGCTATGCAGCCATTTGTTTTTAGTCTACATTATTTCACAATTCAAAGATAAGAACTTTGGTTAGTAATTAACTCAAGTCTAATTATCAGTATGTTTTATTTACACAGCAGTGTCGTATTTACATATAACAATTAAACCTATATGTATTATAAATATATATACTCACTTTATCTACATATATAAATAAATCACTTAACAAATATACATATATTGTATCAATAAAGAGTTTTAACATTGTAACTACTATTCTTCTATCTAGCTACACAACATAGGTATTTAAATATCTCTCCTTAACTACCATATCTTAAAATATATACAATTTTTACCTTGTGCTAGTTGACTCCTTCTTCAAGAAAAAATACAAATTTGTATATCACAAAAATCATACCTGAAGTATATTATATTAAAAGTTGTATTATCTGAAGTCAAACTCCTAGAGTCTCCACAAACCATGTTATGAATTACTTAAGTTTCTAAATATCAGAAACACACATTAACACGCAAAATGCTCTCTTTACATCAAAAACAACCCAATAATTCACAATATTAATACTGTTTATTTCAAAGAGTTTATTATTATCTACCAGGAATGTAGCGTGATTATTCTCCTTCGCGACAATCCAATACCATTTTACGGAATCTCATAGCAGAACTAGGTCTTGGTGGTGTAGTACTACGAGAAGTCCCAGGTGGTGATGGGGTTAATTGTGTCCTTGGGCTGTCACCATAGCGATCTAGAACTTTATTGACCGATACAACTTTAATTCGACCAGGACTGATGCTGTGATGAGATCTTGTTTTCAACTTTTCATGTTTAATATCTTTATGTGGATGACATGGTATATTTTGGACGGTTGGGGTTACTTGGTGGGAAGCTTTAAGAGGACTAGGTTTACTGGGAATAGAATGTAAGAGGGGTTGAGCTGGACGGAATTTGACACTGCCTGGGGAGCTTGGAACTGGGTTTCTGAAAGAGAAATTGAGTAAGATTGACATCCCTTATAAAAATACCTGTTTCTTAGCAACTACAAAACTTATTGATTTCAAAGAAATTTTAAAATTTATAAGAAAATGAGCAAAACCCTATATGAGCGAAATGGGGTTTAACATCCACTTAACATGAAGTAGATTATTACAGGACTAACATAGGGTATATTCTTATTTTAATAATTCCCTTGTGTTGATCGAGGTTTCCAGCAGTCTGGGGGGAGGACAGGGGAATCAGAGAACCTGGAGAAAACACACAAGGTTAGGTAAATGACCCTACTCCCTTATTTGTCACATACCAATTCTGAGGCTCGAAAACCCAAGGCCGGATTAAGGCACAGGCCAGCTAGGCCATGGCCTAAGGACCCGCCCTTATAGGGGCCCATTGTAATGATTCTGTTTTCACTAAGTTCTCGCTTGGTTCAATAAATCCTCTGAATAATCTGCTGGTACAGTAGAGCCCGCCCTGATAGAAGCAACGGGTGAGTGACAGCTTGAAATTGTTTATGCCACTGTTGTTTCTTTGATTAAATCATTAAATGGATAATCGAGACTATGTTTTTTTATCGTACCGACTTTAGTAATGATAACCAAGGCTAGGCTGAAAATTCGATCACTAAATTCTCAGTTTAGAGTGGATCAATTTGACTGAAATTTTCAGCAAATTCCTGTTACATTATCTAGTTTTTAACTAGTATTATAGTGAAAACTGCCAGCTCTTTATCTAATCTCCCATTATGTCACTTTAAGGAATGATGCATATCAACTTACCGAACACCATTAATAACTGGCTTTGTAGAGTTGACATCCGATGATAACATCTCCTTCTCTAATAAACTTCTTTCTTCTCGCAATTCTTAAAATAAAAACATTTACTTACATAACGCTTAGAAAATCTTTCTGTATTTGCTTTGTTTGTATTTTGTTGAGCGGTTTTCTACATAGAAAAGACTTCATGTTGAAAATGTTTATGACAAAAGAGAGAATTGAGGATTAATGTCCACTTGACACAAACCTTAAGCAAAGAGAGAGAGAGAGAAAAGAGGTTTTACGTCCACTCGGCACAGACTAGGTCATTTTGGGACTAAAATATGGTTTAATTTTATTTCAATAATTTGAATGCGCATAGGGGTCTTTAGCAGTGGGAGGAAACTGGAGAAAACCCACGAGGTTGGACAGGCAACCCTATTCCTTGTCACGTACAACCGGGGATTCGAAATCACGCCAGTTGACTCAATGACAGGCCTTATGATACAGCGCGCACATGCTAACCATTCGGCCATCCAACCCCGCTAGGAAACCAGAGGACCCAGGCAAAACCCACAAGGTTGGACAGGCAATCCACTCCTTGTCACGTACAAGCTGGGAATCGAAACCATGCCACTGGACTCAATGACAGACCTTATGATCTAAAGTGCACACGTCAATCCATTTGGCCACCCATCCCCCTGTTTGTGACAGATTGCAACAATTTATTTTCCACACTTATGAGACCAGAATATATTTTACCTGATAAAGTAGGTTCTCTTTCCATCGTAGATGAACTACAGCCATCTTGAAAACAGGCTTCATCCTCTAAACATTGTTGAAGGAATGTAATATCTTTTAATAAATGCTCGATTTCTTTCTGTAAATGATCCCTGAAACAAAGATTTAACAAACCAATGATGAAATTACATATCTTTTATTTTTTTAAGCAAGATTTATGCCCTAATGGGATTTACGCCTTAGGCCTAATGGGATTTATGCCCTAATGTTGAAATAAACATAATTCATTGCGACATTGTTGTATATGTCTGAACTCTGAAACATGTCTTGATTACTTCTCGATCAGTACATATACTGGAATAATAAAATGTTTGGGAAATTCTCTCTTTTCGATTTTTTGTGTTTCAAGAGTTGCCTCCCTTGCTCAGACATTGCTAGAATTTTAGGCTTTTTTATCGACTTGCCAAATCAATTTCAATTTAGTGGAGATGTCATGTTCGTTAAGTGCGCTGATTAGCTGTAAACAATTCTTGTGACTGGACATAGTTGAAAGAACATGAGATCACTTGATCAAAACGCACCTACAGTGATATGGCAATTTGTGGTAATCGCTTCGGAAATCGGTGTCAATAAATTTGAATCAGATGGATGCAAATCATTTTGGCTAATCAGTGGTTGATAAAACACCTTATGTGAAGCTTGAAGGCCAGAGACTGTACAGAATAGCGAGTGCTTACAGTAGACGACAAAGATCAATCCACTTGATTTGCGTGTTGTTTGTGTAATGTGTCTTGTATGCGGTATAAAATATGTGTCCTAGGTCACTATTGGGTTGTTATGTGTGGTGACGTTCTAAATTTGACAATATTAATGTGGCTTACAAATTTCTTTTGTATTTATGTAATTGATATTCCAACATTATGAGATAAAAAAAAGTTTATGATAAATTTAAACAAGCCAACAGTGAGGCTGATGTCCCCCGCCGAAATAGGAAAATAATTAGAGGACACATATAAATTTATCACAAATTATCTTTTACAAAGTATTGAACAATCAAACAGTATATCTTTACTTATAGTCTAACAATCAAAGTAGGAGAGTTATTGTTTTCCAAAGTCTCGACCAATCAAATTGTGTATCGCTCTGCTTACCCTGAGCAGAAAATGCTCATTATCAAACTTAGTCAAGGTATTACTGTAATGAAACTATACACCAAGTTTCATCAATCTCACTTAATTAGAACTAAAGTTATCGTGTCCCAAAGCATCAACCAATCAAATTGCTTATCTCTGCTTACCCTAAGCGGAAAATGCTCATCTTCGAACTCCATCAAGGCATTGACCTAATCAACACATACACCAAGTTTGAACATTCTAGCTCAATTAGGAAGAGAGTTATTGTGCCCCAAAGTATCAACCAATCAAATTGCTTATCTCTGCTTACCCTAAGCGGAAAATGCTCATCTTCGAACTCCATCAAGGCATTGACCTAATAAACACATACACCAAGTTTGAACATTCTAGCTCAATTAAAAGTTATCGTGTCCCAAAGCATCAACCAATCAAATTGCTTATCTCTGCTTACCCTAAGCGGAAAATGCTCATCTTCGAACTCCATCAAGGCATTGACCTAATCAACACATACACCAAGTTTGAACATTCTAGCCCAATTAGGAAGAGAGTTATCGTGTCCCAAAGCATCAACCAATCAAATTGCTTATCTCTGCTTACCCTAAGCGGAAAATGCTCATCTTCGAACTCCATCAAGGCATTGACCTAATAAACACATACACCAAGTTTGAACATTCTAGCTCAATTAGGAAGAGAGTTATTGTGTCCCAAAAAGTGTGACGGACAGACAGACGGACAGACAGACGGACGGACAGACGGACAGACAGACGGACAGACAGACGGACAGACAGACGGACGAACCCATTTTAATAGTCCCCTGCTTTCTTCGAAAGGCGGGGGACAAAAATAAAGATTAAATCATTTCAAACCAACCTTAAACTTGTAACAACCTCATCAAACTGAAGAAAATTTAATTTATCATTCATAGACACCACTTCACTAGCTAGATCAGCCTCACTGTTTAACCTAAAACAGTCAATATTTATAAAATTCAAATAAATTCAATACTATAAATTATAAATTGCAATACATCCCTTAAAGATACATTATGTAAGATTTAGATAAAGAGCTGACCATTCTTACAATAATAGTTCGAAAATATATAATACATAATGAATTTATTGAAGATTTCATTCAAATTGCTCCATTGCGAGCGAAGATATTAGCTTTTGAAGGTTTGACAAAATGTGTGTATTAAGTGCAACCATCCAACTGGTTTTTCAAAGCTTAGCCTCGCTTCACCATTTTTTGGTTAAATCAATTTATAAAGAATTGTACCTTTCATTGACTGATGATGATATCATAGGTGTATCTCTACCACTGTCTGATCTAGCTGTTTGAGGTCTTGGTGTACTACAGCCTGATCCTGTTGAATCAATGTTTAAATAGTAATATATAATAGAATGCTTGCTTTACTATATATTTACTTTCTAGAAAAGTACTATAGTCTAACATTAACTAAATGTTTGATACTCAAAAAAATAGTAGGCCTAGTTGGGAAACCACCAGCCAGGATTCAGATAGTCAATGGGGCGGGAAAAGCTTAACAAGAAACAGTGAACTGAAATAAAATGGGGTTTAACGTCCTACTGTTCTGCTCCAACTGGGCTAATGAAGACAGGCATACACCACACAGTTTGCCATGAAGGAAATTTTGCCCAGACTGTGGCGCTAAGGCCAACTCTTATTTCGAAATTCCAACTGTCAAAGGATCGTTCACATGTATGCCAATATGTACACAGGACCTTGTTTTTGTCCCATCCGAATGACTAGACAACTGTCCTTGTAAGGCCCTCCGGCAATGAACCCTTGAAATAACAATAGACTATAATGCCACAGTCTGGTTAAAATCTGCCTCTTAGCACACTGCATGGCTGTCTTCAAAAAAGTTAACAAGCGGTTGCCATGCAATATACGCCCACACTTTGCAAGAGATGGACATAGAAAACAAGCTAAAACAAAAACATGATTTTTCGTACAATCAGGGGCCATAATCCAGGAAGTTAAGCTCTCAAATGCCTGAATATCGAAAGGGACTGAGATCTTTACAATATAAAGATATATTTTAAGTTTCATCAAAATTGGACAAAAATTGTGACCTCTAGAGGGTCCACAACCTCCGTCCAGACGGACGGACAGGGGCAACGACACTATATGTCCACATGAAAATGTGGGCGTATAAAAACAATTTATTATTATTTTTGATGATCCAGTAGTATATAAATAATTTTCCTATCTATAATTCAATTAACAACTTACTGCTAGTCTGTAATGCATAATTAAGTACTCCTGAGTTATGTTTAGATATAATCTTTTCTGGATCGCTGTAATAAATATTATAATTTGTTTTAATAATTAATTACATATCATTAATTGACATGGATAAATAAAGAAGGCCTTTGAATTTGAAAAAATCGATTACTGCAAGACTCATTCTTTTACAAAATAAATCATGGAGGGAGGGAGAGAGAGAGAGAGAGAGAGAGACAGAGAGAGAGAGAGAGAGAGAGAGATGGGGTTTAATTACCACTCAACATAAAGTAAGTAATATTTGCTCCAACAAATTGTACATAAATTTGTATTTCAGTAGGAGGAAACTGTAGGATCTAGGGGAAAACCCTTGGGGTTATGTGACTATATCTGTACTGCATGTCAAGTACAAGTCTGGGGTTGAAACCACACAACTGACTGACAGACCTCATGATTAAAGTGGACTTTAGAGAGAGAGAGAGAAATGTGGTTTAACGTCCACTTAACACAAACTAGGTCATTTTGGGACTAACATATGGTTCAATTTTATTTTAATAATTCATTTGCATGTAATTGTCTATGGCAGTGGGAGGAAACCAGAGAAAATACACAATTTTGGACAGGCGACGCTACTGCTTGTCATGTACAAGCTGGGAATCGAAACCATGCCACTTGACTCACACATTAAACCACCTGACCACCCAGCCCTACGTGTACATGTCACCCAAGTAAAGAAGTATAAATAATAAACCAAGACCTACACTCCTCCATTATTAGCCTTGTCTTTAACTCCCTTTACAAAAAATACAATTTCTTGTATTAGCCTTTCTCTGATTTCTGGTGGTTCAGGTAATTTTGTTGATTTAGGATTTGTCTGTGATTCTTCTCTAAATGATCTCCAAATATCTAATAATGTTTCTACCTGTAAAAAGAAAATCCAATATAATAACAAATTTACTTCATGTATTCTAACCAGGGTACACCGGGTACACATAAATTAATATTAAAACCCAGTAATTTCAATTTAGCAAAAGGCACAAATTCTATAATAGGTTAATGAGTATACCACATTTCATAAAGATATCTTTAACAGTTTAAGAGATATGCTCCAGAAATGAAACTGGGACAAATGAATGAGAGGAAGGGGCTCATTTCAATACCTCTCCTTTAACTTTGTCTCGTGTGGACTAGAAAGGTGAAAGTTCAGTTAGATTACAATCATACCTTGAATCTTAATTGATTCAAATTTACAAAATCAAAAACAACACAATAAAAATCAAAGAAAATATTGAATATTTAGAATAAGTAAGTGTTAACCTAATATATATATAGAGAGAGGAATGGGGTTTAACGTCCACTGGACAGAAACTAGGTCATTTTGGGACTAACATATGGTTCAATTTTATTTCAATAAATTGCTTGCGCGTAGGGGTCTTTAGCAGAGGGAGGAACCGGAGGACCCGGAGAAAACCCACATGAAAGGATAGGCAATCCTACTTCTTGTCACGTACAACCAGGGAATCGAAACCATGTCAATTGACTCAATCACAGACCTTATGATACAGCACACGAGCAAACTATTCGGCCCTCTCTCCACCCCCCCCCCTCCTAATATAGAAGTGCCAAGGTATACTTTACAAAAAAATCTGTATCCCTTCGACAATAATCCCTACCTCTTGATGAAGTTCTAAACTTTGTTCAATCAAAGATTCTCCCAGCATACTTCGTATTTCCTGAGTTTCGTGAGGTGAAATATGTTCTTCTATTAATCTCCATAATGAACTGGGTGGGTTATATGCCACCATATCCATGTTGACAAAAAGAACTTATTATTTAAAGTCAAAATTAAATTTATAATATCACTGTCCAGTGCCAATTTTCAACAAGTTTCAATCCTACCATATTCCTGAAATGACAAAATTAAAAAAAAATGTCTTCTGAATTATCATTGTTCAAATTTTGTTTGGCACTATTAAATAATTGGGTAGGCCTACATACCATTTAATAATAAATACAATACAATAAGTCATGATCCACAACAATCTGATTAAAAGATCTATATTTCGTTTCGTTTTTTTATACTTTCGATGGCCTACACTACATGAAGATCTGACCGGTTGGTCTGGAATGTCGCATCAGGGGTCGTACGAGCAGCTTTTGACTCTATGTCGGACATTGATTAATCAATCAGCGTTGATGTTTCAAGTGGGTTACCCACAGTTCCGTGCATCAAACACCAAGAACTCGTCGTAACAGGCCGTTTCATTGGCTGATCCCTCACTTCAACCAGAATGCCGGTAATATAACAACTCTTCCAGACCCTAGTGTAGTAAGACAAGTAAAACGAAATTTTGACAAAAACGAAACGAAATAGGATCTGTGTTTTAAACAGATTAGATCCATAATATCTTAATAACTAAACAAGATACATCTAATTAAAAATACTGTGAAGATTGTAATTAAAATACAATGCAAACTCAAAAACAAAATAAAACTGAACATGTCTGCATTGTCTTGTGTGTACAGGTTTTCTGCACAATGTGCCTGTCAATAAATTATACCTGGGCATAACCGGGAGTCATAATAAATATGGTCATTACTCATGCCATCTAAAACTGCTCATGTTTACTCCACCCAAATGTCAATAAGTGTCTTTATACTTCAATGGCAAAGAACAGAACATCCTAGTGATAGTCAATGAGACCCTCCAGACATCCAAAGCTGTTTAGCATTTACTAGTTTTAGGCCAATAGTTTAGTAATTGTAATGAACCATGGATATAGTCCGATGTTAAATTATTATGGCTATGCTGTAATAGTAGATTTAAGATTTCATATATTGCAATATTATGATGCTTCCAGCCAGGATACTCAAAAGAGGTGTTTGGAAAGAGGTTTTATATCCCTTATACCTCATACTGCAATATCTCATGTACCTAGTTTAATGAAGGTTGCTTTTGGATTATGTTAATAATTATTTTTTAAATCAATCTGTTAAATAAAAATAGATTTCTATGAGCAAAACTTCAAAAATTTGGGGTTTAAATGTGGAAGGTGAATTTGAACCACTGCACTGTGTTTAAATACTATGTCTATAGTTCTGTGATCTAACACTTACACAATAGCATGCATAGTTACAATTTTGTCTTTTGATAAGTTAATTTCATTATTTTTAAATGACTCTTTTTCAACAATCTAATTCCTTATTAGTATCAATTAGTGGATCTAATGTACATTCTCTTACTCTTAGAACCATGGACCTTATAATACATTATAAGGTCCATGTTAGAACAAAGGCTATGGTGGATTATAAATAGATTAAGAAAAATCACAAGAACATTAAATCGCTTTGCAAGTTTCACTAAAGAAAGAAAAATTTTCAGGTCAGTGTCAATCAATTTCCACTTTTTCATGAATGATCTAAAGAGCGAGAATCCATTTTTCAATATATTCAGTGAGAGTGACATTTATATTTTACATGGGCTTATGTGGTAATGCATTTTTACACTTTATGTTACCTCTTACATCGAAATGAAGTCTCAAATCATAACAAATGCGTCCTTAGTTTCCAATCGCCATCTTGAATTATGAGCGGTGTAGATGTGTTTATGAACTTCCGGTCTGTAGATAAATTGACCGGGGAATCTGAATTTAATGCTCTTAAAAGATGAAATATTATTAATATTATGTACTCTCTTCCAATATAATTTTGAAAAATAATTACCGTTAATTTAAACAATCATGGTTGATAATTTACTAAACTATTTGATAAAATTTTCTTGAATGAATACTGAAATCTTTTTCTAAGTAGCAGAGCTGGATAACAGTTGTACACTGTGCTTTTGTACGTTGACTACCAATACTAATAAATAAATGTATATTTATTGAAACTTTTATTAAAAATAAAATTTTGAGTAATAAATATTTTGTTTTACCATATACCTAGTTCCCGAAACCGTTCCTGAAGGAACTACCATAAACCCATCCCTTAATCTGACCTAGAATATAGGTGAAAACAATATTAGTTCCACTCCCACACCCACCTGGCACACAAAAGCCAGCTTGCTTTTAAAAATCTCAGGGGAATATGTCAAGAATGTAATTATTTTTTTTTCCTAAGACATGTTTAGAGCTCTTTATCTGTTGGAGGATAACAGAGAATCTAGATTAAACTAACCAAGTATAAGGGAAGTAAATTCTTTGTTTGAAATTTCATAAAGACTTTTTCTACCAGATGTGCAAACATACATTTCTATACAGAACATAAAATAAACAAATATTCTTTTAATCAACAACCATTTTATTTTTTTCTTTCTGATTTCAGAAATTCTGTTGAATGTTATTTAACAATGATAATGATAAGCAACAATTTTTTTACAGGTTATTTGAAAGTTCATGGAGATGGAAAAGTATAGTTAATATTGAACATCATAATTAAAGCTATTTTGTAACAACAATACAGTATAAAACATTTTCAAGTTTATACCTACGATTTGATAAATTATGTCATCCTTATTGGTTTCTATCAAAATAAATTTATAAAATTTCATTCATATTTTGCTACCAAGGAGCCAGATTGTTCTATCTCTTCTTTCAGCGGAAAATTGAATTATGGATTTTTTTTTAGATTTTACACCAAGATCTAGCTCCAAAAGAAATTTCAGACAACAATTAGGATTTTTAATTTGTTTTTTTATTTTAAACTCTTTAAGCTGTTCTTAGTCCCATTAGAACCAGAAAATTCTATCTCCTGCTGTTTAAGGACATACTACAGTCTGATTTCAAGTATTTTGTCAATTGAACTGAGACAGCATGAATGTTATTGGTTATATTTAGTAATACCACAAAGTTTCTTTTGATTTCAGCTGAAAACTGACAAATCCTGTATATGGTTCTGAACTTTGAACAATGTTATCTCGGAAATGATAGGTAGCAATTTATAAGATTTTCCTAGAACCGGGAATATGTTAAATGATACAATATAACATAAATTATTTTTCAACAATAATATATAGCAATTAATATTGTATAATAATATACAGAAATTACCAGTACCAATTTTATGTATATACTGTACATAAATGAGACAGATCCTTTCGCTAGTTTTATTATTCGTGAACAATTTTAATAAGACTGATCAATAAAGTATAGTTCAATCATATAAAATATATAACAATAGTTTAGCTTTATGTGAAACAAGAATTGGTATAAACATAGCACTATAATTTAAATGAACTATTACTCAAGATAAAAAAAATATAATATAGAAATATCAATTTACATGTACCGGTATATTGTATAATAATTAAATTCCCCATTACTTATTGTATAGAATAGAGATATACATTGATATGTAAAAAAAAAAAAATAATTAATTTAAATGAAATATGTACCAAAGATAAAAAAATATATAGAGATATTAGAGAATATAAGGTAGACAATGACTTACTTTGTCTCTATAACAATTGTTTAAGATTTTGCTAAGGAATGTAAATAAGTAAAACAACTGCCCTATATTTCTAAAGGATCAAGTTATAAAAATACTAATTATTGTTAATTATTGAAAATGGATGTGTGGGAAATAACGGGTATCTGAATAAAGAATATGTAAGTTTTAAATAAAAAAGAATAGAAATGGAATCGATTAGGGTTTAACATCTCCTTAACATAATGTAAACAGGTGGACCTTGTGTTTTTTGTACCATCTGACCAACTAGACACACTTTACCTCTCAGCCAAGGGTGAGATCTGGGTTTGAGAAATTGCAAAGACTCTTCGCAGTCCATGCTGGGATTAGCACCGAGATATTCTGGTTAAGGGGCATTCAAACTACCGCTTAATAACTATGATACACTCAAATAAAAGAAGAGTTGATCAAAAACACAATAAACCCCCTAGCACTTCCATGGTGATAACAAGTATTGCCGTCGTCAGTATAATGTTCATTGTTCAATAATCATTGAGAATCTAGCTTGTTCACAGGAATTAAGATTTTACATGAAATACGAAAGTCGTACACTATGCTTATAAATTTCTGTAGATTTTTCTGTTTATTTCTATAGCATGGACAACCAAATTTTTGAAGGCTTTCCCATCATCCACTTCTTTCAGTTTTTATGAATCTTAATTAATCATCTAAATTAAATAGCAGAAATGTTTATGTATCTAAATTAAATAGTAGAAGTGTTTATTATCAAAATTATAGAGAAAAAGTGTTTATGAAAAACCCTATAAATCCATAATAAATCAGTTAAACCTGTGTAGGAAAAATAATAACATCGCACACAAGGTGTTTAATTAACAAAAAGAAAAGTAACAAATCTTCAAATAAATAAAAAGTGTATAAATGTAATAATATCTAATTTAGAACAAAAACACATACATGTACATATGGAAAATAGCTACTATATATTTAAAGCGACGTTTCGAAGAGTAATCTTTTAAATATGCTAGTAGATGTTTTCCATAAGTATGTGTTTTTGTTTTTACCCTACCAAGTTATTAAATGCCACTTAAAGATTAATATCTAATTAGTTTCAGATCTTAATTCAGATATAGAACAAGAAAGATCTTAATTCAGATCAGAACAAGAAAGATCTTAATTAACATGTGAAGTATCGATCTAGTGTCCTTTAATTCTGACAGTTCATCTCAGAATATTAAGGACCATCTGATTCGTTACACTTTAATGAAATTTTTAAAGTCAAAAATGAATATCATGATTGTAACCAGACCCTGAGTCCACAAAGCATTCTCAGACTTAAGTTGAGAATTTACTCAACTTTCAATCACTGTTTATGAGAAATATCTTTGATCCAGAAACACACAACTTTGCACATAGTTTCTTTTTGATGTATTTGATACGTTAACACAACAAAAGTTTTAATAATGGCTATATTTTAGTTAAAATAAGGCAAACAATTTTGAGTAAATTCTGAACATAAGTCTGAGAATGTTTTGTGAGAAGAAACAACACAAAAATAAAAACCATTATCTTGCATCAGATTTTTTAAACGAATAGGTAGAGATCCAGAATAAATGATGTATTAACGTATAAAAATTGAAAAACATTGATCTAAAAAAAATGATTGCTTATGAAGTCAATAAATAATAAATCTATCTTCAATTGTTCCCAATTGTTATTCCTCTAACAATAATATGTGTGCATGATATTTTAATAAATGTAAACATCAAATTGTTTTCAAGATATTTTTGGCACCGATTATCTATCATGCCTAGTCAAACATTTATAGCAAACAGCAGGTTTATATATAAAACGAAATGAAAAACGAAATGGAGTTTAACGTCCTACTGTTCTCCTCCTACTGGGCTAATGAAGATGGGCATACATGTATGCCATACAATGTGCTATGAGGGAAATTTTGCCCGGGCAGCGGCACTATGGCCTACTCTTATATCGAATTCCAACTCCCAATGGATCTTTTACATGCACGTCAATGTATACACGGTTCATTGGTTTTTCATACCATCCGAATGACTAGACAACTATCATTGTCCGGCCCTCAATTCTGCACCACTGAGAAGGGGAATCCACAACAGAAAATCCCGATGAACTTTCTCGGCTAATGCAGGATTAGAACACGCGACCTCCAGGCTAGCGAGTCAGCGTCTTTCCCACTTAGCCATCGTGGCTCCCTTTTAATATAAAACATGTAATATTGAGCTATCAGAATCATAATAATCATTTTATATGGTTTAAACATTTTGTGCACATTTTCCTTGGGAGCTTATTATAAAAAGTGTGCGTGAGAGAGCCCAGCTTAGAAGGACCAGTTTTTCCAACAGCGTTAAAGTGAAGCCTGTCAGTTTTATCACATATTAATATAAATATGGTGAAATGAACAGTTCACAAATATCTTTTAAAACTTGTTTTTTTAATTCACTTCACTCAGTATTTGTTCAGAAAGGTTATAGTCCACAGCATCCTCTGTATCCCCAGTGATCTCATTCCGTTCTACTCCTCTATACCATGGATTCATTTTCAAATTATCTGCCCTTGATCATAGTTTGATTCTACGATCCAATCAAAAAACAGTTTACAAACCAGCCTTAGCCTTATTGCTTACATTCACAATAATATGTCAGCTTGTTTGATGCAACAAGATGAGAGTTACTTATCTTCACCAACTTCCTTTGTATTTGACGATTTCTTTGATTGGTCAATAAAAATAGCACAGTCATCAAGGGCAGATAATTTGAATACGTGTCTCCCACATCGATTAGCCCAGGGGTTAGTGGAGTAGAACGGAATAAGACAACTGGGGATATCGAGGATGAGTCCACGGTTAAGGGTTAACCCTCTAAGCACGAAAGTGCAATTTTGTGATATTACCATTCTATCAATTGCAATGAGGATGCAAACAGTGCATAATTTTAATTTCTTCTAGCTGGTGAATTTAGCCAGTCTTTATTGAGTATTATAAATACATATGTTGATAAACTTGTAAATTCTTGAACTAGAGTATTCTTGAAAGTATTATTCACTTAAAGAGTGAAACTATACTATTCTGTGTCCAATACTATATCTATATATTACACAGTTTGAATTGGAAACAGTTTGTTAATCATGACATATTACCACTTTGCCACTTTACACACACACACCATGGACGATGATAAACAATTTATAACTAAGTTTATTTACAACTAATAAATTTAATAAATAGTTTTTGATAACTACACAAGACAACATCCTTTCTTGTGAGGTACCATAATATAGTATATATAATATATCTATATATGAATCCTTTTGGATTCATTTCTGTTTCACTTTTATAAATAAATATATAAATCCATTTTTTATGCTGGTTTAAGTATTTTGTAATATGAAATAAAAGAGTTATTGATTAATCTGTTTTATGTTGATAAGGTATCCTCTCTAACAGAGCTCGTACTATATTTCCTGGTACTGTCTGATGTTTGTCTATCAGTTTCTGTATTTCATTTTGCACCTGTTGAAATAAAAGACAAATTATTAAAGCTGCTGATCCTGTATTTTTCGGACAATATTGAATTGATCGCAGCTAAAATAAACTCAAATTGATTATTTAACATTTAATCAAGAAAACAAAAAGTCAACAGGATGGATAAAATCAGATTAAAAAGATGCCAATTAAAAGACTTTTCCCACAGATTAAAGAGAGGCCCATCGAAATGAAATGGGGCTTAACGCCCTCTTACTGTTCTGCTCCAACTGGACTATTGAGAGAGAGAGAGAGAGAGAGAGAGAGAGATAGAGAGAAATGGGGTTTAACATCCACTCAACACAAAGCAGGTCATTTCGAGAACAATTTTATTTCAATAATTCGCTCGCGCGTAGGGATCTTTAGCAGTGGAGGAAACCAGAGGACCCGAGGAAAAAAAACCCATGAGGTTGGACAGGCTACCCTACAATGACAGACCTTATGATACAACGTGCATGCACTAACCATTTGACCATCCACCCCCCCCCCTCTCCTTATATTCAAGGGGCCAGCACCCTGTTATAGACCAAACAATAGCCACTAGTTTTTTGGCATGATTAACATAGTTTTGCCATGTGGTTATATATCTACTAACTTACTTGTTGTGAAAATAATTCTGGTGTTATTCCAGGCTGAGGATAAATAGGTTCACCAAGATAAGATCTGTAATAAATACACATTTTGTTTCTCAGAAATGAAATGGGGTTTAATGTCCTACTGTGGGCTAATGAAGACGGGCATACGCCATACAGTGTGGTATGAGGGAAAGTTTGTCTGAGCAGCAGCACCAAGGCCTACTCTTACATCAAATTCCAACTGCCAAGGGATCTTTTACGTGCACGCCAATGTGTACACGGGACCTCGGTTTTCCGTGCCATCCGAACGACAAGACAGCTGTTCTTGTCAGCCCCTCCGTCCTGCACCATCGACAAGGGAAACCATGCCGGAAAATCCTGATTTATTTGTCAAACAAACATATGAATGGAATGGGGTTTAATGTCTGTCAACACATTTATTGGGTCATTTTAAGACAAACATGTGGTTGCATGTGCAATATAAGGTAAGAGAATTTTGCCCAGACAATAGCATTTCTGCCATCAATTTCCAACAGTCAAGGGTTTGCATTCACCTCTATTTTTCATCCCATCCAAACTACAGACACACTTTCCTTATCATCCACCCTTGACAAAGTTTACGCAGGGAATTTCCTATTTTATGGCCCTAAGTCTACCCAGGGAATTTCCTATTTTAAGATCCTAAGTCTACACTGGAACTGCATATTTTATGGCCCCAAGTTTACACATGAGCTGCATATTTTATGGCCCTAAGACTACACATGGAATTACCTATTTTATGGCCCTAAGTCTACAAGGGAACTGCATATTTTATGGCCCTGAGTCTACAAGGGAACTGCATATTTTATGGTCCTGAGTCTACACAGCAACTACATATTTTATGGCCCTCAGTCTACACAGGAACTGCATATTTCATGGCCCTGTGTCTACACAGGATTTGCATATTTTATGGCCATGGGTCTACGAGGGAACTGCTTATTTTACACTACCTAAAATATCTTACAAGAAGACACTAAAATATTGAAATATTTACCTCATTTTGACAGGGAAGAACCCATAGATAGGTACAATAGGTAGTCTTGTCCATTCATATATTTTTCTAAGTAATGCTTGAACAAATTAACATAAACAGTATAATCGCCTCGATCATCATTACTAAAGTCGGTACGATAAAAAACAGTCTTGATTATCCATTTCATGATTAAATCATGAATGGAAGTCGACCAGCAAATCCTAATCCAATAAACATCACAGGCTAGCGATGAGAGATGATTATGTCTAATTAATAATTTAGATAACATTTCAGACCTAAAGAAAGACCTGCAATAGGCAGATTTAGCTCTTGCATAATATATGTTTAACTTTCAATTGATATCAATTTTCATTTAAAAGTTATCAAACAGATTTCTCTTATTAAATCTGCTGATTGGCATTTGTATTCTATCTAATCTACATGGCTTAACCATGCTGAAACTTACTCAAATTTATCATTTATTTATAAAGCAAACAAAACCGAAATATCAACAATAAATAAGAGAAAGAGAGAAATGGGGTTTAACGTCCACTAGACACAAACTAGGTCATTTCGGGACTAACACATGGTTCAATTTTATTTCAAAAATTTGCTTGCGTATAGGGGTCTTTAGCAGTGGGAGGAAATCGCTTGTCACATACAACTGGGGAATCAAAACCACGCCAGTTGACTCAATGACAGATGTTATGATACAACACGCACGTGCTAACCATGGGCCATCTAAGCCACCAAATGTGAAAGGAATTAGTGCTAAATACACAAGATTAAATGATACCCAGGTTACAGTGATATTTGACTGCAATATGAAACTTACATCTTCCTAATTTAGGTGTTCTAAAAGCTTCTCTACAGTTTTGGGTGAACATCGGAACAACAGGCTGAAATGAAATGGCAAGATTTTATGGAGACAAAAGAAAGCCCACAACTGTTGAAGCTGTTAAAACTTGGGGACGAAAAGGGATAGTGCACAGTAAAATTCAACATAGAATATAAATTAATTTGGGGATGAAAATGGATAGGGCATGATAAAATTAACATAGAATATAAATTGGATAGGATTAATCTCTCAAGTAATGCAATTGCAATAATTGTGGACAAACCGACTACATCCTACTACATAAAATTAACATAGAATATTAACTGGACAGGATTAATCTCTCAAGTAATGCAATTACAATAATTGTGGACAAACTGACTAGGGAGACAACTATATCCTACTATATAAAATGTAAAACATAAAAAATGATATTAAAAATGAAAGTAGATGTTAACATAACATACCACATTAGCTTGAAGAGCTACTTTAGCAAATCCAACTCTATTGGACCACATTATTCTGTAATATTCATCTCCAAATAAAGCTTCTCTTACTCCACCTAGAAATACACAAATAAATACATAAAATATACATTCCTTTAATGAGCACCTGACAAAACTAGATCATTTGGGGATTATCATATAATATACCCAGCTTCGCCCAGGGCCCAAATCGCCCAGTGCCCAAATTCACCCTGTGGTCAAATTCACCAGGAGCCCAAATTCACCCGAGGCCTAAATTCGATGGCCTAAACATTCACAGCGTCATGCTGGTTAATATGATACCACATAATATGTGGAGGTGAAGCGCGGACAAAAAGCATGATTTGCGCAGGGCCAGTCCCAATTCGCCTGGAGTCCCAATCCGATGGCCTCAAACATTCACAGAGTCAGTTTGATACCACATATGTGGGGGTGGATCATGGCAACTCATACAGACATCTTTGATTTTATTTATATAGATATCTGTATTTCATTAAAGCCATTGACCGTCATTTCAGAGATTTGGAATCAGTTGGAAACTACAACACTGTGAAAGTTAAATTCCACTCTGTATTGATACATATATGTTGAATTGAAAATTTCAAAAGATTTAAAATAAACAAGACTATTATTCATTCGATTTAATCCCAATCATTTTAACTTTGGGGTTTTTTTTCTAAATTAAATATAGAAGTTAATTTGAGCATATTTTAGTATGGATCAAGTCGTGAAAATTTAGATATTCTCTGAAAAATGCGAATGACAATCAGTGCCTTCAATTCACTTGAATAAATAGGAATGAAAATCGAAAAGTAGAAAACTCTACAATGTCAAGTAGCAGGCCTTACTTTCAGTCAACTGCAAAATAAAATGCTTGTTGCATAGATGACAGAGATATGATCATGCAAGATGTTAACTGGAGAAAGATTGCCAAAAACTGTATATAGTTTAACACAACACTTGTGTAGAAACCTCGGTCCAACAGGAATATGAAAACAATGGATCGAGGAATCCGATACGGAAGTGTCCTTCACTAGATAAATATTAAAGTAGATAAACAATAGCGACACTAACACTGTTTTATTTGTCAGATATTATTAGACCAACGTTTTGAAGAGGTACCCTCTACTTCTTCAAGGTAATAAATAAATATTTAAAAATAATCTCTAAGGAAACAGAAATGACATCATAGAGAACTATGACGAAGAGTGCTGATGTACCGAAAAATGTTTTAAAAAAAAAAGTATAAAAAGTACTAATGGGAAAGATGGTTTATTACTATATTATTACTATTACTGGTTTAATAATATCTGACGATAAAACAGTGTTAGTGTCGCTTTTTTTATAGTTTGACAGGCAGAGGAAATGTGTCAAGTCTGCTACAGAGCAATGATAATTCGTCCAGCCAAGAACTAATTACCTGGTGATATTGATAACAGGTGACCATCATTTAAAACATTAACACAACTCTGTACAGTACCAGGTGTAACATGAAATACCTCCATTAATAAACGCCAACCTAAAAATATCAACATTATATCACTTGTTAACACAACATTTTACTAAATAAATTAGATCGAAAACCATAGTTTTGTAAACAAATCATAGCCTCCTATTAAAAGATTATTACTGGTATGCTTATAACAATATTAATTCTTGTATTAATATAGCACAAAATTTCAAACCAAAGTCTGCTCTGTGTTTGTGTGTGAATTAGTTGCTGAATTTCTCTGGTAGGTTGTTCCATAAAACAGCAACCTTCTAAGCAAAGCACTGTGTTTAAAATATTGATGACTCTACGACATGAGGATGTATTTAACAGTCAACCACAAATTACAGGTTTATAAAGTGAAAAGGGGTTTAATCTCCTATTGTTCTGTACATTCAGACCCGTTTTAATTTTTAAATACTGATTTTGTTAAAAGTACCAATACAATAATTGTTTAATTTTATCGACAATTTACATTCTTATTCCTGTGAGTGGTTGTGTAGGAAGGGGCCCCAATGAGTGGTTGAGTAGGTAGGAGCCCCTGTGAGTGGTTGTGAAGATAGGGGCCCCTGTGAGTGGTTATGTAGGTACAGGCCCCTGTGAGTGGTTGTGTAGGTAGGGGCTACTGTGGGTGGTTGTGTAGATAAGGGCCCCGTGAGTGGTTCTGTAGGTAGGGGCCTCTGTGAGTGGTTGTGTAGGTAGGGCCCCTGTGAGTGGTTTTGTAGGTAGGGTCCAAAGGACATTAATGCATGTACACTTTAATATTGTTAGGATGGTCTTCGTTCTGCATCAAAAGGGTTTATAAATACGGTAAGTGTGCTATGATGACCAGTTATTTGGTTTGAAGTTAATTCCAAAAATACATGTAAGCTAGTCATGTAAACTCCTTAAATAAGTATCAGATTTCTAAGAGTATATATATATGTCTACCTGGTACATGCATCAAGAAGCGATCACCCACTACACGGATTTGTCTCCCCTTTTCTAGGATACAGGTGGCAAGAACATAATAGAAATCTATTGGTATAGCGCCATGATAATATACTAATAAAGCTGGTCCATCAGGTATGTTATCCAGTCCATGTACTTCAAAACCTAGAAAACAAACAGACATTATCATGAAATGAAATGGGGTTTAACGTCCTACTGGGCTAATGAAAACTGGTATATACACCGTTCGGTGTGCTGTGAGGGTGATTTTGCCTGGACAGCGGCACTATGGCCTACTCTTATTTTGAATTCCAACTGTCAAGGTTCTTTTACATGCACGCCAATGTGTACACCGGACCTCAGTTTTTTGTTCCATCCGAACGACTATACATTATCCCTTGCCAGGCCCTCCATCCTACACCGCTGACAAGGAGGAACCATGCTGGAAAATCTTGATGAACACAGGGTCTTAAAGTTAACGAACCAACGTCCTCCTCACTGTGGCATTTGGCTACCCTAACATTAAATGAAATCAACATGGTGTTTCAATAAAGGTAGTTTAAACTTCTCCATGTCAAAGAGAGATTTAACTCCACTCAAAACAAACTAGATCATTTCCGCACTAACATATATGGTACAATTTTATTTGAATAATTTGCTTTCGCCTAGGGTACTTAAACAGTGAGAGGACAACAGATTACCAAGAGAAAACCCATGCGGTTGGGCAGGTGACCCTATTCTAAGTCATTTACAAGCTTGGGATGGAAACCACGCCACTTGACTCAATGACAGACCTTACAATCTAAAGTGCATGCATTGGACTACCCAGCCCCAATACAACTTACAGTGTAAGAACAAACTGATCAACTGTTCATGTTCTCATATTATCAATCCTGTCGATCAATCTTAAATTTAAGATGATGTAATAATAATTTACCATGCCATATTCTAGCTTGTCCTAACCATAGTACTGCCAATGTCTTTCTCGCACCATCCCAGAAATCTCTTGCATAAGCTTCTTGTAATCGGTGACGTTGACGATAGACGAGTAAGAAGAGGACTGATGCATACAGAAAGACTAGTATTATTAATGGTAGAAGAAATGATATAATTATAGGATAAATAACCCAGAGAACCCAACTTAAATACTGTATATCAAGTTGACTAAGCTTGGTCCAACCTAACTGTATATAGAATATCGTTTGATTCAGCATGTTATTATGGTCCCACCAGGTGGCATTACTATACAACATAACACATAGCCATGTAGTGCCTTCAATATAAAGATCACTCATTGAGCTACCAACATTCAACTAGTATCTTACATCACCTGAAGTTAAAAACAAAACAAAATATAAAAATTCAACGTAGTAGTAATACCATTTCTATATGTAAGTAAATGAGTTAGGGGTTGTTTTTTTTCTGTCCCATAGCATCTTTAATAGAAGGCTTGATCTTGCTTTAACTACGTACATCTTATCAAGACCTTCCTGTAATACACTGCATATTTCGGCACTAATGTCAATTGGCTACCGACCCAGCTGGCGAGCCTATCAGATTCCTTGATCATCGCGAGCACACGCTTTCAGCTAAAATGTCTACCTGTGATAGTTCAAGGTTCGTTCAATATCAAGGCTTCCATGGAGGTCGCCATGTTTGATTTGAGTGTGTTTGAGCCACAACCTCAGATTGGACGCAATCATTCACGTGTATGTAGTAAAGGGAAATAATGTAGAGCTATAAGTTCAGGAATTGCAGACCAGTCTAGCAACTTGTAGATGTTGTAAAACTTGTGGTCATTGCTTCGGGAAAAAGGTCCCATAAAGGAATTTTGTCATTTTTCAAGTCTTCACCAATTGGTACAAAACAATTTTTGATTTGACTATACTGTTAGATAGGGATGTTCAAATTAGTTTGTATGCAAAATTTTAGACTAATCTGCAGAACCACTGCTGAGATAAAGATGTTTTAAATTGTGAATAGCCCTATTCTTTGGAACCTTAAAATAGACAACAATGGGTTGAAAAGCACATATTAACGTACTTATACGAATGAACATCAACTGATCTATATTTTAACTTGGTTGTGATTTCTAATCAGTTATGTTTGGTTAATCTGATTAAAACACAGATCCTATTTCATTTCGGTTTTATAGTTCAAAATTTTGTTTTACTTGTCTTTACTATACTAGGATCTGGAAAAGTTATCATTATTGACGTGTTCTAAATGGTGTGAGAGATCAGCCAATGAAACGTTCTGTTACGGCGGGTTTTAGGCGTGTTTTGTACGGAACTGTGGGTAATCCACTAGTAACATCAATGCTGATTGGTTAATCAAATGTCTGTCATAGGGTCAAAAGCCGCTTGTATGACCTCTGACGTGACCTATCGCTACAACTTGTCAGATCATCATGTAGTGTAGGCCATTGAAAGTATAAAAAAAAATGGAACGAAATATAGATCTGTATTTTAATCAGATTGATGTTTGGTAAAATATGTTTGTAGTCCAAATTGAATTAGTTAGTACAGTCTACAAGTTTATTTCCTTTTCATTTTGTTGAATGTGGATCTGCCATTTTTAATTACTGGTACTTCTGCATTGCCTTGGGGATATGTTTTGCTTAGTTCATCAAGTCTTCTAATTACAAATAGCGATTAAGACCCTAAGATCTTAAAATGTATATTATGGATATTGGATATCAGGAGCCAATACTTTCATGGTAAGATAACAACATCAACACTGATTGTAATGGGCCAATATTGAATTCTAATCCATGTTTTCAATGTCAAATATTATGGATAATATTGAGTAGGAGTTATAACCCTTTAACATTCAATTTACTAGTCATGCATATTAATTAAAAGATAACTGTTTAAATTTATGGGAATATGTAATAATGCAAGATTAGCTGTAAGAATGGAATAGAACTGGGATTAATGTCTCATCAACACAATAATTGGATTATTTTCATTAATTTCTATGCCATGGTTACGTGCAACGTGATGGTGGGAAAGTTTGGGCATATATCAGTGTTTCTGCATCTCTTCATCTTATTACAACTCGCTTTTTTTTGACAACCGAATGACTAGTCACATTTTGCTTGTCAGCCCACAGGTCACTGGTGCCACCATTGACAACTGAGAACCGACATGAAAAATCCTGCGGGTTCTTCCTTGACAACACCTGCTGGATCCAAACTCTGGACATTATTTTCGAGGTTTCCAGAATTGTTTATCGGATAAACTTTATCCATCTATCGATCAGTATGAAGTATTTTGAAATCTTCAATTTGCAAAGTATGAGGTTGTGATTTTCCATAATTAGGTGAGTATAAAGTTGATTAATATTAATTTAATGGAACGGGTGACAATAACCCTTTAAAGGTCTTCCTCACTTGGGTTTATATCTTTAAACAGATTTTTTATAGACTGGATATTCGAGAACTCGTCTAGTAGAATGTAAACACATTTTTTAAAAGACTTAATTTATTTACATCTCGAGGCCAAGGATATCAACTCACCACCCATTTCCATTTTAGTTTACCTGGGAGATCCAATACCGAGCTGATCCAAAAAGGATCACGGACTCAAAAGCTGTGGTTGAGTTCATACGTCAGTTCGAATGCGACAAACTCTAAATTTTAATGAAAAATCATATGGACACCGATATCTACCTTTAATTCTAAAGAGCGTCTACAGCGAGTTGCCCCCCTTAGTGTGTTCCAAAAAAGTTATTTGAGAGAGAGAGAGAGAGAACGTCTACTCGACACAAATTTGGTCCAATTTTATTTCAACAATTCGCTTGCGCGTAGGGGTCTTTAGCAGTGGGAGGAAACAGGAGAACCCGGAGAAAACCCACGAAGTTGGACAGGTGACCCCACTCCTTGTCACGTACAAGCGGGAAATCGGAACGACGCCACTTGACTCAATGACAGACCTTATGTTTTCAAGTGAACGCGTTGAACCACTAGACCTCGACTAAAGGCTGTTGTTTGAAGTTATTTGTTATTCCTCTGGCAACTGGTGCGCTCAGCTTCACTATTCCTTCCTCTTCTTGTGGACAGTCCATATGTGTCACTAGGCGAATTGGGCCGCGGGCGAATTTTGCCCCCTTCCTAGCGAACCTAGTGCTTGATAACGATAAGAGAATACTTATCGAAACGTTGTGCTTGTGTATAATAAACCAGTGATTGTTGTCCCATATAACTGTGTCAGTTTTGTTATGTTTCCAATTGCTGAATGCCACTAAAGGATAATATATAGAGGATATTTGTCGTTTTGTCGTGAATAAGATATTTTATTTCATCGAGAAGCAAGAAAAATTATATTTTCACGAATGCGTAACAAATGCTACGCATTCGTGAAAATATAAACGTTTTCTTGCTTAGAGATGAAATAAAATATCTTATTCACGACAAAACGACAAATGTTCTATTTTTTTTATGATTTTACAATCATTTTAGGTAAAAACAACAAGGACTACTGCTAGCCAGTGGAATAACACTTTTATTTCACTGATAAAACGCGGTATTCCACTACTGATCATAAAATAAAGTTGTTTATTCAGTGACTCCGGTGTCCCATTGGCATTTATCGCTAAATTATCAAATCCACGTTAATAATAATATGTACTCAGATTGATTATTTAATATTTAATTAAAAGAACAAAATTAAAACACCAACTCTAAATAATGTCCCGGCTTGGATTCCATGGGTTCATGGACCTGATAGGATTTAAACTATAGGCTCATCCGGTATTTCCACTATACCAATAAAAGATGGTAAATACTGTGGGTCACGATGGCTAAGTGGGTAAGACGCTGGCTCGCAAGCCTGGAGGTCGGGTGTTCGATCCCTGCATTGGCCGAGAAAGTTCATCGGGATTTTCCGTCGTGGTTCCCCCTTGTCAGTGATGCGAGGGACTGACAAGGCGGCCGTCTAGTCATTCGGATTGTATGAAAAACCGAGGTCCCGTGTACACATTGGCGTGCACGTGAAAGATCCCTTGACAGTTGTGGTGCCACTCATAGGCGTACGGGGAAATTTTTGACTGGGGGGGGGGGGGGCGGTGGTGGTTGGTGCCCAAAAAATGTAGTAAGGTTCTTAGTATGTTACATAATAATAATAGATTCGCTGTTAAATTGAACACATTCAAGAACACAATATTTTTTTTATACAACTTTTACAAAGTACAATTGTGTGCCCAAATTTTCCCAGCATTTGGTGCCGCCCCCCCCCCCCCCAGCACCCCAGCTCGTACGCCTATGGTGCCACTGTCCGGGAAAAATTTCCCTCATAGCACACTGTATGGCGCATGCCCGTCTTCATTAGACCAGTTCGGAGCAGAACAGTAGGACGTTAAACCTCATTTCATTTCATTTCATTTTTGGCAAATACTGAATGGAATTGAACGGATATTCCTATTAGAGATCCATCTTTCACATTATTGTAGTTTGCAAGTGGTCTCTATGGCATATCGGCACTTTTACAATGCAAACAGAATAGATCGATGAAATTTCATTTCCCCATATCTTTGTAAAACTGAACGAAATTGACCCATTTTGAACTGTGTTCCTATTAGAGATACAGCTTTCACAATTATGTAGATTGCAAGTACTCCCAATGACGCATCGGAACCAACTAATAACTGGCCAGTGAAAACATAAAATTTATGTTTCCAGTTAATCTAGTAATATCTATAGCGTTAAAGACGGCGAGATTCGTGCTACATACAAGTCTGAAATTCAAATATAAACTACCAAAATAAAATTTTAAAAAAAACAAAAAAAAATTAATATTTTTAATATGTGAAAAAAAAAACAAGTAGGTATGCAAACATAAAACACATCACATTGACTCAAACATTTTGCTTGTCTCTGGTTGGTTCTCCATTATTGTCCCATCATATTTATATTTTATCATTGTATTCCATAGAAACGTCGCCCAGTAATACACACAGTGCCGGTTTAACCATTACGCAAATAAGGCACGTGCCTCAGGGCCAGCCAAAAATCCTGGCCACGAAAAAGTTGTAATCTAGCTACCATAATCTTATAGTAATTACCGTACTGTCAAAAACAAACTGGTTGTGAATTTTTTTGTAATAAATATTATGCTGTTTAATGAAACTTTCTTCCTATTATCCCTGAACACAAAATATCTGTATTTTCAGGCCTAGGGCCAACCAAAAATCAAAATCCAAGCGACGAACAGTACTGTCAAAAAAATTGGTTCTGAATTTTTTTGTAATACATTTTCTGCTGTTAAATTTAACTTTCTTCCATTTATCGGTGAACACAACATATCTGTAAATTCAGGCTAGCTATCAAAATGTGCCTCAGGGCCACCAGAGCCATAATCAGGCAATGGATACACAGTAATTGTACTCCATATAATTGTGTCCTGTGTATTTCCAGTTCAATCACCAAAATGTCATTGAAATAAAATATGCATACACATACAACACACCGCATTGTCTAAAAAATGTAGCGGAGAATGGCACTCCATTGACACCGGGGGAAACTGGGGTTTATAAGAACATTTTGCCATTCCAGAAATTCATTGCCCCGTTTGTTTAATAGACAGTGCAGCACTGGTTCCTCAACAAAAGCATAGACAATTTATGATGTTTATGACAAAGTTTTTTACAGCGAAATAAAACAAATAAAGAGCTAAAAATCCACCGGATAAAAACAGACAAATCACCTTCGAGAACCTAGCGATATTATGCTGTTTCACCACTACAAGCACCTGTTATTCTATGCCACACCGGAAATGTGATGACAACTTATAAAATGATCTAGTAACCCGGGCTGAGCAGGACACTGACTCATCCATCTCTATGGGTAGCTGTGTGTTTAATCAAGAACCATCATAAACGCCTATGTGCAGACATTGTAATTAATGACATCTGATAAAGGTGCTATCTAATCTCTAATCTTTTTAACGACATGACATTTAGTAATTGGAACATAATAGCTTGATAACGACTTGTGAAATCTTGTTGAAACGTCGCAGTGAAATAAACCATAGTATTTGTTATCCATAAATCGTGTGTTATTCGAATACCAAACGATATGTTTCTATTAAATAAAGGGTAGAACTCTCTACTAAACCAAGCCATGGCCAAAGGCCGTAAAAATGGAAAGATTACAAAATCATGTTTATGTCTTATCTGCGATATCACTTTTGTGGAAGCAGACGTTAAAGAAGCAATGTATTACGTTTACTGTATATAAAACCCAAATGCATGCAGTTTAGTGAGACTTCGACTTGGTTCCAAACCAGTCTTGTTTCTATGTAAACAGGGAATATGAATCGATGGCATGATTCAGAAGTATACGAGTTATGGTTAGGTTGGTTTTCAGGTAAGCAAGCCCCTAACACCAAATTTTAGAACGAAGCATTTTTTAAATGGCTAACAAACATTCTCGATAATGGGGTTACGTTAAAGTTATCCGACTTATTCCACTCTTAGAGAAAGGAATCCAAAAACTGGAAAAGGTGATATCGGTTTCCACACCCGTTTCCAATAAACTAAAGCAAACTTTGGCTGTTATGGCCACCTATGGTTTATCTGATATTGCATTTACGCTGCAAACCACTTGATGAGCTGGATAGAAGACTTTGACTTTCTTCTATGGAATTTGTTAACGCATCTTCATCACCAGTAGAACATCTGGATGTGGGGGATCCGGGAACTCGGTAAATAAAGCAGTTGACAAACCCTTGTATAGGATTCATGACTGCCTGAAATTAGAAATTAAATATACATTATGCAAGAGCTAAATCTGGGCTTGAAATGTTATATAAACTATTAATTAGACATTATTACCATGAAAAGACCTTATTCAACACTCGATGCCGTCTTATGTGTCGGATTTTCACTGGATTTGAATCCGATATGTTGATCAACGCTCATTGATGATTTAATCCAAAAGTGGATAATCGAGACTATGTTTTTTTGTTATCGTACCGACTTTAGTAATGATCATCGAGGCTAGGCCTAAAATTCAAAAGCTAATATCTCGGTTCAGAGTGGCGCAATTTGACTGAAATTTTCAGCATACCACTTTATCTAATGTTCCATAATAAATGATGCTTTTAGTATCGGGATAGAACTGAAAGTTTGCGTTTCGCTTTGGGAAAATTACAGTTATCTGAATAATGAATTAGACTTATTTATTAAAGATGTTTTCCCACGACGGTATCTATAGGGTAGTTATTTACAATAAAAGTGTAACAATTTTTGTATATATGGAAAGTAGAGACACCAAATCTCACTAGACAAATATTTAATTCTCTGACAAACACTCATGGTTCGCGCACAGGGCAAAACTTTAAGGGTATTACTAAGTGGTAACCCGTTGGCGTATTGTCTGCTCGACTGACGTATTTCTTGAAACAGCGCCAATTTACTCAATGACAGACCTTTTGATCTAACACGCACGCGTTAAAAAAAATGCACTAAATCAGTAGCGGATTATAGCGGAGGGGCCAGTGAATTTATGGGAGTTTTTTTATGTCCGGGGCACTTACTTATAGCATTCACTTGCGTTCCACTGGGGAGTTACTGTGGCTCGGTTAGTAAGACATTCCTTATCAGTGTTGCAGGACGGTTCAGCAAAGCACTTGAACAGAACCGTTTGAATTAAGTTCCCGGA